ATTTATATCAGTTTCCAGGCTCGGAGTGCAATCTCCTTTGCTTCTGGAGCGCCGCGCTGCCTCATCCCCTGGATACCCACGACCGATGGTGGTTGGTTGCCCTATAGTTCAGCTTCACTTGTTTCGATATACAATACCGCTCATAATTCGTCAAAAAAGCCCGGACTGCGGCGCACTCCGCCACACTCCGCCACAGTGCGCCGGAGTGTGGCAGAGTGCGCCGGAGTGCGGCAGAGTGCGCCACACTCCGCCGCAGTGCGCCGGAATGATCGTCAATTTAGCCATATCTCGCTTCAGAATGGACGAATTCTGAATCCGAGGACACCGTTCGATTCAACTCGGCGAGACGCATCATCTTATATGTGAAGCTGAACATCTGTTTGGCTGTTTGTCTGTACGTATGTTCCGAATAGAAAAATCCATTTCTGAACCGATCCGGACCAAACTTGGCACACATACACTTCGGGCCCCGGCGGGTGTCATAGGCTACCTTTCTTCATCGATATCGATTTTATTTCTGCTAATTTTGAGCTACGGGGCTGGGAGTTGGCACAGGGGGTAAGTGAGCATGGGGATTCCGAACACAATATTAGTATATTTCTAAATTCTACTCGCCGTAACTTCCTTCGGAATGAACATATTCTGAATCCGAAGAAAGCTTTGTGCCCAGTTCATTAAGGCAAGTCTTCCGATATACAGCGTATCCTTGATATTCCGATTTCAATATTCTCAAATCTTTCTGTAGACGTCTTTTCGCGAAGGTGTAAAGCAGCGCCCATTGCCCCTAGTAGACTCCAGCAAGGACCTTTCGATAGTACTTTTTCTGTAGATTACGCAGCGCTAAAAAGTAGTCACAGGCATCTTTCCAATGGAGGTAGAAAGGCTGGTAAATCGTTAAAAAATCTTTTGTCCCAAATTCTACTCGTCGCAACCCTAGAATACGAGGCTATCTTGCTAAGCAGATGTGAGTTTTGTAATCACCAGGTCGGACAACCCGTATGAACAAGTTTTCCGAGATGTTCGGGTGATTTCATTTTTTCTTGTCTGACGATCTGAAGCTTGCCGGTGGATTTTTATGTCTTCAATTGTAAAGAAACGCCGCTCATAGAGGTTTTCGAACACGCTGCTTATGTAAATCGTGTTCTCTGTCAAGTATAGGGTCTTTTTGCAGAGATATGGTGAGATGACTGCAACAGATTCACGAAGGCTCGTAACTTCGCCTCCACCTCTCACGTATCTGTCAAACAACCTGCCTGCTTGCTTTTCTAGTCAAAGTTACTGGGAGATATGCTATCGAATGGCGCATGAATCAGGCTCCATTCTATAAAATTCGCCGAGTTACGAGTCTCCGGAAACACGTTCTCATGAATTTTGTCCAAAATGTAAAGATCGCAAATTTCGTCGAAATTCCACCGCGAGTGCTTGTATGACACTCGCATTGCGGATATTATGTTCGCTTCGCTCAATGACTCCACTGTATTGAATATGGTGCTTGCGTGTGCTTCAGCAATTGAATATCAAAGCTGTTTTGTGGCTAGAGATCAAACTACCAAATCTAACACAATAAGATCCATTAAGAATGTGAAAAGATTTGATCACCTGTACAAGCACTCACGGTAGAATTTCGAGGAAATTTGCGATCTTTACATTTTGGACAAAATTCATGAGAACGTGTTTCCGTAGACTCGTAACTCGGCGAATTTTATAGAATGGAGCCTGAATCATGCGCCATTCGATAGCACATCTCCTAGTATCTTGTAACCTTGACTAGAAAAGCAAGCAGGCAGGTTTTCTGACAGACACGTGAGAGGTGGAGGCGAAGTCACGAGCTTTCGTGAATCCGTTGCAGTCATCTCACCATATCTCTGCAAAAAGACCCTACACTTGACAGAGAACACGATTTTTATAAGCAGCGTGTTCGAAAACCTCTATGAGCGGCGTTTCTTTACAATTGAAGATCACCAACATTTTGACCAAAATCCACCGGCCAGCTTCAGAGCGTCAGACAAGAAAAAATAAAATCACCCGAACATCTCGGAAAACTTGTTCATAAGGGTTATCCGACCTGGTGATTACAAAACTCACATCTGCTTAGCAAGATAGCCTCGTATTCTAGGGTTGCGACGAGTAGAAATTGGGACAACAAGATTTTTTTTTACGATTTACCAGCCTTTCTACCTCCATTGGAAAGATGCCTGTGACTACTTTTTAGCGCTGCGTAATCTACAGAAAAACTATCGAAAGATTTTTGCTGGAGTCTACTAGGGGCAATGCGCGCTGCTTTACACCTTCGCGAAAAGGCGTCTACAGAAAGATTTGAGAATATTGAAATTGGAATATCAAGGATACGCTGTATATAGGAAGACTTGCCTTAATGAACTGAGCACAAAGCTTTCTTCGGATTCAGAATATGTTCATTCCGAAGGAAGTTACCGCGAGTAAAATTTAGAAACGCGTGATTTTTCCAAAATTCACCAACGCTTCTATCTCTTTTGGAAGACAGTCTGCAGCTACTCTTGAGCGCACGATAACCTACAAGGACAGTACTATCGAACAGTGCTTACTGAATCTTTTATGTTACACAGACGCTGCGTTACATTCTTGCGAAAGGACCTCACAGAAAAAATTCAGAAAAACTGGAGATGGAATATCGAGAACATACTGTATACCAAAATGTTTGCCTCGACGGTCTGAACACAATGCTGCTTCTGGATTCGGAATATATTCATTGAAGTTAATGCGTTGCGTACTCTGCGTGATTCGCATGGTTTCGCGGATCCTGAAATGTCGCGAACTTCCCGGATTATCGCGCACTCTCGCGGAAATCCCGGAATTGCGCGAAGTTCACGGAAATTTTGACATTCTGTGGGCGGTATTGTGATCTTGAGCAGATCTTAGATCAAATTCGATCAGAGTGGCTCTCTACCATACTCCTGTAGTATACTGCATATGTGTCATCAGCGACAGATCAATGGTAATACTGTTATCAGCACACTGAATTCAACCAAAATATTAATCGATAATTCTGAAAACTAATATTGTATTCGGAATATGCTCACTTACCCTCCCCCTCTGCCAACTCCCAGCCCCGTAACTCAAACTTTGCAAAAAAATCGATAAAATCGATAAAAGTAATCGATAATTCTGAAAAGTAATATTGTTTTCGGAATCCCCATGCTCACTTACCCCCCTGTGCCAACTTCCAGCTCCGTAATTGAACTTTGCAAAAAAAATCGATAAAAATCGATAAAAATCGATAAAATCGATATCGATCGATAACGAAAAGTAGGCTATGACACCCGCCGGGGCCCGAAGTGTATGTTTGCCAAGTTTGGTCCGGATCGGTTCAGAAATGGATTTTTCTATTCGGAACATACGTACAGACAAACAGACAAACAGACGTTCAGCTTCACATACAAGATGATGCGTCTCGCCGAGCTGAATCGAACGGTGTCCTCGGATTCAGAATTCGTCCATTCTGAAGCGAGATATGGCTAAATTGACGATCATTCCGGCGCACTGCGGCGGAGTGTGGCGCACTCTGCCGCACTCCGGCGCACTCTACCACACTCCGGCGCACTGCGGCGGAGTGTGGCGGAGCGCGCCGCAGTCCGGCGACTTTTTTGACGAATTATGAGCGGTATTGTATGTGTATAATATATCCCTATACAGCAGGTGCACAAGCCTTGCACAGTTCCCTCGTACTGCTTCCGAAGTACTGCTCTTGCAAAAATGCCACACACACACTCGCTGACCGTTCAGAAAACCTTTGCTTACACTCACTTTTCGAATGTTCGTAGAGTCCATCCTTAAACATAGATGGAAGAATGTCAACCACGATGATCGATTTTTTCCCGGCTTTTGGTGAAGCGTGTCACTCTGGGTCAGGCTCAGTGATGAAGGGGGTGGGGGGGGGGGGGGAGCAAATTTTCACCTATCGCACCTATGCTCTCCTTATAGACATATGAGGTCCTCAAGACCCTGTATGAAGTACGCCCTTGGTCTCATTAGCCACGACCAGATCGTCAGCGTTCTCGCAACGGATTCATCTCTTTCGAATATTAGCAGCATACTCCATACGTCCTCTTATCTTGAAACCTGGGCATTGTGTCCACTAGCAGGATATATTCAACCAGTAACTCACTGCTAAGTAAAGCTGTGGTGTTGAATTGAAGCCTAATGTAAAAGAAATACGGAAATGGGATTTGGCTTGTAAAAAAGTCCTTTAATAGCGTTCAAAGGCAGTGGCTCGGCAAAACCGAACATCTCGAAATTTTGATATGAAAGGTTGCTTGCACCTCAAACATGGAAAATGAGCAGGTCCGAGCTCACGTCATGCTGCCACTGCCTAGAAAACTGCCCCTAAACCCGTACGCGCAAGCTATTCCTCGCGCTCGGACGAGCTTGCGATTCCCCTCCCTCCCTCAGAGAAGGCATGCCGCAATGTTGTAACCATGAGGGTCCCGCAAAAATTCTGCGTTTCTAACCATAGCGGGGACCGTTTCAGTCGTCCAGATTCAAAACAAGGGGTTTTAAAAAATGCTGGTCTTTACCATTTTTGCTCTTCAAGGTGGATTTTCGGATTCTGCGCGCCTTTCGGATTCTAACCCCAGGTAAGCGAAAAAAATTCAGGTTGAGGATTTGAGCCACTGCCTTAAACCCATTAGCTTAAAAAAAACACTCAACTGCGAAAAAATACCATTTCTGGAAAGGAAATGATTTTGCAGAGGGGTGTGGGATAAAAAAAATAAAAAAATAATAATTGATATCCAGAGCTCTATCCTCTTGCAGTTTTGCCAATGTTTTAAAGTTAAAGTTTGCCAAAAGCAGACTCATCTACCTTGGCGTACATAAACATCCGTCGTCAGCTTGTTCACATAGAGATTATCCGCAGCAATAAAGATTCTAGGGTGAAAATTTTTTGAGCAGACAACTTCTTTTACAAATCTTTCTATGGAGTGCCTAGAGTCACTGCACTCACTAGATTGAAAGACACGTTAAAAATTCAAAAAACTTTACTATACCGACATTTCGTTACAAAATTACAAAAAGCAAAAAACTGATTGCCACTAGCAGCCATGTTTGCACATATAGTGATGACGAAGAATTGTCTTGAACCTGCAAGGGTTCGATTTATGTGTGAATAAAAGGTTCGAAAAAATGAGCATGAAATTTGCTTCAGTGTAAGTCTACGCTGTTAGTAACTAATGCAAGCAAAAGACAAAAAACCAAAATAATGGCCATATGATATTGCTAGCGCACACAAGAAGTGCGAAAGAATTCTTACGTTTCTCCATGTCAACGTCGCAATCGTTTCCTCTGTCATATCAATGAAATGCTTTTTGGCAATATACAAAGTATTCCTATCGTCATCGTACCTTGAAGATTTCTTATCAATGCTGACCTGGAAAACCACGTGAGAAATGAAGAAAATGTTGTGAAAGAGTTTGGAGAGCGAGAAGGAGAAGGGGGAAGGGGAGGAAGGAGAGAAAGATAATAAATAAGCAAAATAGCTCAGCTATCTTGCCCTTTTTTCAGTAAAAAATTTTTGCCTTCGTTCCCTTCCCCTCAATGTCCCCTAAAATTCACTGTTAAAGGACGTTACATCGCCAGTGATTCCCGCCTGTCCGGGCGACTGACACGATAGCTAGTGCAGAGATGCACAATTTATTGCAGATGAGCGGAGCTCGTCGACGAGGTCCTTATTCGTCATTTTGACAAAGTACCATTTGAATCAACTGGCTTGGCTTTCGGAAGGCGGGGCTTCGTCACCTAATAATGGTTGGCTAATGATCAGCGAGCAAGCGCGCAAGGGAGAGGTAGACTGCGTCGTCGGCGCGAGCGGTCTTAAAGGCAGCGTCCAGGAAAATCTGGGCCTATAAGGATCTCACTTGGAGGGTAATTTTGGAGCCCTAGATAAGACACTGCCCAAGCGGCAGCTCAAATGGTGAGCTCACAGTTGAGATATTCGCCTTCAAATTGGACCCCTTGATCGTATTCGCATGGATTCATGGCGCGAGGACCCACGCGTGTCGCGCCATGAATCCATGCGAATGCAATCCCAGGGTCCAGTTTGGAGGCGAATATCTCAACTGTGAGTTCACCATAAGAGTTGCCGCTTGGGCAGTGTCTTAGTTAGGCCCGAAATTACTATCCACATTAGAACCCCGTATGTCCAAATTTGCCTGGACGCTGCCTTCAACACGTTTCGGATCGGTGCTGCACATGCTGCTTTGAAGGATCGTTTTGACATTTACAGAGGTCTTTAATTAGCCCAAGAGTACCAAGTTAAAGGCCTAAGCTCCTACTTTCCAAATGACTCTATAGAGCTGTGCCGCCATTAGCTGTTTAGGAGATATGAGGACAAATCGAACAACAGTTGCAACGAAGTGCGGCAACGCGAACGACGCGTGCGACGTCGCAACTTTTCTTTGTTTAGCTTTCAAAGTCAAAACCTCTAGTTTCACTAGTGATGTGTACTGTGTACAACATAGATACTTCTAAATGCTATTAGAACTGAGTTCTTGTTCTTATCTTCCAAGAAAGCACGAAAGTCGCTCTCAAGCAGCAAAATTCAAACACTTCGATTTCACTCAGAACTTAGGATATGGAGCTTATCTGATATGCGGATTACAGATGTAGCCCCACAGCCTACGAAATAAGTTCCCTTTGTCGGCTAACGGCTGAAAGCACACTCTTTTTCGCCGCGCGCGATTTCGCAGTCCGAAACGTAACTAGCAAAGTCCCGCCCTCCGAGAGCCAAGCCAGTTGAATCAAATGTTATGTCAAAGGGTATTGGCTGACCCACTTCTTTGCCGTTTATCATGAAGACCTGCTTGTCAAGATCCATAGGATACTTATAATTGAAAATCTCCAGAATGTCAAGAGTAGGAATCGACAGGTTATCCTGCAATCGTTTACGTCAAACCTTTCTGTGTTGAACTTATTTAGTCGTCCACTCACTGCATTTCGTTCCATCTGAATGGTCAGATTTCCTCCAAGAGTATTTTGGCTATAGTGGAATGTCCAGTGATAGTAAGGATGTGTCGTGAATGATTCAACGATACTTTCGCCATCGTCCCAATACAGGAAGCCATGGGCAGTGTCGGGAAAAGCTCCTTGGAAGATGTGAACATGTATATCGAGATGCGAATATTGGTAATTATTTATGACCATGGAAGGTACATAAGGGTCCCGAATGAAAGCAGCCTTTATGGGTTAATCGTGCATGTGACTTGCATTTATTTTGTATAATTGATTATTTTCTAAAATGGTTTCTAACAATTTTCCATAATTTTTTCTTCCAACATTCTCTCTAATATCCTTCGGTATGGGCTGCAGATTTTTCGGAGGGCGTGGCTACTGCCACGCATCTGCTTTCGAGAAGAATCCCTTTTTGCCCCTTCCCCATGGCCAGGAAATGCTAGGACATGCCCAGGGCCTGGCACGAGTCGGTTTCTAGGGTTTCTGAAAACGGGGCCCTCCCCTAACTTCCGAAAGTTTTACGAAGTCCCCTTTGACCTACCTACTTAGGAAAAGATGAAAACAAGAGTGATTCACTAGTAAGAAAGATAAAAACGTGAGATAGGAGTGAAAATCCGGATCGGAACTGAATAGAACGCATCCACAAGAGTTTGGCATTGGAGTGCGATATTTAAAAGCGTTTGAAGAAAAAATTGAGGCAAATACAAAGGAAAGGCAATGATATGAAAATGTCTTCATGCTCAGGGATATTTTGATCGGGGAATCCGTCCATGATAGAAAAATCCAAAACTTATATGAAGTGATTGATATATATGCTCCAGACGATCTCAGATCGCTGGTGTGGGGACGGACTAATGGAAAAGGTATTTCTTCACATAATTTTTCATATCTTTTTGCATAATATCTTTGCAAATAATCTTCTGTGTATATAGTTCAATTTTGGTGTCATACGATTCTGTGCACGCTGTGAACAAGCAAATTGTTTATTTTAGCCTTGCTTTCAAATCGCGCGCACTTTCCGCCATGCACGATAGAGCATGTCAATCGCGTGATAACCTGCCTGAAAAGCTTGTGTTCGACTGAATGGCGCTTATTTTTGGTGCTCGGCCTCGACTCGTCAAAAACGATATCTCCTTTGCTTTTTGCTATAAAAACGAAGTCCAACCTGCTCAGATGATATGTCCCGGGCCCTGGACATGCCCTGGCATGGAAAAGATACCGATTTGCACTGTGGATTGTAAAGGGATGCGTATAATTAGAAGCGGCTCCACTTATCTGCGAAACGATTCTTTGGATGGAGTTATAAGCGCTTAAAACTCAATAACGTCACTCGAGATAAAATCTTGACTGCGCGCTCTCACGCTGCGTTTGATTACAGTATTTTGGGGAATTTTCTTCAACCCTTCTAGGAAGTCGTTTTGCACATATGGATAGCAGAATCATCAGCACTTGACGGCGCTTCAGATGGTAAGCCCCTCCTCCCAATTTACCTGCGCAACATGGTATCTTTTCCTTGTAAGTTAAAAAAATATTTGAATTTTATTACCTTCGCGCGTGCCTGGAGCAATAATTAGCTTGAATGAGTTTTGTCTAGTGTACTCGGTCGTAGTATTCGGTGTCTGGCATGGAATTATTGCTCCTCCTAAGCACAATCTTTTTTGAGATCTTACTTGTTCCTAGCTATGGTCCCTACCTCTCACAAACACTGGAATTAGATAGTCCCAAGGAGCAGGAAATATTTGATCTCCGTTCGGCACAAGTTCTCCATAATTATAATCAAACAATGAATACCAGTCATCCTTGGGTAAGTAGACCTGCACGCTTTGAGCTCCCTGTATATTCAATGATGGTTTATGAAATTTATTTTGATTCCATAATTCACCTTGTGTAACACTGGAGCGATCAGCATCGAGCTGCCCCAAAGAAATTCATAGCTGATATTGTGTGTCTTGTTGTCGGTTGGGTATTCGTAAAAAACAGGGCGAATGACAGTTCCACCGTATAATGAGGCGACAAAGTGCAAACTAGAGCAAGACTCACCGCAAAGATGTAATTTTTTCGTATTTTTTACCTGAAGAGGTAAGGTAGATAGCTGTAACGAAAGAGAGTAGCTTTCTTGGCTGCTTTTGCTACAGTAGGCCACCGTGCAGGGTCCTGTGCTTGCAAATTGCGCGAGTTGTGATTTCTGTAGTGCAAATAGAATAGTTTGAATGCGAATTTGAATAGTGTAGTGAAATCTTGTAACCTCATGAATGTATGGAATGCTCCCATTTGGTGCCATCTCAAGCAAAGTTCTTCCTCTGTTTCGCGATTGAAGCCACATATATCAGACCCAATGTAGCTAGTAAGCTTTTTATTAGAATGTGCTGTGTCAATATTGTTATTAAAGGGATTGAGAACTTACGGTATACCAAACAAATTGAATTCTTGCGCTCCAATCACAGCAGACTGAAGATCTTCCCATGTGGCTGAGTTGTCACCGAGCCAGTGACCACAGTAGCGTCCACTAGACGCGAAGGTAGATCTAAACAATAAATTCTTCATTTTCATCCTGCCCTCTTTGGTCCTTGGACTAATCAGTCACCTTGATATGACAATTCCTCTCCTCTTTGTTGCTTTGTACTGCCCCTGTAGTGTCACTTTAGATTCGCTCCATCCATAGAGGCTCTTTACGTCGTAATGACGAAGGGTTCCATTTGCCTGCACAGCTAACATACATAGAGTTTTTGTGGCCAGGTAAGATTCCGTATCCTAAAATTACACATGAAAGAAAAGCGCTTCACTCACTGCCATAATTTTCTTTTGAATTTCATAGAAGCTCCAATAAGAAGTACGAACCTTCCCAAACGCCCACACGTTATGCGTTTTATACGGTGGCATGTCCCAGTGTGCATCTGCTAAGCTCTCGTTTGTTGGACACTTTAAGGGTTCGATGTTTGGATGGTCGTCGTCGTCAAAGTACCATGGGTGTTTTTCATTTGTTCCAAAGTTTGCTGGCTCATTCATGTCGATCCAAATGCCATCATATGCAATCTGCAAAATGAACTATCCAAAGCGAATTACTGTAAGAATACTTTGCCATAAGGAAAGATCCGCTAGATGCTGCTTTAAGACGTTTGCGCAAATTTGACCATACCAGCTGTAAATCGAAATCACAATTTTAACACTCTTCTGTGTGAATACGGTAGATTATGTAAGCTCAAAAATTAGAGCAATTCCTCAAGGAAGTGAATTGTTTTAAACTATGCAAAACTATGGCTTCAAAAACATTTCATCAAATGCAGGAAATTTTTATTTTCTCAAAGCAACCACGCTCAGCACTACAGTTGAAACAAACTTATGGTGACAAAAGGAAATGTTCTGTTATGATTTCGTCCAAATTGAAAAGTTACTTACTTTTTCCCTGAATCTAACTAATTCGTCGATCCACCATTTGGCTGTGTTGCCACTCGGATCAAGAAAATCGGGAAAGGCAGTGTGATTGTCAGGCCACACCACACCCAACATGATTTTTGTTCCATTCACCAAGGGATACAAATTCTTAAAAACTTTTATGACTGTTTCCGATTTTCCAGTCCAGTATGTTCTCTTACGCTTGAGTTCATCACTTGGTCATGGCGTTCCCACTCCACGAATTGGGCTTTCTTAACATATTGCATTCGAGACGAGACAACATTGGGTTTTAGGCGACTTTCGGTACTTACTGACTTAATCGCTCTCTCAAAAGGTGCATAGTTTACTTGAACAGCTGGATCAAACATCAACACTACACGCATTCCGCGATTATGTAGTTTGTCCACATATGCAGGGAATTGCTTCCAGTCCTATAATTTTGAAGTCTTAAAAAAGGAACCCGAGGAAGAGACAAACCTCGCCAAATGTGAAATCTTTATATCTGTCCATATAGTCAATGTCTCCGACAACGGTGTCAAAGGGAATTCCAGCTCTGATATTCCTCTCTACTACCCCCTTCATCTCGGCAAAGTTTTTGTAGCCCCAACGGGAAATCTTTGAATAATGATTTTCAGGAGTACGCCAAATTCAACGAGACTACCTGGAAGCCAAGAGCCCAGTAAGCAGGTAAGACTGGTGTACCTATCAGCGCAAGATACTGTTGTGTCACTTCTTCTGGAGTAGGACCAGGGAAAAAGTAAATATCCAGATTACCGCCAATTGTTCGGTAAATCAAGGTTGGACCAGGTGCTGTGGTGATTTCCTGGAGACAAATATTCATCCTTAATCAGCTTATTTTATCCTTTTTTTTAAAACAAATGATTTAAATTTGCTCTGAATTGTGTGGAAAAACACAAGATGCAAGAGCAAGGTTTTTGATAACAGATTTTCGGCATGGTTCAAAAACTAAATTCAAAATCAAAGCTTTCGCCATTAAGCGCATTTTTCGCGCTTCAAGCTATAATTTCTTTTTGATTTTGTCTGTCTGGATTAGCAGCATTTACAGTAGCCTACAATACCCATTATTTCATCAGACGTCTTGTGCAACTGCACTACTTTATGAATTTGAGGAAATTGTGATTAAAAGAGTGCAAAATCTTCTTCCACTTCGTGCAACGGTCTTTGTGTCATTTTTTCGTTGTTATGTTTTTTCAATCACGAATCTGATTCTACCGGCCGGCACTACTGTATTTCGCAAAAGTGGTGAATTTACAAAATTGTTTACGAAATGGCAACATACCTGCGCGTTGCTGTTGAGTATGAACACTCCATGTGCTTTTCCATCCTTCTCCAACATCAAATAGAATGGATGCATTCCTGAGATAGATTTTCTCAGACCCTTTGAGCAGGATTGGAAGCTTGGTTCTCTACCGTAAAGGTTCTTAGTGTCAAGCTTTTCCGAATATGGCCACTCATCTCGCGCAAACATCGCCCACGTAGTGTAACGATCAAATCTATGCTAAAATCATCTTTTAGTACAGGAACGACAATCTTCATTGGTTTAGTTTAAACCTTAAGAGTTGGATGACTGTTCTCACCCCAGCCATACATCGCTTCTGATGGAAGCCGCGTAACGATTTGTATGAACTGGTCGGAAAAGATCAGACCTCCTGAAATTCTATCATTAGAGCCAATTTTTGGGATTTTTCTTACAACCAATATAGAATCGGGAGATATAATCACCTATAGAAGTATCGAAGAGGACTTCTTTCGTAGAACTGCGTATGACTTTGAAGTAGAAATCCAATCCCTCCTCTGTATGTGTTTCAAGCTGTAAAGAACTTTTGTAGTGCATATTATAGCAAAGACATCTGTATGAAATTCACTTATTTTTTCATTCGAAAAAAGCAATTTTCTGAACAGAAGAAAAGATGTGTTGATTATCGAGATAACTGGAGAAGCATTTCACTAAATAAAAATCACCTTTAAAAATTCCTTTGATTTGGATGGTTTGTATGGAAGATCAAGAGGTGGCTCATATCTGAAAAAGAAACAGCTCATAACTTTCCATTAGTATAACCTTCGCAATGTACAACCAGGTATTAGAAAGCAGCTAAAAAAATTTTCACCTGATCAATGTATTATAGAAAAATATTCGATTGTGCAGCATGCATTGACGAAGGTTTTTGAAGGGAGAAAGGACAGTTGTGACAATTTTTCTATGATTTTTTACTTTTGAAAAGATTTACAAGTTCTCACCTTCCCCCTACACCAATCTTAACATTCAAAGTTTTTCCTAAGTATCTTGAAGTAAATGTAATCTCCTTTATGTCATCTCCCCACGGATTTTTTGGTCCATCGTTTTTCTTCAAGACAATTTTCTGGAAAACATGAATTAATCGGCTGTACCAGACTACACCAGCTTGTACCTTTCCAGACTTTGACGAAATTTGATAACCAATATTTTGCCTCATGTAACAATAAGGAACATTATACTGAAAGAATAAATCATTAGTAAAAATTAATTTTTGTCTTGTTCCCGTTGACTTACGTCAGTAGTGCGTTTCCATAGGCAGCCTCTCTGCACGCACTTTGCTTCAGTGGCAGAAGGCTCAGGATGACAGTTGATTCGAGCGTCGTTACTCTGTAATATTAGAAATCTTGGGAATATGAATAACGTCTTTGAGTGTTATCGTCCATGTTCTAGGGGGTAGGGGAACGAACTCCGCCAGTTTGAGCCCGCCTTCCCTGGCAACTGGTCCTTTTGCTATAGTGTTGCATGTGTTGCAGAACCACTAGTCCGCGGAGGCGGTTCAAGCTGGCAGAGTTCGTTCCTCTACCATGCTCTAGGTTATTCGTTAAGGTTTTATTCATATTTTTAAAACTAGAAGATTTTGAGCGCCATATTATTCTTGAAATTGTCCTTTGATCCTAGTCATAACACATTTCTTTTTTTTTGCGCTTCACCTCTATTTTTTTCTATCTTCTAATCCCATTTTCATTGAAGACTATTTTAGACCACCGCATAGCACTAGAGGATGTGTATTGTATGTACTTAATTCGAAGTTAGTTCATATGTTCTCGGCTCGTAAAACCTGAAGGATAACGTAAATAAGGTCAGTTTACTTTGATTCTTTTTCTTTTTTCTTTCTCATTTTTTTCTGCGCTTACAGGGTGCGGAAAAAGTACTGTACCTCAAGATATAGTTTAAAAAACCGGCGTAATTCACAGGTTTTTCTGGTGTTTTTGACATAATTCCCAAGATGGGAATATTCTATCATTTTACAAAAACTGGCTTCAGAATTCTGTCAATAGAATTCCAGTCAGTACAATTTTACCCGGCGACGGATCCCTTTTCGCAGCGCATCTCATATCAAATCTTGCAACTCCCCTTTACAAATGTGAAAAAGTGTGAGGATTTTTGAGAAATGTTTTTGTTTGTCACGCGAACTTGAGAAATCCTTTACTGCTTAAGGAATGTGGTAGTGGATACCGAAATATTCTGAAAGTATCCAGTCAGCACTTGCACTAGGAGAAAAGCTGTGAATTTTTCTAACGAGAAAGCGGCTGCGGCGCAACAGAGTGCGATCAGAGAACGTGACACAGAAACTAGGTACAATCGTTTAGCGCTCCAAAATCGTGATGTGGACGAAGTCCGATGCTCTTTTTATTATTCCTGTTACTCTTTGTTGGAATCTGAAATTTTGCATCATAGTTTGAGTCCAATTCATTAGGCAAGCCCAGTCCTGACTCGCCCCTTTTTCGAGAATTTTTGCGATTTGCGTGTGGTATAATCTTCCTTATTTGGCCAAAACAAGAGTCACTAATCTATAATTCATCTATAATGGGTATAGAATGAAGAAGGAGTCATGCGCTACATACCAGCTCAATTTGAACCTTACATCAATGCTGGTGGTATAGTTAGGGTCCAAAATCACGCTTGTATGCTATCGGCGCATCGTTAATGTTCTTGCACGCAGTTATCACTAGTTCAAACGGATAGAAGGGAACCGTTTCAAATCAAACTTATCTGTATCTAATTTTAAGGATCTTGCCTACGTGTGGGAGTCAAAAAACTACAGATTTACATTATGTTTGAGGTATTTCAAGAGCCAAGTTGGAGGGTCAGTACTTTTTCCGCACCCTATATAATCATCGCTTCTGATGAATTCCGGAAAGATCGTGTTGCCACCTAATTTTCCGTATAGTGTGATAGGAAGAAACGAAATCTAGGTACTTTTCTATTTCGTTCTATATAAAGACGTGCAATGTAAGTAATAATACGAGGGAATAAATGAACTTTGTCCGTCGATTTTGATGGAACGTCCACGATTTGAAAAAGAGCTTAATTGAGATGAATTAAGTTCATGAGTTATAATGTAATCGGATGTTTTATCTTTTTCTCGTGAAAAAAATGCCTCTATTTTCCTCCAGTACGCGTCTCAGCAAGGTATCTATAAATACGATTTGTTTGGAAATACTGTCGGTTTTATTGTTTCAATTCCGTCTCAAGTCAAAGTATTCGAAACTCTTATTACCTATAGGGAGCTCCTAGTAAAAATTTTGACGGCTCTGCGCTCTACCCAGCTGTGTCCAAATAATTATTTAGGAAGCATTTTTGTATTTTTAGCTTTACGATTTTTTTACAAGGGCTACTTATACAAAATCGTGTACGACTGCCTCAGAAAATTAGAGTTTTTCCTGGATACTTCTAATTCTCCAATTTACCGGGCACAAAGGAAACTGTGATTATTATTTTTAGCCTTGTCTCATCGCTGTAAGTAATGGAAATCGTAGTAGCATACCTTTAGCAAAGTAACGACGAATTACTTTTTGGAATGATAAATGTCCATTTGTTATTAAGGCTCACATTTTTCCATGACAAATGATGCTTATTCCATTGTAGGTCAATAAAATTCTTCTTTGTGATGTACAAAATATATTTGTCTTCATTGTAGTATGAGGCTCTCCTGTCGATCTCGACCTGAAAATGTTTGGTTTTCAAATTTTATCGTTGTTGAGAGCAGGTCTAGAAAAGAGTCAAGGGTCATATTATGTAAATAAATATTGGAAAAAAATAGGCTTCCATGATATGCATAATAACAACGAAATTTGTAGATGTTACAAAAAATTTCCAGAGCAAATTACACTCCAGTCTCTGCGCATTCATATGACTCTCCACCCTTCTCTAGATTTGTTTTGACAATTCTTTGTACCCCCCTCCCCTCCCTTCCCACCATCTCTTCATCTCTTCCTTCACTGGAAGAATAAATTTGTGCAAAAGATACCATTTTGAAAAATTAAGAGGCCTTTTATTCCAACCTTTTCTCCATCTAATACGAAGCTATCAAATCTGGGGTGATCCCTATAGTTGAAGATCTCCAATGTGTCCAGTGTGGGAATTTTCAAGCAATCCTGAAAATGACTTTGTTTGCGAATTAACTCTTGATACGCGTGAAATTGGAATTTCTCGTAGACTCACTGCTGTCCGCTTCTTTATAATCAACAATTCACCGCCGGTGTCAGTGAGGTTGTACTGGAACGTCCAGTGATAGTATGAATGAGTAGTGAATGATTCGACAACGCTTTCGCCATCGTCCCAGTATAAGAAACCATTCGCAAAGGTTTTGGCTTGAAAAAAAATTGCTTTGCTGTTAAGTAAAGAAGTGGTGAGGGTGATTGTATGTAAATGTTTTGTTTACTCGCTTTTATAACACCTAGTTGACTTAGAGCACCTATTCAACAGATACTTTTTGTCCTAATAAACGGCCACCGCCACCTCGGTGGTGGTACTCGCTATTTTTTCCCACTTCTATTTTCTGCTTCCCTCTATCTCTCTTTCAACAATTCAAGATAAGTTGAAAGTTCATAATCTATTACATTTTGATAATCTAGTTGATTTCAATAACTACCGTGTACTCTAACCCCTTTACCAAGATCCCAGCTTCTCGGGTCAATCTTTAAGAGATAAATTGAGCAAAGGTCATGGTGGTCTTCTTGTAAAAAAGCTTTCTAACTTCTTTCTAACTCTTGCACCCTCCCCCCCTCTCTATATAAGCCACCGCCATAGCAGGAACTCTAAAAGCTATCAAATAGATGGAAGAATATAGACGGAAGAAATGATGAATCATCCGACGAAAATTACTAGAATATCAATCATTCAATACCTATCTATGTTTCATCCACATATTCCGTAATTGACTCCCATGTCCACAGAGGTTGTAAAAAGCAGATGAAGGAAGAGAGTAAATAATAATCGATTACGGACAGATTTTTCGAAGAAAAACTTTGAAAGATAGCAATAACCTTTCAATCATAAGTTAGCTGAAACCACACTACCATGATTGGAAAGGTTTCTCAAAAAAAATTTTTTCTTATTCGTTGAGAGATTTTCCAGTAAGCGCGTTAGATTGCGTCATTCTAGAAAGCATTCTTTCAGCCTCAGAGCACGTTGTTCCTCAACAACTAAGAGTAATTACCTCATGTTGATCTCAGTTCCTTTAACGAGTAAGCCGTGGGTCTCCGATAGATCTATGTCGTTTCGACAAAGGTTTGAATGCAGAAGCTGAAGTCGCACCCTCTCCTTACCCCCCCCCCCCTTTCCTAGCACTAGCCTCCTTCTATGAAGTTGGCGCTTTTGTGATCATGTCTAATGAAATCACTTGTTACCAAAATCAAGTGTTTTCCATAATGTATATATGTAAATTATAACCAAGATTTGTTTTCCATTACGCTCTGCGTAGATTATTTGCGAATCTACGACCTTTAGCATTGTAGAATCATATTGTATGCTATAATCAGTATCCACTAGCTTGTCGTTGACAAACATTACTGTTCACTGACCACTTAAACCATCAGGTCATCCCCCAACTGTGCTTGATAGTCTACTTGGCGGGCCTACTTTCATGTGGGCTATTCTTGATTCTGTATGATACTGTTATTTTCCACAGGTTATCCACGCCCAAAACGGTGGCAAAAAAGGGCCTGAATACTCAGTTCTAGTGTTGGTACGAATATTACCACTATCGTCGGCGGCTGTTCCGCATATTCATTGCTGATAGTCAGCGGCTGCTCCGCTACTATCTAATAAACAGTTATACAATGTAGTGGTACCAGCTTGGTGTATATCAAACTTTCCATCATGGACTAACCGCCTTTTCTGACAGGAACAATGAGCAGTTCGAATGGATTCTTGCGCGTATAATCCGTCGTAATATTAGGCTTTTGACGAGGGAATATCCCACCGCCTGTATTCATTTTTATAAGCCTAGGATTCGTCAAAGATGTTCTCTGTAACCTCTTGCCAAGACTGGAATCAATGAAGTCCATGGAGCGGGTAACGTCTGATTGAAATTTTGGATGAGCTCGCCGTATTTGTAGTCATATAACGAGTACCACTGGTCCCATGGAAGGTAAACAGTTATATTTGTCGCTCCCTAAATGGAAGGCTGCGCCAAGAGTTGCCCTGCCAGCGCCATGCCAGCGTCCTGTCCTCGCCATGCCAGTGCCGTTCCACTACAATGTAAAAGCCGTGCTAGCGACGTGCCGGCAGATCGATCGATTGATACGAGACGCGTGCACTTGGCCGGCACGGCTCCTGCACGGCGCTGGCATGCGCTGGCACGCAGCTGGAACGACTACTGCGCATGGGGAGCTCTGTACACTGCGAGAGCTTTACGATCTCACAACAATGTTATGACCTGCCTTGTGCACAACAGGCGCGATTAGCAAAGAGCTTCCCCAAAAGAATTGATAATTTTGATCACGAGCCATTCTATCGCTTGGATATTCATAGAAAACCGGTCGAATAACGGTTCCGCCATGCAATGAGGCGGCAAAGTGCAAACTGAAATTACTTTAGTGGTAGAGAGCAGTAAACTGTCATTCCAACCCGTTACCTGAAAAGGTAGGGTAAGTAGCTATAACGGAAAAGAATGGCCTTTCTGGCTGCTTCCGCTACCGTAACCCATCGAGCTGGGTCCTGTGGTTTCATACCACGCGCGTTGTGATTCCTGGAATCACTACTGTTTTTAGAAGTCAATCCATAATCATGTGAAATTCATAGTGAAATCAATCCAAATGATTGGAATACTGGCAATTTACAAAATTCAAAGTCTAACCTCGAAAATACTTTCCAATTTATCATGAAGAGCGTTCAAATCAATATTTTCGGAGATCGTTTCTTCACGGAGCTCATCGCAACCTCCGTATATTTTTAGCAATAATGAAACTAGCTAGAAACTTACCGTCTGTGAAAGAAAAATGCTACCTCATAAATGGGTGGAAGGCACCTAATTGATGCCATCTCAGACATAACTCTTCTTCCGATTCACGGTTAAAACCGCAGATGTCGGAGCCGATATATCTAAACTAGCATTTTGCCATTTTTCAGCACTAAAGGAGCGTAATGTTTGCAGAGCAGTCAAACATACGGTATACCAAACATATTGAACTCCTGAGCTCCAATTACGGCAGATTGAAGATCCTCCCATGTAGCCGAGTTGTCACCGAGCCAGTGCCCGCAGTATCGCCCACTAGACACAAATGTGGATCTATAAATGTTCTACAGTTGCTATTCACAAAGACGATAAATGAGAAACGTCTGCATCAAAAAAATGGCAAAGATTCATTCACCTCGAAATGACGATTCCTCTCTTTTTCGTTGCCTCGTATTGCCCCTGTTGTGTTACTTTCGACTCACTCCATCCATAGAGACTCTTCACATCATAGTGACGAAGTGTTCCATTGGCTTGTACGGCTGACATGCACAATGTCTTTGTAGCCAAGTAGGATCCATCCTACAAAGGCACAAGGGGCTTTCTCGGAGATTCCTTGTGTTACAGTCTAATTAAGTAACTTAGACCAAGCACTCGCCTTTCCATAAACCCATACGTTATGGGTTTTGTACGGTGGCATATCCCAACGTGCATCTTCAGAGCTCTCGTTGGTTGGACATTTCAAAGGCTCAATATTTGGATGGTCATCGTCATCGAAGTACCATGGGTGGTCTTCGTTGGTTCCAAAATTTGCTGGTTCATTCATATCTATCCAAATGCCATCATAGGCAATCTACAATTTTGATAGTTATCAACCTACATTTTAATACTGTAGTATTACGTATTACTGTACTTTGGCCTACTAATCAACAAAGGGTACAAAGTGCCCCCAATCCGCTAAAAATATTTATGAATCTTTGGTATATGTTTGAGGTGAAATAAGGCAGACTGTACAGTTCTAAAATACAAACCAAGTTTTAGAGAATACAACATATTTTATTACCACCACCTATATGATGCTTTCATTTCGTCAAAAGGGAAAATATTTCTTCATCGAAATACTCTTCAATCGATCGAAGACTAGTACATACATTTACATTTTTAAAAAGGTGTTACCTAGTTTTTGAACGAATTTGATGATCTTGATTGATTTTCACATGTCAACAAGCCTTTTTACAGTATTTCAATCTTTCCAAGGGCTTTAAAAGTCTTTTTCCTTGGGTAGCCGTTTGAGGAGATCGAAGAGTAGTGAGCCCTCTGCCTTGAGCTCCCTTCTCGCTTGCCAGGGTCCCCGACGGATTCGTGTCCGCCTTGGGTTAAGTTGGTCAGCCAGGCCCTGGTAATTTAGTAGTACATCCCCATGCGTTCGGGTAAGGGAAAAAAATCTCGGTGGAGGCCCATTTACTTCGAGATGGAGAGCGACCTGATCATCCAGCAGGTAACAATGTGATCCAAGCCCGAGTGTTTTGTGTTCTGTGTTTTGTATTCTTTTGGTTTCTATTTTTGGCACACTTTCGTGTCTATAAATAAATAAATAAGTAAATATGAATAGTTTGAGATATGTAGCATTGCTTTAAGCTTGAGTCTGTTATCTGTATCAAAACTTCGAACTGACCTGCTCTCTAAACTTTACCAATTCGTTAATCCACCATTTGGCAGTGTTACCGCTTGGGTCAAGAAAGTCCGGGAAAGCAGTATGATTGTCTGGCCAAACTACACCCAACATGATTTTGGTCCCTGTCACTAGTGGATACAAACTCTGGAAGACGACCAGATCAGCAGTTATAGTATGGATAAGAAGATGATTCAACTTTTTCTTACATTTGTCGAGTTCTTCACTTGATCAAATCGTTCCCACTCAACAAACTGTGCTCCCTAAATAAGCATAATATGAGACTGTAGAAAACATGTTTAAAATAACCAAAAAATACTCACTGCTTCAATTGCCCTTTCAAAAGGTGCGTAATTAGCTTGTACCGCTGGATCAAACATCAAAACTACATGCATACTCCGATTGTGAAGTTGCTCCACATACGCAGGAAACTCTTCCCACTCCTAAAATGATGCATCGAAAAAGGTTACAAGATCTCCTGAAATATGAAGTGCAAGCAGACCTTTCCAATCGAGAAATCTTTGTATCTGTCCATATATTCAATATCTCCAACAACGGTATCCAAAGGAATTCCCGCGGCAATGTTCCTTTCCACTACCTCTTTCATTTCAGCAAAGTTTTTGTAGCCCCATCGAGAAATCTTTGCAAGAAGAAATATTCCGTTTATGGAGAATGATAAGCTTACCTGGAAGCCCAGACTCCAGTAAGCCGGTAAGGTTGGAGTACCTATCAGTGCTAAGTATTGTTGTGTAACTTCTTCTGATGTTGGACCTGGGAAAAAGTACATGTCTAGGTTACCGCCAATAGTGCGGTATATCAAAGCTGGGCCTGGTGCTGTGGTGATTTCCTGAAATAACAAACTTTTTAGAACTTATCCGGATAACATTGGAAGTCCTAAGTCGCTTCTATGGTTATGTCCTAATTAAGCAACCTTCAAGTGCGGAAGCAGAATATGAGCTTTAAAGGCAGTGTCCCGACAGATTCGCGCCCTGGGAGGTATTGCTATAGTGGGGTTCCTGGCATAGGTGCGATAGGGGGAGCCGGGCTCTCTCCAGGTGAAGGGGGTCTCGGCTATTTCCGACCTTCCAGGTGAAGGGGGTATCTGAGCCTGGGGGAGGGAGGGAGAGAGAAAAGGTAAAAAAGCGTGGTATGAAGAGCTCTAATTTGTACCTTATTTAGGCACAAACTGAAAAAAAAATTTGAATTTTTAAAACAAATTAGAAAATTTCAAAAAATTGACTTTATGAAGACCTGTGCTCCTGTTTCATTGCATCAACAAAAAACGGAAGCAATAAGGTTTATGCCAAAAGATGTACAAGTTAGGAACAACTTCAATTCCTGCACGTCATCATCAACAATATCACTACCGCTAACGTCAGAGACAACAAGTTCGCTGCCTGAAAAATTTTCTTCTTCCCCCAAAAGGTCATCGGAGTAGAAGTAGAATTGCGTGAAAAAGCGCTCTAAGTTGAAAATGGATTTGAAACTTTCTTCTTCTCTAAGCGCTTTTGTGATTTTTTTCGCCCTCTGGTAGCACCAGGAAAGTCAGCAGGTAGGTGACCATTCTCTTCATACCATCTTTTAGGATATTTCAAGAAGACATAGGTGACATCCTGTCTGGAGCACTTATGGCAATCCTTCGAACGAAGTTTTAGATAACAATATGTTTAGTAGAAGGTTGACAAACCTTAAGTAATTGCTTAGATGCTCCACCGTTGTGCGACTTCTGCGTTGTGTTCTGATAACAGAGTGGATAGAAAATCCTCTCTCCACCTCTGCCGTGCTAGTCGGAATGGAAACTAGCCCTTGCTAGTAAGCCCATCAGATTTTTGCGGTAAGTAATGGGAAAAGAGCCAGATCGCATATGCTTTCGCAACACGGGAAGGAAATATTGCATACTTTTTTGGGCCTTGTCGAACTCTGGCTACACCTCCTCTGGCATACGTCCTGTTAGCTGATGAGAAAGCTGCTCAACTTCTTCTTTAACAACATCTGCGGAATAACCGAAAAAAGTAGATACTATGCTGCGCGTTGGTTTTTCAATATCATAGGTCATAATGTCACAAAGCGAATAACTTCCAAAAGCATAAAGCTCAGAGTTTGGTTCGCACTCCAGTCGGGATCTAAGAGCAGTAGCTATGCTGTACTAACACCTTCCTTTTGTTCATATCCATGTTTGTGAATCAGGGCCTGGCACCAGCTGGCACGGGGCAAGCTGGATATCGTTTTTGGGGCAAAAAGCAAAGGGGGTTTCGTTTTTGTGGGCGAAGACATACGCAAAATTGGCGGCGACGACCTTTTTTTTTTTTTTTTTTTTTTTAGTCGACGTTTCGTTTTTTGGGGGATTTTGGGGATTTTTTTAGGATTTTAGAGGGGATATCGTTGAGGATCAAAGGGGACTTCGTAAAATTTCCCAAAAGTCAAGGGGGACTTCGTAAAAATTGGCAAATTTCAAAGGGGACTTCGTTTTCAAAATTCCCTGGTGCCAGCTCGTGCCGAGCCCTGTTGTGAATTTAGAGCCTTGAAATCTTTAGCAACCTGAAGATCAGCAATGGACTTCCTGGACATTTCCCCATTGAAACTAGGCAATCTGCTTGGATTTCTGATGTACGAAATAGAGAGTTTCGCTCAATTGTCAACTCTGTATCAATGTCGACAACATTTTGGTCGGCGTAAGATTCTCCTTCTGTCTCGCTGTTGAACTGGAACACATGCGAGTCATCTGCGGTTTTTTAAAACTATTCTGCCTGCCATTTCCTTTTCAAACTGCCACCCTTTACAAAACATTGAGGGATATTTTAATAGCATGTTATTCTTCTGAATGTCTTAAAGTTTTTGATTCGTTGAAACCAACCATTCTCTACAAATTAGGTAAGGTGAGTCTAGAGCGCTTTCACGAAAGTGACCTTCTTCAGCACTAGATTTACAGAGTATAGATTCCAGAAATGGGCGGGTTTGTGTTAAGGTGTGGAAATTCACCAATCTCCCATAGTTTTTTGAGTGTGTGCTAATAATGATGGCATAACTGTCAATTAAAAGCGCATTTTTTACCAAAAGAACATAAACATATAACGATAAGCACGCTCAAATAGACGCGTTCGCTCACGTTCCCGTTAGTGCTGATAACGATGTCAATTCACAGCACATTTTTTTACTATTAACTTGCTCCACCTCGCTCTTATTGGGTCGTCCCGAAAGTTTTTGTGCACGATTTTCAAAAATTCATAACTTCTGAGTTTTCCAACCGATTTGACTGCTTTCACTTTTATGTGAAGGGGTAAGTCATGATCTTTATAAGACCTCTCAGCTGCTTAGTAATGATCATCTGTTGCATAGATAGGAGCGATAGAAGAGAATCGGTCAAAATTTAAATTTTCTGTGTAGGGTCATAAATCGGACACTTGCAACAAAAATCGGAGCAGTCAGTATTGTAGGTTCTTTCACCAGCTCTTTTTAACAGTGCAGAGTTTGAGCTGATTGAGCGTCCTATGAAAAGTTATGACTTCCCTGAAAAATGCCAAAATAAATCAAATTCGCCCTTTTGTATTGCTTGCTCGAAAATCATAACTTTTCACAGAGGCGCTCAATCGGCGCAAACTTTGCACTGTTAGAAAGAGCTGGTGAAAGAACGTACAATACTGACTGCTCCGATTTTTGTTGCAAGTCTCCGATTTTTTATGACCCTACACAGAAAATTCGAATTTTGACTAATTTTCTTCTATCGCTCCTATCTATGCAACAGATGACCATTAGTAAGCAGTTAAGATGTCATTATAAAAAACATGACCTACTATTTCATACGAAAATAGAAGCAGTCAAATTGGTTGGAAAAATCAGAAGTTATGAATTTTTGAAAATCGTGCGCAAGAACTTTTGGGACGACTTATACAATGTGTTGGCTTTTATCGGTTACCGGAGCAAATGATTTTTAGAGCCGGGAAGCAAAGAAGCCTTAACACGCTGTATACCATTCGAAAGCTGAGATCATGGGGAATCGAAGTAGACCGTCGACTTTTTTCTAGGTCTTCTGTGCCGCGAGATATGAGGGATTTTATGTGCTTCAAAAATTAACTAATTTTGTGTCCTCACTTTCTGCTCTCCAAATGAATGCTACGAGAAAGTCGACGGTCTACGTTTGTTAATGAAGGCTCGCTCTTCAAAACAGATAGATAATCAGCAGTGATTAGGTCTTCATTTGGCAGAAATTTGCTGCTGAAAATGACCATGTTTTCAGATAAAATGCGGTGTATCTCTCGGTAGAGGGGGGCTAGAAAGAAGTCGACGGTTTAGGTCGAATCCCCTTTTCCTGAGCTTTCGAATGGTATATAGGTTTCTGAGCAAAAAAACTAACCAGTTTTCAAAAATGGGGTGGAGACATTTACTATTAGCGAAGCTCCACCCAGCTCCACCAATGTATTGGCTTTTATCCGTTACCGGAGCAAATGATTTTTAGAGCCGGGAAGGCAAAGAAGCCCTAACATGCTGTATACCGTTCGAAAGCTGAGATCATGGGGAATCGACATGGTCCGTCGACTTTTTTCTAGGTCTTCTGTGCCGCGGGATATGAGGGATTTTATATGCATCAAGAACCAACTGCTTTTTTGTCCTCACTTTCTGCTCTCCACATGAATGCTACGAGGATAAATAAATAATATAAAATACCGTTTCTTTTGTAAATTTATGAGTGTACTTGTTGTTCGAGGTACTTAGCCTGCAAAACCTTTTAATAACGATTTTTATCATATTCTCAGAGTACAATATCAATCTCAGCCCAGGTGAAGGGGGTCATCCGGAGTTTGGCCTCAAAGTGAAGGGGGTAAGATCCATCACTCCCCCTATCGCAACTATGGTTCCTGGTCATCCCACTGACCTCCACGCGCAGTCCGGGTGGTTGATGTTTCACCCGGGCCGAAAAATACGAAAAAGGCCTATTCACCCGTTTCAAAGCTCACCTACGGGGTCTTTGGGTCGAAAAGGCCCAAATTATGCAAAAAGATGGAAATGCAAAATCTGCCGGGACAATGCCTTTAAAGTCAGTGTCCGAGCAAAAACTCGATTTCTAGAAAATCCACTTACCGGGGGTTATCCGCAACGCTGAATCCGAAAATCCAAATTAGAAGGCGCGTAAAGGGCGAGAACATACGTCTTTCAAAGTCGCACAATTTGAAATTTGACGGTCCCACCAAGGCAGAGACGCAGAGTCGCTACGGGACCCTACATTTCAACTGTTGGGCATGCGGGGTAGAGGACTATACTCAGACACTCACTGCGGCGGCGCGCGCGTCTTATGCGTGCGGCCCCTCATGTCGCCCGCAGCCGGCCGTCAAATAGCGCGCGCGCCGCGAGTAGATGGCACGCGCGCCGCGAGTAAATGGTACGCGCGCCGTGAGTAGATGGGACGCGCGCCATACGATAATGGCACGCCGCTCGCACGGTATGAAAATTGCCATTCGCATTTGAAGCACTGCGAATCACGGTGAATCTGTGGTAGACCTGATGACAACCTTCAATTTCAGGCAAACAATGGCTTCAATTTCAAATATGAACTTGAAGTTTCCAAAGTTTCCAAATTTTTGAAATTTGAAAATTCAATTCCCAAACTTGAATTCAAACTCGGCACCTACTCGCGGTGCTTATGAGGACTGAGTCTCAATGGAAGAACTAGAAGAATCCCACTTGTGTTAATGAGAAGACAACTCCATTGCGAAACAGCGATAACCTTAATGAACTGGCGATAAAGCACCCAAAACACTGCGTCGTACTTCACGCAGGTATCGCTTGTGCTTACAGCGTGTGAAAATGCGGAAGATATCATGGCACGCCACTCACTGATAGATTGCGCGCCGCTCGCACTCTCAACTAGGGCGCGCCGTTCGCAATACAGTGTTATAGTGGCGCGCGCGCCGCCGCGCCGAGTGTCGAATAAGCGCGCCGGCGGCCGTAATAAGGCGCGCCGCTCGCCGGCTGCGAACGATGGCGCGCCGCTCGCACTGCAGCCTCAACTGTGGCGCGCCGCTCGCACGGCAGCCTCAAATAGGGCGCGCCGCTCGCAATACAGTGTTATAGTGGCGCGCGCGCCGCCGCGCCGAGTGTCGAATAAGCGCGCCGGCGGCCGTAATAAGGCGCGCCGCTCGCCGGCTGCGAACGATGGCGCGCCGCTCGCACTGCAGCCTCAACTGTGGCGCGCCGCTCGCACGGCAGCCTCAAATAGGGCGCGCCGCTCGCACGGCAGCATCAAATAGAGCGCGCCGCTCGCACTGTAGCGCTATTATGGCGCGCCCGCCGCCGCAGCGAGTGTCTGAGTATGTCGCCGAAAAAGGGCGGTCCCCGCGGTCATTTGCGACAAATACGCACCCTTATGCATGCGCGGGCATGCGTTCCTGCAGGGAATCCGCGCGGGACTCTTTCAAATTCGGCGACATATAATCCTCCACCCGGGCATGCGTACTCTGCCGCATAACAGGATCCGGACAACTCGGAGGACCCTGCCCCCAGGCGTAAGTTTCTCCAATTTCCGGTCGTTTCTTTTTGCTTTAGGTCGAGCGTTATGACGTCGCACTTGCGCGATGTTGTGTCTGAGGGGAGCCACTCTCGATGGCACTGAAATCCCAAAACCCTCATCTTGCCCGGACACTGCCTTTAAAATGTTGATCAAAAGTGAGAAAACCCCGCCCTCTTAAATAGCTCCGTCCATTTGCGGATAGATAAGCACGGCTAAATGGGAATTTTTGCAAAAAGTGAAGACAGTTCGAGTCAAAACAGTGTACGGATGTCCAGATTATCTGCTACTGTCTGACGAATGCTAATGACTACTTTTTCACGTTTTCTTGCGCTCAGAACGTCTTCCATTTTTAGAATAAAAAAGAACAAAGCATGGTTTTATGTAATATAATGAAAATGTAGTTGGTACAAAAATATTGGAACGACTAAGGAGTAGGATCAGTATTCTAGTTTCTAACCATGGAACTTCAAAATCTCTCCTACCTGCGCATTGCTATTCAAAATAAAGACACCATGAGCTTTCCCGTTGGTTTCCAGCATCATGTAAAAGGGATGCATACCTGAAGAGTGAAATTTTACATTGAAGCGAAGCGGGGGGGGGGTTCACCATCCAAAGATGAGGAAACTCACCATAGAGATTCTTTGTAGTGATTTCTTCTGAATAAGGCCCCTCATCTCTTGCAAACATTCCCCAAGTTGTGTAACGATCAAAGTAGTGCTAAACTTCCTTAAGTAAACAAAAGATGATCGAGAAGTAGATTAGTTGAACCTTAAGCGTAGGATGACTATTCTCTCCCCATCCATACATCATCTCCGAAGGTAATTTTGTAGCGATTTGTATGAATTGGTCGGAAAAGATGAGGCCACCTGGAATACATAAATTTTGAATTTTTGTATCAGTAACAATGTGAAAACGAAAAATTGTGATTACCTAAAGAAGTGTCGAAAAGAATTTTCTTTGTAGAGCTGCGAGCAACAGTAAAGTAGAAGAAGTCTGATTCGTTGTGAGAGTGCATTTCTAACTGCAACAATTCCATTATATAGATAGTGCGCAAAGAATAAGGTTAACGAAACTGGATGTCCCAGAAAGATGTGCTTACTCTTCGATTGTTAGTAACTCTTTGCCATGAAGTCTTTCGAGAATATCTAAGTAACATTTTGTAGAGAGGCTTTCACTTAGATTTACGGTATGGAGCGCACCGACTGCTATCATTGTAGGGTTATGGTAGGTTAGAGAGAGGGTGAGCCATGAAAAGCCATATTTTGTTTCAGAAAGCAAACAAAACAGCTTAAAAACCCTCACACTGGACTAAACAGACTTGCTGATTCCAAATGAGAAGTTAGCAGTTTACCATGATGCTTCATAAAAAAGTTATAGCAAGCAGTAGCCTCCAATGGTCTTAAAAAGTGCGGTTACATCGTTTAAAAAGCGCAATCTTTTAAGTAGTTGAGTACTGAACTCAGCGTCCATGAAAATCCCATTACACAAGTCTCACAAGTTTCATAATTTTCGAAAATTTTTGACGGAAGCTTGCACAGTGACAAAATATGCTTGAAGTTTCTACCGTAATCCTACAGTTATGAAAATCAATCGGTGATTCGCTTTATCCTGCATTACTTAGAGTTTGGTTTGCAGTTGAAGCCCGCTCTACAAAATGGTGCCTGAAGCTTCAAGACTTTTTTCACAAGAGAGTTATTCACGATCAAACAGCAGCATATATTTTTGAGACACCTGTATATTTGGCCTATTCCAGAATCGACGTTATCTTTCATTCATACCGATTTTACAACTTTGTCGCCATTAGAATAAATTATGTTCTGCAGAAGGTCATTTCATATGTTCTATGGAAAAGACATAGGCGCTACAAGTGCTCCGTTTTGCAATCTTATATCAGGCAGAGTGTTATGATTTTTGAGCCAGTGCTCACGAAAATAGGTCTTGTGCTTCTTATTTGGATACCAGTGGGGTAATGAAAGCTACTTACGTGAGTTATAAAGCTGTGCAAGTGATTTGTTTACACTTGAAAATAATTAAGATGGATAAAATCTTCCAAAATCAAAATAGCATTTTGGGACTTGACTGCCGCTACGCCCCCTTTTTTAAGCCATGGGTCCTCAAAATTTTGGGATGTACTCTATAAAATTTTGTGCGTGGCTTTAATCACGCACCTGCATTCAAAAAATTTTTGTCGTGCCCCCTTCCCCCCAAACGGAAATCCTGGGTAGCAACTGATGGATACGATTGCTAGCCCTAGGCCTTAGCTAAGCCACCGCCCAAGTGGCAGCACAGATAATTCATTCAGAGAGGATATTTACTAGATAAAGGCGCAAACCGTACTCTTTCCGAGCGGACCAACCTAAGTGGAGGAATATAAGGTTTGGGTTTCAGTTCAGAAATAATTTTTTTGGCTACACATGAATTTTGTGAGCTACCGCGTGGGTAGTGGCCATTTGTCAGCTAAGGACTTTCAATCTATACGTCCTATACCCAGATTCACGTAGCTCTGCACCCGACTTTCCTTAACACGCTGCCTTCAAGATCACGACAGCAGCCAGTAAGAACACAAAATACTTCGTTCTGCTTTCATAAATAGTAAGCTGAGTAGTCACATTCAGCGGTATTTACACCATCAAAAAATAAAACTTTTGACATTACCCACTGCGCGGAGGCATGCATTTATAGAAGCGCCTTGTAATGCTGATGCAAATTTTGCTCTTTTTCCAATGAAATGGATGCTGCCTCGCTCAAATTTTGCCTTCTCTGGGTAAAATCATGAGAGCTTTTTGTCATTCTTAGGCCATACAGCAATATCTATGAACTAGCCTCAAAAGTGGATAACCCCATGCACAGGCTCCAAACTAGTATTTCATGATTATCAGCTAGTATATGACACTGATTTCTACATGGTCGTAATCAATTCTAAAAATTCAGAGCGATGGAATCGATTTGCTCTCATCAACCCAGTAATAAAATTTGATGTGTTGAGCATACGGATATGCTCTACAAGCTTTTAGTAAATTCAGAAAGTTGAATTTACACATTATTTAGCAAACTTGCTTGATTTTATAAGATTTACCTGTAAAGAGTCACTCGACTCGGAAGGATTGCGTGGAAGATCAAGCGGTGGCTCATACCTAAATGTGCTCTTTTTTCATGCTATTATAATTATGATATAATGCATATGTAACAAAAATCTCACAAATAGCCTTTTAGTAGTGGTTTAGTTTTCAACTAGGATACAGTAAGTTTCTATACGTAAACGAGGTTGGTAGGGAGTTGTGATTGAGGCGACAAAATTTGTTTAAATAACAAGCTATTTCTATTTCGTTTAATTTTCGAAGAAAATTGATGATGAAATGTCCCGAAAAATTTTCCGCCGTTTGAGCTGAAAGTGAAATAACAGAATCTGAAAGCTTCCGCCTTCCACACGGAATAATATTCTTTCAGAGTTTGTAAGAGTAATATTTCCCAAATTATTTTAAGAAATAGTTCAAAGCTTTGGTTTGGCTTTTGAAGTTGAAAGGCTTGTTGTATCTTACCTTCCTTCCACTCCGATCTTTACGTTCAGGGTCTTTCCTATGTAGGTGGAAGTGAGTTTGATTTGCTTGATGTCATTTCCCCAAGGATTTTTGGGTCCGTCGTTCCTCTCTAACACAGCTTCCTGGAAATTTACACTTTTCCTTTGCGATGCTGACCAAGCTAAAGCCTACCGTTTCAGTCGATGATAGGATTCTGTACCCTATCCCTTTCTTCATGTAACAGTGAGGAATTCCGGGCTGAAATTATTTCATGGAAACCCATTGCTTCTGATGGTAATTTCTATACCCATGACTTACATAAGCAGTGCTAACTTTCCAGATGCATCCCCTTTGTTCACAGCTGTCTACATTAGCATTAGGCTCCGGATGGCAATCGAATCGAACATCGTCTCCCTATGAAACCGTTAGACTTTTGCAAACTTTTAAAGTTTTGTAGTGATCGACTGAAGTTAGAAAAATTCTGAAAATCAGCCCACCGTTTTCTCATTTTCCCATGTTAACATCGCTCTCATTTCCCCTGTCATGTCAATAAAGTTTGTTTTCGAGATGTACAGTATTTTCTTTTTTTCGTCGTAGTATGAAGATGTCCCATTCATATCGACCTTAATTACTTTTCCCCGAAGTTTTAAGTAGAGATAACATAAATTCACAGTCCATTTTCATCCAACAGGACGTGTGGAATAAATTCGGTTTCTTCTTACCTCTTGACCATTGAGTTTAAAGCTGTCAAAATCGGGGGCTTCATTATAGTTGAAGATTTCGATCGTATCGAATGTAGGAATCTCCAGTTTCCACTAAATTTTGTGGGTTTTAACAAATAATGGGAGCACGATATGCTGAAAATCATGACGGTATTTATGTTGTCTCAAAAACTCACCGCAGCTCGTTTCCTTCTAATCTCTAGACTTGCCTCCTCACCGCCAGTATAATACAGTTCCCAATGATAGTAGTTGTGCATAACGAAAGAATCGAAGATGCTCTCCCCATCATCCCAATATAGGTGGCCTTTCGCGGTATCTGAAAAAATGAAAAAATCTCGACTCCACCACTAAATTTTCTTTTGCGAGAAAATATTGAACAATTTCAAACCAGCCGGCTGTCAAGAATGTGTATATAGGGAGAGATTTGATTTTCATCAATTACAAAACAATAAATTTTCAAAAATTAGCTAGAAAGCTACTCGTGCAGAATTGCTCGAAACTTCAGCTTATAAGCTCGCAGAAAATTTGGAAAGCATCCCAAAATTTTTCGGAGGCCTTGGTTGACGTCCCTACCTCAGTGAAAAAAATTTTTTGGACCAACGTTGGCTTTATTTATATATGCTGTGCGATAGTTTTTCCAATCAGGAATGTCTTACCACTGTTTCTTGAAGGAGCTATCACTAATTCAAAAGCATTCTTGCGCGTGTATTCCGTCGTAACATCCGGCTTTTGACGAGGCAATATCGAGCCACCTAAATCGACATAGTTATTTTTGATAACTGATTATGAGACATATATTTTTGGCTTTCATGACAATCGTACCTCTGACTAAGACTGGAATCAAGGAATCCCATGGAGCGGGAAACGTCTGGTCACCATGACTGATGAGTTGACCATATTTGTAATCAAATAGTGAATACCAGTCATCTCTAGGCAAGTACGCCTTGACTTCAGTTGCTCCCTAGGTAAGTGTTCGTAAGTCAAGGAGTGGGTAAACATTTCATAACCCGAACCTCATGCAAAACAGGCACGATAAGCATAGAGCTGCCCCATAGGAATTCATGGCCCAAATCATAAGTCCTGCTGTCTTCTGGAAACTCGTAGAAAACAGGGCGGATGACCGTTCTTCCATACATCGAGGCTTGGAAAAACAAGCTGAACGAAGATCGTCAATGGCTTCTGCTAAATCAGCCACACTCTGGCCACCTGTATAGGTATGGCAAGTAGCTATAGCGGAAGAGGTTAGCTTTTATTGTGGCTTCGGTAACCGAACTCCATTGAGCAGGATCTTGAGGTGAGAGACTTTTACCATTATGGTTCCTGAAGAGAAAAATGATTGTGGTTTCCTCGATTACTTTCACCAGCAAAAGCATTCCTGCACTTTAGTCTTCGCAAAGAGAAACCTCGTAAATGACTTTATTTCTAATATCTCTATAGATAAATTAGAACTCAGCTTTGCGGAGTTACTTCTGTTGAATTTTACTTGCCTCATAAAAGTGTGGAATGCTCCCATCTGTTGCCATCTGAGACACAGTTCCTCAGTCGTATTTCCATCAAAGCCACATATATCTGAGCCGATGTACCTACAAAACCATACCTTTTTATCCTTGTTATTGCCGAATAAGCAGATATGAGAAATTGTGCTTACGAAAATCCAAACATATTGAATTCCTGCGCACCAATCACTGCTGACTGTAGATCCTCCCATGTGGCGCTGTTGTCACCCAACCAATGCCCAGCGTAACGTCCTGTTGTTGGAAAGGTAGATCTAGAATTGTTTTCAGATTTTTACGTCAAAACACCGCTATTTGTTGACCCAAAGTGTCCGCTGAAGTCTCTCAGTTAAATTTCAAATTTCGTAGTCAAATAGAATTATTGTATGGTATAGTATTTAGAAGGAAGGCATAAACAGTTTCGCCTTTCGAAACAATTATTGTTCCGTGAAGATCTCCAACAGTTTTTTGGGATTGGTATGAAAACAGAAATTTGTTAGATTGTAGGGGTACAACGGCTCATGCCACGTTCTCCGCAAACATTTTTGGGACTACACAAACTTACAATCTCGTAAATTTGAAGAGAGAAAAGATACTAAATTATTTTGATATTTGTAACAATTAAAGGGGCGTTTTTGAAATCTAAAAAAAATTACTTCTCAACACAAAACTATGACCCAAGTAGCGCACTTTTCAAAATTTTGAGACTGTTCATCCCCACCCCATCCCCCTTGGTCCGGCCTGGTGTTCTAGATGAAATAATCCCTAGCACTTTGGCACAAGATAATAGTTCGGAAGAGATAATCCAAGTAAATGAGGGAAAGCTTTACTACTGGTGATACCACAGCGCTGCTGCTGCTCAGGCCTTGCTTTTCCCACCCTTCACAACGACATTGTTGGGGTCGCCTACATGGATCATGTTTTTCCTTTTTGCATACTTGAAATCTGTTTTTCTCAGCTAACGCAAGAAGGTCAATTTACCTGGTTACCACAACTCCTCTTTTTCCTGTAGCATTGTATAGAGCTTGCTGAGTAGCTTTTGCTTTGCTCCATCCGTAGAGGTTCTTAACGTCATAAAGGCGATACTTTCCATTGCCTTGCATCGCACACATACATAATGTCTTGGTCGATAAATAAGATTTCTGAAATTGAGTTTAATATTTTTTCCGTTTTTCTCGATATTTCATAAAAAGTACAGTGTGCAAAGTTGTCAAAGGACTGCAAACAACTCAGAAATACCAAAGCAGCTCTCTTCATCTCCTTTTCAGCGGTCATATTTTCGGACTTTTGTATCTAATATTAGGTTGAACCGAAAGATCTTTCCCCCCATTTTCAAAAATTCGTAACTTCCGATTTTTTCAACCAAGTTGGCTGCATTTATTTTTGTATGAAAGACTAACTCATGCTTTTCATAATGACATCTTAGCTGCTTGCTAATGATCATTTGTTGCATAGATAGGAGCGATAGAATAAAATTGGTCAAAAATCGAATTTTCTGTGTAGGGTTATAAAAAATCGGAAACTTGCAACAAAAATCGGAGCAGTCAGTATTATAGGTTCTTTCGCCAGCTCTTTCTACCTGTGCAAAGTTTGTGCTGATTGGGCGTCTCTGTGAAATGTTATGATTTTCGAGCACGCAATACAAAAGGGCGAATTTGATTTTTGGCATTTTTCAAGGAAATCATAACTTCTCAAAAAGACGCTCAATCGGCGCAAACTTTGCACGTTAAAAAGAGCTGGTGAAATTACCTACAGTACCTACTGCTCCGGTTTTTGTTGCAAGTCTCCGATTTTTTAAGACCCTACACAGAAAATTCGATTTTTTACCAATTTTATTCTATCGCTCCTATCTATGCAACAGGTGATCTTTAGCAAGCAGCTAAGATGTCATTGTAAAGAGCATCCTGCTCTTTCATACAAAAATAAAAGCAGTCAAATCGGTTGAAAAAATCAAAAGTTATGAATTTTTGAAAATGGGGAGAAAGAACTTTCGGTTCAACCTGATAAAATGATTGCCAAATCTCCACTTATGGTTTTTACCGCGCCCAACTTTGCGACTTTTCAAAGTTTCAGTGCGGACATCTGAATGAGCTTTATGAGAACTGGATAAAGTAACCGAAGAGCAACACAATAGTTTTTTCGGCATCTCCATCTGCTTTCCGAAATTTCTCAAATCATCTTTGTGATGATCAGTGTTGGATGATAATTGGCTTTTGAACCTCTACGATTTCAAAGATTTCTCACTATTTGATGCGTCCTTGTACGACACGATTTTGCGAAAGCGAAGACTTCTAAGAAAATTTTCTTTGAACATACTGAAAGCTAGCAGAAGTCAAAAGCAATTTTCGGTTGCACTTTGCTTCCTTTACTCATGTAATATCAAAACTCCAGAAGTTCAGGTCGGAAATGGGGTGCTCAAAACCACGGGTATAAAATGTTGGCAATTATCTGATGAGCACAAAAGAAATTTGTCCGGAAACATTACCGCTCAAAAAAAAGCTGCGTCGAATATTTTTAATTTGTTTGATCAACTTTATTTCATGTTTACGGTAAATCAAAAAAAACGGAAAAACATTAGGAGTAAGCTAATTTTTGAACATTCTCTATGTACTCCTACAATAATCCCAGCACTTACCTGTCCGCTCTTCTCATATCGCCAAACAGCATGCGTTTTATAAGGTGGCATATCCCACTTGGCATCCTCATCTTGTGGATCGATTGGACACTTGAGTGAAGTAATATTTGAGTGATCTGTATCATTGAAGTACCACGGATAATCTTCATTGGTACCAAAAACTGCTGGTTCATTCATATCGATCCAAATACCATCATAGGGCACCTCAAAATATAGGGTTTGGCAAGAACTCGGTAAAAATTGGTGGCAAACATACCTCCTCATGGAACCTCACAAATTCATCAATCCACCATTCTGTGGTTTTATTGGTGGGATCAAGAAAATCAGGGAATGCAGTGTGTTCGTCTGGCCAAACCACGCCCAACATAATTTTTGTGTCCTTTACTAGAGGGTATTGATCCTAGGCAGAAACTTTTTTATTGATAATGAATTGATAGTAGAAAATTTCGCATACCTGGATTTCCCTGGGCACTTGATCTTCCCGCTCCCATTCAATAAATTGCGCACCCTACAATAGTTTTTAGTAAAATGTCAAGTAATGTGAAATATGTATACTCACAGCAATTTTCGCTCTCTCGAAAGCATCATAATTGATGTCAATAGCAGCATCAAAGATAGGAATGAGCTTCATGCTTTGGTTATGCAATTCTTCGGCGTAGTCGTAGAATCCTTGCCATTTCTAACTCGATGAAAGTTATTTTATAGGGATCGCAAGTAATGGCAAAAACTCTCTAATCCTTAAACTCAAACCTGCTTGTCTACGGTGAAGTCTTTGTACCTTTCCATGTAGTCTATATCTGCCACAGCTGTATCCAATGGGATCCCAGCTTCAACATTTCTCTCAATTACTCGCTTCATCTCATCTAGGTCTTTATAGCCATATCGAGATATCTGTAGCATTTCTTTTAGGCTTAGCAAGTAATGTCTCTCTTGATCTACCTGATATCCCAGTCCCCAATAAGCTGGCAAATAAGGCCTTCCAACTAATGCTAAATATTGCTCGGTTACTTCACCTGGAGTAGGCCCTGGGAAGAGGTACATGTCAAGGTTGCCTCCGATAGTACGATAAATCAGTGCAGGTCCAGGGGCGGTTGTAACCTCCTGGAATTCATCTCTATCAATAGGTTTTGAGCGCTCACTACATTTTGTGTATCCTTGCTCTCGATACCACATTCAACCAAATAACAAACTTCAAAATTATTATATCTTTCCGTGATTACAGAGTTCATAATTGTTTCTATAATCCTATCCTACCTAATTTCGACTACATTATGCAATAACTTCCTGTAATCCTATCCTACCCAATTTCGACTACAGTATGCAATAATCTTTCTGGTACTATCTCTAAAATATCTGAAGAACTTGACGAGATAACCGTTTAAGATTAGTCGCTTTTGAAGACGCCGCCACGTTATAGAGAAAATTATAAAGCACTAGTTGGTATATTCTGCCCCCAATATGTAATCGCATTAGCATGTCCCTTTGTAAAGTCTTAGCCTGTAAATGCAAGTGAGATTAGTAAAATCGATAGGATGATCGATGATTTTGAAAACTGACATTGTGCTTGTGATCAAATCAGTCATCTCTAATCCTGTATTAATAAGAATGGCAATATACGCGTGATGGTCTACTTCAAGGATCATACTTCAATATTTCATTTTTAAAATACAAGTTTCAACCTCCTTTACCTGTGCGTTGCTATTCAAAATAAACACTCCATGAGCTTTGCCATCTGGTTCCAACATCATGTAAAACGGATGAACACCTCAAGGAGAAGTACAGTAGTACAACCACGAGCAAATATGCTTACCATAAAGATTTTTTGTTTCAAGGTGTTTTGAACTTGGTGGCTCATCCCTTGCAAACATTGGCCAAGTTGTGTAACGTTTGAAATCATGCTGCATAAGAGTATAGAGAGCAGTTTTTTCATATTTTGCCTACTATACCTTGAGCGAAGGATGAACGTTCTCACCCCATCCGTACATCACTTCAGAGGGCAGCTTGGTTACAATCTGGATGAACTTGTCGGAGAATATGAGTCCTCCTGAAAAAAATTTCGACTGTAAATGACGGAAAAACGCTCACTATTGCAATAAATTGCAAATGACGCAATGTCAGCTAATCGTAAGCCTTTTTCAAATGGATCTGCAGAGATGATCTAGATTTTCTCAGGAAACTGTGCTCATTTGCTCATCCACCGTCACATGCAGGGCCCGGCGGGGGTGGCGCTTTCACAAGCTGGATATCTTTTTTGGCCCGAAAAAGCAAAGGGGAAGTCGTATTTTGAGGTCCGGGGCTCCGCTCCGGACCCCAAAATACGACTTCCCCTTTGTTTACCGATAAACAATGCACATATCATTCTTTATTCATCATTCCTTGTTGATGCTACTGTCCTTTGAACTTAGATTCCAGCAATGTGAAGATTCTGTGCTCCGATCGCTAGCCTGCCCGCAGGCGAGAATTCAAATCGCAATTCTCGTAAGAGAAAAATAACAAAATAGGCTCGTTTTCAATGCACAAGTAACGATATGGCACCAAATTTGCTGTATAGTTGGAAGACTATGAGCACAAAAAAGTATGAAGAATTATGAGAAATTATGTGAATTTAAGAAATGGTGTTTTTCGAATTTAGGTGACTCCCGCGCCACCTGGTAGCAACCTGGGGTGGCTCTCTGCTTCCCTTTATATAATTTCCCGGATTTCATTACATAAATGTGGACTAGGTCGAGAGTATTACTATATGTTCAAATCCGCTTCCAAAACCACCAGGGCACCGCCTCGACACAGCCCCATAGGGTTCACAGCGTTATGATCGGCCTCGGAAAGCGCGCTCCAATCGCAATCGGTTATTGTAAATTGTAAATTTTCGCAGCTGACTAATAAATGAGTAGTATCTTAGATATATAAACGTCAAAGTTTGTGCAAATCTTGACCCTATGTTTTTTTATAGATTCCTTTGCGGATGAACCCATTGAGCTGAAACCTTGAAAACATATGTTTTCGGCCTCGGTAGATGGTTTTAAGCTACCCTTCGAAGCAATTCGTGGAATTCTTCTATCGATTTAATGATTTTTGGCACCTTGCAAGGAAAGTGAACACTTACCAGCCGCTAACAAACTGCTTGCACATTTTGGTGTGAACAATGCAGTGAAGTTCATTTCCACTTTGAAATTAGAAGGTGCAGTCACACCAATAAGCCTTTCTGGGGTAAGCTCGTGCAGGAGGGTAAGGGGGAGGGCTGCAGTGCAGTATTGATATTGCAGAAAAGGGTTGGAGAATATGGCCCAAAAGGACGGGGGGTAGAAGGACAAAGTGTGGCTTTTGGCCATCCCCTCAAACGATGACTCGGGCTGGACCAGGAAATCCAGGTAGTACTACTATAATAAGCGCTGGGGCCGCCCATCTTATTATTTGTGTATATCTGTTTGTCAGGGACTTACGGGGGTCAAAAATAGGGTCAAAGGGGAAGTCGTAAGAATATTTTGGTTTCAAAGGGGATATCGTTTTCAAAATTCTGGAATGCCACCTCCTGCCGGGCCCTGGTCACATGCGAGCGCTATAATAAATCATAGCTCATCCCATCCTTGTTACACGTAACTCGTTCACAATTTTCCATACAAAGTTCAAACTCCCCAATGCGCATATCCACACCAAATTTGGTGCCATACGATTGTGTTGTAATCAAGCTATTTGTTCATCTCAAAGCACAGCTCCAAATTCGTGCGTTCCGAAAACATAGTGAAGCTCCATTTTTGCGTTGTGGAATTGATAGGTTAGCAATGAGCACTTGAGACACATACAGAGTGTCCCAAAAAAATGTGAACACTGTTTGATCGTTAATAACTCCGTTGCTTTTATGTCTTTCGCCGAGCTTTAGGCACCATTTCGTAGACCGAGAATCAACTTAGATTTACAGTATGAGGCAAAACTCCGATCTCCCTTCGCTACTGTTGGATTACGGTAGGAACTTCCAGCGTGTGAATCCATTGTGAAATATGCCATTTGATAAAATTTTTTCCAAAAAATCTGAAAAATCTGTACTAGAATTTTCGCACACGCTGAATCCATCAACTTTTTACGAAAGTTTTTAGCTTTTTTAACGGGGTAATCACATTTTTGACAAATGCTGGGAATTCTGTTATTACGGTTTACCTGGAATAACTTCGGAAAGAAGCGTCACAGTACAGCGGGAATTTCATATTCGAAATCAGCGGCTTCCATTACCATAGTATAAGAGCTTTTGGCTTGTTTGGTTTTGTTCCGAGGCAGAATATAGCCTCTAATGGCCTAAAATCCTTGTCAAAGTTCCTAACGTAGTCCTACAGTAATGAAAAGCGATCGATGTTCGCTCCATACCACAAATCTAAGTTGAACCTCGCTCTACAGAATGGTGTCTCAAGCTCGGCGAAAGACTTGAAAGCAAGGGAGTTATTAACGATCAAACAGTGTTCACATTTTTTTGGGACACCCTGTATGTAGATGAAAAGGTAGAGGTAAGATTTGGAGAGTGGGCGTGAGTGAGGGAAGGCGGGGGGGGGGGGGGTCACCAATATGACGTACGTGATGATTCGAAAAAGTCTTGCTAGGGAAGGGTATGCAAAACAAGTTTTGTCGAAGTGATGGGCATGAAGTTGGCAAGATAGAGGAATTTTCCTAATTTGAGCTATGAACATCTGAATACTCTTAGTAGTTTCTTAACAACTTTCCCACTCCCTGCAGAAAAGACATCCTCCTTGCAATTTAGTCCCAAAACGCTATCCATCCTACCTTTGTGTTATGTATGCCGAGCCTCAGCTTAGCGAATTCATAGGCGAACATATAAAGAATTGAATGTCATAATGATAACCGCACCTAATGATGTGTCAAATAACTTTCTTCCAGTGGAGTTACGTGAAACAGTAAAGTAAAATGGATCGCTGTCTTCATGGGTTTCGAGCTGAAAAACTTCAACTTGAAAATTCAATTGCCAAAAAAATTTAGTCAATACCTTTAACGAATCTGTTGAAGCGGATCGTTCACGAGGTAAATCAAGCGGTGGCTCAAATCTGAAAAAAAATCGTTTAGGATAGGCAGATGTGTTATGAACATAGGCGTTTTCGTAGTTCCCAATTAAGTTTTCAGAATCCATATGCTAGAAATGATCTTACCTCCCAAGAATGAATATTTTCACATTCAAAGTCTTTCCATAGTACCTCGAGGTGAAATTAATGTTTGTGAAATCTTCACCCCAGGGGTTTCTTGGTCCACTGTTTTTGACCAACTTTTTCACCTAAAGATGCTCATGACATTGGAAAATTCAGAGCAGAATTACTGACATCACCCTCCGTTGACAAATACTTGTATCCAATGCCAGGCTTCATATAACAGATAGGTGAGCCTTCCTATTGATAAAACAGTTTTCAGAGATGATTCCGTTTTTTTTTTGCAAAAAATGATTACATACCGTTGATGTTTCTTCATTCCAAATGCAGTCTCTATTTTCACACTCTTCTTGGCTTGGATGAGTTTCTGGATGACAGTCAATCCGAACATCCTCGCCTTTGGCCAGCGCAAAAAGGAGAATGGTCGGGATGAACAGCATTTTAGGTGAACACTGTTTTTGTACCCAAATAACAAGTGACTCTGCAGCGGTGTAAAAAACGCTGAAAAATGGGGTTCAATTATTTCATAGAATGCTCTGATCCTACCCTATTGAAAACGATACCTTAGAATTTGGAGGGGCTTTGACTGGGAAATGTTAGATTTGGAAGATTGAGCTAATAGTTCTAAAGGATCATGCGAAGAGTTTCTCAAGCAAATCCTCTCCGAGGGATGTTAGGCATGGGTCGTAAGTACACTTTGTACTACCATTTGTCTCAGTTGCATTTGTGAGATATTTTCCCTATACAATATATACAAACCCTATACAAATCACGTATGCGGAAGATAGGCTCTAACAATGACTTTATGTTCAAAACTAATGAGAATCCAGATATGCAAAATTGTCATCTATTCGTTACACGTATAAAAGAGTATCTAGTTGGAAAACCTACAAAGATGTTTGGAATTGAATTTGAAGACATTTTTCTGCTTTTCAGACGCACTTCGGAGATCCAGAATGCTAACGTTCTCCAGCTAATGTGTAAGCATGGTTCTATGTAATGGAACTTCCCTCATCAAATCTATGCCAAGAGAAGGCTTGTTCTATTTGTGCATATTTTCGAAACACAGAAAAAGGCTAAGCCGGCCTAGAGAGTACATTTTAGTTAACCAGTGGGTTCATGATTTCCTCGGAATCAAAGCAAACAATTTAACCGCAACAATGGTCAAATATTAGGTTGTAAAGAAAGTTCGGGAGTTCATCTTCTGCACGTCCCTCGACTGGTCGGTCATTTTGACCGCTCTTCCCCACCCTACCGGACGTCGAACCCCTTGATCCAGGAAGCCCCGGAACAGCAGGATCAAGTATGTTCCACCCCAACAACGACTATTTATACATCCGAACATTCAATGTGAAACGCCTGCCAAACGAAGTCCAACTACATGAACTGCATGAAGCCCTGTTGAGAAAACGACTCGACTGGCCCTAACGAGATGGAGAGACGAATTTCAGAAGAAGCGCACTTGCAATTGGCAAAGAGTAAGATCACTCACGTTAAAAGAATGGATCAGTTTGTTTGGGTGCCGCATATTGTAATATTATGAAAGGCAAATAAATCAAATCAAAGAAAGTTCCCGGGCACTTGCGTTTTTTCAAATTGCTGTAACTTCGAGCAGATTGATTCTTTTTCAAAGCTACAAACTTCATTGCATAGACAATTTTGTCCATAACATAAATTTGTCTTGCTGGCTTCTCAGCACCTCACTGCGGTCCACCAGCATGCGCAGAAGGGAAAAAGGTCGTCGCGAAAAGTGCCCTATTTGTGCAGAATTATCTCAGGCAGGATGAGAGCTGGAAAGCCCAGATGCTGTAGTTATATAGAGGTCTGCTGGGGCTGTGATGGGGACCATTCATGTTTTTGAAGGACCAGCTGCCAAAAAAAATTATCCCAGAAAATTTGAAAAATCGACCATTTTTTGCCCCCAAAAATGCACCTTTATTCGAGTAAATGAATTTGAATTTGAATGATAATTTCTGCTACACTTTTTTCTAGTTCTGCACAGAAAGGACTAAATCTTTGATTACTGGCAACATTGGTGGGGTAATGCTCTGCACATCTTTTGGATCCATCATCCAGGCGTGGCGATCCCCGCAGAAGCGACGCCAGCTGCGAAAACAGTTGCACTCAGAAGCAAGTTCGACAGCTTGTAATTTCTGAGCGCAAATCGCAAAACTCGAGTGCAGCTGCAGATCAGAAGTTAACAGGCTTCTCAATCAAATCACCCATGATTTGGACGAAATTCTTTAAACCGCACAAAAAATGGCCGTAGGAAGAAAAATTGTGAAATTTTCGTGGTTGAAAAGATTTATTTTCTTGATGTGCAGGTCAAACCCGTCTTGACATCGATGAAAGTCAGAAAGCGTATTGAAAACTTCAGGCTTTCCTCTAGCGAACAGTATAGAAGACTTGGTGTCATAGTGCGACCGAGCGCCGAAAAAATGCGTTTGAAAATGAATTTTCAAAAGTGCCCGGGAACTTTCTTCACAGCCTAATATATCAGGTTGGCGGATAATTTCTGTTACACTTTTTTCATAAAATTCTGGAAAGTTCCAGAAATTCTTTGGAATCTTTGATGTTGCTCCATATGTAGGCCACGGCAGGGCGTACACAACAGTATGACTGATGCCGCAAATGCACAATTGGCCAGCAACTTTACGACAACTTTATAAGCACACTCAAAATTGTCATTTTTTCTTTAATTTTCTTCCCTGCGTCTGATTGTGTTTTTTTTCCCATAATTTTTTCAGAACATATTTTCGCATCGTCTTTTTATGGTAGCACTTTGGTGCCGCTGGCATGCCAAAAAGAAGGGGTGAAAAACAGCTCAGAAAAGTTAAAAAATTGCCGAAAATTCTTCTTTTTTGTGTGCATCGTGTAGGATTTGATACGGAAAGGTTGAGAATAATTTTTGTAAATTTTTAAAGATTGTTCTTCATGTCAAATTGCCAATGTGCGCTGACATGCCGCAACATAGCTCATGTGATCGTGTGCGGACATGACTGTGCCATCTCCCTATGTTCGCTAGAAACTATGGACCATACCCTGCCCGAATACCACATCGCCCGGTCTTTTCTCATTCACCTGAAAGAACGCCACCACGCTGACAAAAATGTCCAAAAAATGTACTCCCACCAATAAAGTGGGTGTTTTGCGCACGGACCGCGGATCTGACGGTACCGACGGGTAGACCTTTGCCCCGCCAACACTCCTTTAACATAAGAATTTTTGAAAGTTTCTTATGTTTAAGAATTTTTGAAAGCTTCTTAGGTTTTTAAAAAATAAAAATTAAAGTGTAATAGAAATTATCCGCCAACCTAATAATAAATCCATAGGAATACCCTCTTGTAACATTTTGGCACAGAAAGATGCACGCGCTGATAGTTTTGGCCCACCATGTGTACAAGCGGCGGTCCTAGGAATTTTGAGAAGGGCAGGCGACAAATATTTTCACATATAATTTTGTTCTTCAAAGGGGTCAGCGACCCTTGTTGAAAAAATTTTTGAGATGTCTAGAAAAGGGGAGCTTGAGAGCCACGCCCCGAAATAATCTTTACAAAGCTGACATAAAATAAAGCTTTCAGATGTTATTTTCATTTTCTAAAGTAAAAACAAGTCATTTGCGCTAACTGAATACTTCGCTGGAGAACGTAGCTCCCGCTTCTCAGCAATATTTTTGCCTGGCTAATTTTCTGAATTTCAGAAATTCTTTCAATCATTTACAAGCAAATTGAATCACTTGCACAAATTTTTAACTGATGTTCCTCGTCTAATTACCAGCTAACGTTACCAGGATAGGGTCTATGAAAGGTTACATACTAGAGGTTCACTTGCTACAGACGCTGAGTGTTCACTTACAATCACGCGCCTAGAAATACTCAACGGGAGCTCTCAGAAATGATGACCATCCGCTGAGCATAGCAAATGAGGACAGTTTTGCTTTAGGTTTGGCTACGCGCCAAAGTCTGATCGATTTCTAGAAAAAGCCCAAGCCTAAGAAGTCCGCCTATTTTATGCGATTGCCTGAGAAGTACATTCTGCTGCAATTAGCACAAAGTTCTGATTTTGATCAAAAAATCAAAGGATAAAAACAAGCTTGAAGGAACATCTAGGCGACGTATACGTTGATGGTGAATGTAGTCATGATGCGATTGATGCTGAATTACGATTTTCTCAAGGCACGCTCAAAATAGTCATGCTGTCGTGAGCACATAGCCGTTAAGCGGTGAAGAAATGCAAGATATTCGCTTGAAGTTTCGAAATTAGAAGCGTAATAGAGTGTCATTAATTCAAAATGATAAGCTCATTTTCAGCAATCATGTCCCACTCTACATAACCTTAAAGTAAAGTAAGAGAGGTGAAGGAGTTGGAGGGGGGAGGGATAGAATGCGAGGGATGCCGCATAGTTGAGATATGGAACAGCACAAATTTTTATTTCCTTTCACTTCGTATGTGTGCATTTTTGTAACGTGAAATTTGGATGGGATTGCAGCACACAGTTTAAATGCCAGCTTAGAATGTAATATGAATTAGTCAATTTTCCTCACTTAATTGGAACTTTGAAAAACTTTTTTGTAACCACCTGAGAAATTAAGTAGCAATACGTAAACAATGTGATCACTGAAAATCTACTTTACTCAAGTGGAAGTCAAGAAGGTAACAGAGCCATAAGACAAAGTAATATGGTTGCTTTGACACGGAGCCAACATACGAATTTTTTTCTGAGCTGCCACTACCATAATGGTAATTTTATTGACTATAAAATGTAGGAAAAAAGAAAGCACTATATGATAAAAACAACGCACACTCAAGGCACCCACTGCCAGCGATTTTACTCTAGCCAAGATTTGTCACACGTCCAAGTAGGATCGGAGGGGTCAAGAAGTCCTCTGACTGGACAATTTCAACAACATAGTTGGTAGAAATCCGATATTTTTGTGCAATTTTGCAAAGCTCCAGAGCTTCTGCAAAGACGATAACTTTGAAAAAACGTCAATATTCGGAGTTTCCAACCCGCTTCTAATTACACCGTACACTCAAGGAAGAATAGCAATTCAAGCATTATTTTCTTAACACATGATAGAAACAATTTCTTCTAAACGCTCAATCCGTGCCACAAAAAAATTTTTAGGGAGAAAGGACCATGAAGACTTTCTTAAATTTTTCTCTAAAGAGGACTGATTTTTTGAATTCAAATCATTTTATTCTTATGTTGCTATAGGTTTCCTCTAAAAACGCTGAAGAAGTTTGTTACGAGCATATTCCTTGACATTGCAATCGACCAGTGTTCGAGCCCCTTTGTTGACGTTTATTTGCTCTTGGCCTTGACAAGCAATAATTGTTTAATTTCGTTCTTTCACAGATAAAATGATTTTATGTTCTTGTTTATCGATCAGTGTCAACCGGACAGCAAGTCCACAAAACTACGAGTAGAAAAAAGTTCATCATCACCGCTCATGAAATGTGAGGAAGTGCGATATTTTACATCTCGATGCTAAATCGAGCTTTTCCAATCACATGCTCCCATTGCTGTAACTTCATTCAAAGCAACTGAGTCCTATAAAGCATACTGCCCGCCACACATATCTCCTCTAAGGTCTTGTTCTAGTCTGGAAGGGGTTGGTAAGTATACGATAGAGTTAAAGTGCACGAATCTGCTTTTTTCGCTAAGTGACGAATTGGTGTTTGATCAGACCCTCAAATCAGAGCTCGGCACAGATGGCTTATAAGCAAGCTGGGCATCGTTTTTGAGACAAAAAGCAAAGGGGGTTTCGTTTTTGTGGCCAAAAAGAAAATTTCCAGCGTTTTTTTAGTCGACGTTTTGTTTTTCAAAAAATTTTTAGGGATTATGGTGTAGGGTCAAAGGGGACTTCGTTTTTTTTTTGCGTTTTCAACTAGCCACCTCGTGCCGAACCCTGCCTCAAATTGGTGGTGGTCTAAGATTTTTGGGGAGGGGAGGGATTGAATTCGCCGGCCTTCCAAAAGAATCTTAGGATGCTTCCCAAAACTTTAGCGGGCTGTTCACCGTTTGAATTTTCTTAGATTCCTTGACAATTATTTGAATTATTTATATGAATAAAACGCAGTTTCATAACTCAATTATAAACTTCCAAACAAACGCTGAAAAGTGAATTTGGAGCGTAATATTGTATCCCTTTGACTGCAAAAAGAATAAACAAATTTATTTATGAGTGACAAACTGACATTTAAGTCAGGATCAAAGGTAAATTCCTGCATCTGATTGATTTCTGGATTTCACCTCGTAGCTGTTCCTGCAGATCATTACATAACCGCTTCCCAACAGCTACCTCGACGATTTGCCAGGTTAGCCGATAAATCCTATTCGGTAAATAAGGATCAGGGCACATAGACCGCAACTCTTCAATTTCCCTAATTTCGATCACTGCTGAGCCAGCGAGCTCGCGCAGCAAATCGAAGACTATATTTTCACCTTCTTCAATGTCCTCAGAGAACAAGAACGAAACATCATGGTAGAAATAAGATCGAAGTAAATGAAAGTCTTCGCGATCACGTTTAAGAGAAACAATGTCGGATAGTGAAGTGAAAATTGGAGATTTTTTGAAGAGCATTCTCACAGCGCCCCTGGAGTTGTTGAAGCCTTTTGATGTAGATTTATACCCAGAAGAACTGTAACCTGCGAAAGCTCCAGAAGGAAACGTGCAGAGATCGGTGAGGAGGAGACCTTCATCAGCAGCGAGGTAGAGTGCTTGCCAGCTATCTTTTGAATGATTCGGTAGCAATTTCGACCAAACTGACCCATTTTCATTCGGTTCCACTCCAGCTTGACCTTTGGCAAGAGCTAGGTAAAATTCTGTCTCTTTGGTCATAATCTTTCCAACTCCGCGAAATATCGCACTAGCTAATTCTCTGCTTTTTCGCAGATTCGTTTTACCTCCCGGATGAGGAAAGTTCATAACAATATAGTGAAATCGTCCTTTCCATTCTTGCGGCAAGTCTGTGGCATCAATCTTGAACAACAAATCCACATTATCATGCTTTTTGAGCTTCTCAGGATTAGCACAACTAGGATAACGTGCTTCGAAGTCACTCTCCGAGTCCAGAACCGTCGCGGTAATTGGAATATTCGGCTCGCATTCGGCGACAGCCAGAGAAAAGCTGAGATTTCCGTCGCCGAGGATCAAGATGGATTTGGCAGCATGAAACCAATCCTGGAAAATTTCTGACCTCTCAGTTGCTGAAAAATGAGTTCAGAATGTCTACCTTGCAAAAGCTGGTCGTGACTGCAGATTGTTCCACTTCATCTATTCCGCGAACTTTTATTGATTGATGGTCTTCTAACACTTCATCGAGTTTCCGCTTCACACTCGGCGCCATCCTGAAAAACACTTTATTTTCTCTTTTTACCAGACGTAATTTTGATATAAATCAATGAACTAGCTTCTTAGAAAGATTTAGTTTCCATATCGGATTCCCACCCAAGCGGAAATAAGTCGGAAGTGTCGAAAAAAATGTGAATAAAGGTCTGCAACTGCAGCGCCCCTAGTTGGTGTCGATACCTTGCACTTTGATGTGTGAGTTCGACATAGGAACTCTGTTAAGGCTCAGCATAACAACTTGTGGTTCTCAAGAACGATTTCGCTTTTACCTACGAAGTGAATTTTGATCCCTTTCCAAGTAGTTACAGAGCTGCCTTCTCCTCAAAGTCCTAAGCAAACTAAATTCCAACTCCAGACAAGTTTTCTGTACCAAAAAAGGCACCAACATCACCACAGTTCATTGAAATCCGCGACACATCGCCATACCTTAGTTCAAAGCGGACGAATCCTTTTAAGGGCACCAATCGACTCATTTTGGAGAGGCAATCTTCTAACATGTGGAAGTGCCTGTTTAGATACGGTAAGACACGGCAGGCGGTCAGACTTCACAAACCTTTTAGATTCTTGCTTATTGTTGCTTACTCAATGCCCTAGTCATTGCACATGAGTGACCTATTGTAGCCAGTTTACAACGATTTGTGAAATCTGACCGCTTATCGTGCACCGTATCTAATCGCTCACCTCTACGGATCAGAGAATGCGCCTCGCCGAAAGTCAAACGGTGATCTCGTAATCAGAATTGTCAGTATGAACTAAGATATGGCGATGCAGATTTCGGTGAACTCCGGTGGAGTTCGCTGCCGTTTTTGACAAATTATAAGCATACTGTATCCTCAGATTCTCTTTTCTTGCTGGCGGAAACACAATACTTTGCGAGCTTATAATGCGAGATCTGGACGGTTCATGACATCAAAGACCACATGGGAGCTCAGCGTCAGCAAAATAGCTTTTGCGCTTCAGAAAGTTGTCCGTTCCCTACTAAAGTTTTCTGTGGAAGCATATTTCAGGCTAGAAAATGCTAATGCAGAAATCATGTAATCTGCCCTAATTACAATACGAGTGAGAAAAAAACTTGATTTTATCCAGAAAATCCTCTCGTAACTTCAGAAATTAGAGATCAGCGCATCTTCCCCGTCTTGCGATATTAACAGTAAATTAGAATTTACTATTAATTTTCAAATCCAGTTAGGTTTTCGACACATAAAGGAGCGAAAATTACGAAGAAAGAGCATATGCATTACATTCGTAAACGTACACTTATCATCCTTTTTTTCAAAGAAAGGCGCTGTTTCACTGATCAAGATGTAATAAGCTTGATGATGTTTTTTTCGAAAACACACTTGAGGATTAAAAAAACATGATTTTTCCAAACTGCATAACTGGATTTTTGATAAAAGTCCCAACATAATAGCGGCAGACGTTAGCTATCAATACGAATACGATACAGATGGTTCCCGAAATTGAATTCAGCTATTTCTTGGATTCAAACGCTTTTATGTAACACTTACATTTTTATATCATTGAGATAATCAAAAATTTATGGCTCCAGTCCGTTCTACTGGATTTCACACAAATCGATGATAAATATTTATTAGATCATTCAAGAATGATGTGTATCATCGAGATCTACGAGGAATGACAACAGCTGCTGCAAACTGAAACCTGCATGAAAGATGAATAAAAATCTTCCTTATCAAAGAGGGAAATTAATGCCTAGATATCTTACATTCATACAACACGCTAAAAAAAACATTCGCTATGAGGACTGCAGTTTCATGCTGACCCTATGGCCGGTGGCGGACACGCACAGGACGTCATCACCTCTTCGAATAAGCCAGCTATCACTGTCTTCCACATGTTCAGCTGGGATGTTGTGGAAGAGATGTGACGGTGAGACGAAGCCTCTGGCAGCAATCTCATACAGTTTGATTGTTCGTTTTCCAGCCAACCAGTCCTAAGAATAGTGAAGTGGGTTCACTGAGCTTGAAAAGTGCTCAGTGCAAAACAACAAAATGTTGGCAAATAAGCAGGATATATACCGAAGCAAATGACACAACAGAACTGATGTCTTACGTAATAAGAATAATCAGTCGCTACAACCCTTTTAGAAGATGTACACTATCATAGAAAGCATGGGACGCAACTCCAAATCTGTCTTCCTTGTCTGCGGTGCATACATGGACAGATTTATATGCTTTGTTGGAGCAAAGATTAAAAGCTCTATGATAGCATCAGGTGCTCAAAGTCTCTTAGCGATCAAGCAGGCAACAAAGGTGGATGAATTTATTTAAGAGTATTTACTACACTTGATTACAGTGCTCCCGTTGAAGGCAATGTCTAGGCAGAATTTCGCCCTCCATTTCTTCACCTTTTCGAGGCCTTTTCGCCATGGGAAATGCATATCTGGGCTTTTCAGAGCATGAAAATGGCGAAAATGAGCTTCTTCAGAAACTTTCCAGGTCAGCAATCAGTGAGAAATACGTAAGTGGGCGGGGCCGGACGAGGTAGATGAGGCGCGAAAGGCTTCCGGTGTATCTTCACTAAATGTGGACCTGGAAAGCTTCGAGAAATGCGCTCCAGATATGGATTCCTTATGGCGAGAGGCTCCGAAAAGCTGAAAAACTGCAGAATGAAATTTTGCCAGCGCTAGGAAAAATGTCATGACAATCTCTAACCTACTCGCAGATTCACTTTTTTTGCTTCAATAATGCTCATAACTCCTCCTGTAGGAAAGCTACGCAAATAACGAAGACAAATTTGAAATCAGCGATTTATGCCCTCTGAAACGGTGTACATTTTACAAGGCCACCTCGATCAAGCCTTTTTCCGCTAGCATTCAAGAAGAACTGGATAAGAAGAAAATAACAAGAAAACAAACCAAGACCTGAGAGTATAAAACATACCGACAACACGTTCTGAAGCCCAAACCCAGTGATTTCAGTGTTACCCTGAAGGTGAACGGTAGGTATCCGGATCGTATCCAGGCATTCGTCGAGGATATTTGAGTTCAACAATGTTAAAGCGGAGATCTAAACATATAGGCTGATTTGAAAAGGTTAGTGTGCAGAAAAACCACAGTTAACTTTAATATTATAGGAATGCGCCAAAAATTTCACGTAATTGACATGAAAAGCTTATAATAGAACTTGGAAAGTGATTTAATAGAAAATCTCACCTTTTGCACAGCATGATGTTGACAGAGCCGGGGAACCCGTAGCGGACCTTCAGTCATTTCGAACTCAATCGTCAACGATTTGGGACATAGAGACTCGACTATATCTAGCAATGCACTGGTAGTGACTACAGTAATATTGAAATGCAATGAAGACGCCTTGGTATGGAATGTTCGAAAAAACGATGACCATGTAGTGCTCTTTTCATCAGTCAAAGTTAGCTGAAGGATTTTTCTTTGACAATCCGTAGAATGCTGCATAGGGAGCGTACCATATCTAACCGGAACGTTCCAACATCAGCAAACGCCAAAACATTCCCACTTTGTTCTAGGGAAGTAAAGCCATGGGGTTTCACTTTTTCTTCTGGACCAATCATGCCCTCATTTTCTCGCACGATTGTGAGAGAATCCTGAAGCAGAGCTAAAAAACCAACATGGAGCAATGTTCCCAAACAGATCTATGAACTGTTTTGAAAAGATGTAGCTAGATCATTCGCACCAACATTACGGCAATATGCTTGTTCTACAGCTTTAAGAAAAGTTATAGTGACGAAGAACTCACCGAATGAACCGTAACCGATTTCAGTTCACGTCTTGGTAGCGCTTTATGATGAGCATCAATTATCAACCGCATGAATTTGCAGACAGCTGTCAACCGACTTATCGTAAGAATATCGCACTGAAAGAAAATATAATAATTGCAATTTGCTCATGAATTTGCTAGTGCTGGCCAAAACTATAAGACTTTCAAAAAAGCAATAATTTCAAATTTAAATCGACATGATACGTTTATGTTCCATTCATACCACTCCATCAAATTTTAGACATACTCTCATCTGAGGCACTTGAGGATATAGTATAGTGGAGATGTTGAAAAACAGGAAAAAAGCTGGAGAAACTAGGAGAAAGTCATTTGACATGTTGATCATCAAAATTTATTTTCTGAAAAACAGTCTCCAATAACGTTTTCTGCAGAAACTCTTTTACAACTTGTTGTTTACAGTTTGTACTGAAAAACCAACAGAATCTAAAAAGACTTTCCAAAAGTTCCACAATCCCTCAGCGACTACAACCCCTTCCCAAGCGCACTACATAATTACACACAGCTGGATCTGAAGCCAAAATCCTAGGTGGGGTCAACAGCTATTAAGATAGTTTAATTTAAAAAACCTTGCAATGCTTGACGCGAAATAAAATAATGATAAACTACCTCTTGCAGTATCCGTACGATCATTTCAGGTGGTAGATCATTTATGGAGGTAGACATCTGAGCGGTATAAATGAAATTAACACATCACAGCTCAAGAACTATTAGTACGAAAGATTTGACTTGAAGAGAACACACATATAAGGCAAATTGAAAGGTTTTATTGGCGAATTATTTTGATAGAAAATTTGCATCAAACAATGACAACTGAAGCGTTGCATGTAAAGACGATTTTACGGATTCAACATTGCACTTGAAAACATACAAGGATGTGGAAAGTAGTGAAATCGCGTGAAACTAAGGCGATGCTTATGCGGAAAGATAGACCAGCTATGCAACTATTTGTAGAAACAGTGAAAATGAGGCGAAATGGTCGAATCACAAAGCTCTACGTCTGTTCGGTAAAATCTACCATGGATGAGAACGAACTTTTGTGGCACACGAGCTTAGAGACCACAAGCTAGTCGGAATATGACTTTGCGAAAGAGGGAGTACAAACATCTATCATCACTGTTATTCTTCAATCAGGCAGCGGAATGACTTACAACAGTTGATAAAACGTAGCAAATTATATGACAAAAGTAGCAAGAAAGAAGTCTAGACTATCTCCTCAAAATTTGAATCAGGTAGACAATGGGAAACGATTCTCTAAGGGTGTAAAGATCAGCGGGAACAGTTTTCAGCCACTTGGACCTAGTAGAGATTTCAGCCGTCAATGTAATAGCCCTAGCGGTGACGACGCCACACAGAGACATACAGATTTTTTTACAATTATCCACACTTGCCACCACATTTCTTCTTCTCTCGCTGTCTATCGTTGAGCGTCAATTTCACTTCCGGACGTCCATCTTTGCCTTGTGGACTTGAAAGCTTTGCATTCAGCACCAATCGGGTTATACAGGAAAACATCTGAAAGATCCAAGTAGAAATCACCATGGAACCAATAGATGTCCAGTAACTCGAAACTAGCGTTTGGAAATTACAGACCTAACTACAGGGTTGGGGGAAAGTCTTTGAACACGGTATTTTTATCGTAATGACGAAGCTAGGCAAGTTGATTACATGAAATCAATAGACAATGTTTACTGAACTGTCTGCTACATAAAATTATCTTTACATTTCGAAGATTCCTTCTTTGCCGCGATTACAAGCACGGAATCGCTTGAGAACGCTGTCCATGGTGGCACGGAGGTGCTCCATGTCGACTTCCTCCCACGCATCCTGAAGAGCACGTCGCAGAGACTCCACAGTCTTGCGTGAGTGGGCGCAGGCTTCGGCCTAAAGAAATGACCACTTGCGGTAATCAAGGGTATTCAGATCCGGCCAATACGGAGGCCATTCCACAGGAGTAATGAAGTCCTTAACGTTGCTTTGGAGCCATGCTTGAACAACCTTCACTTAGTGCGCAGGTACGCTATCCTGCTATGAGCACCAATCGCTCCCAGCATATGGATATTGGTCCAGGCCAACAATTCCTTCTTCAGGATGCTATTCACATGCGTGGCAATGTCCACCTTGAGCACTGAGAGCTCAAAAACTAGCGGCATTTTGCAGTCGGAAACGATCGCCGCGCAAATTGTCACAAAAACCGGATGAAGTTTTCCTTCTGCAATCAATCCTTGCTATTGACTTTCTGAGGCGTTTAGGTGATGACTCTGTTGTTTTGGCGATCAGAAACCTGCTTCACGGTGAAAATTTTGACGTCAAAGAAGTGTATGTTTGGTGGCGTGCCTTGGATAGGCGTTCAGGTATTCGATGGCATCCGCGCAGTCAAATCTGCTTCGTTTCTTCTCAAAAAGCATGAATTATAAGCATCTTAAAAAGCTTCATCCCAAGGCCTTGTTCCACGATGTCGGAGACTTTTCTACCAGAGATGAACAGCTTTGAACCCAGCTCAGTCAAGCTTCTCCGAGGATTGCGACTATAGCGCTGGCGAACGATCTTCAGAATTTTGTGAGTGTCCGCAGTAGCCAATTCATCACTCGTATAGCAGTTCTGGGTGCTGTTCATATCCTGGAAACGACGCAAGGTGGAAAAGACGCTGATTTGTAAAGTTTGAAGAACCCGCGCAATCTGCTGGTTAGCCATCCTCTCTTTGTGCATCTTCGCCACCAACGCTCGCTCCGTTCCAGAAGGCATATCCTCGACAGGAATAAAGCTAATATTCCAGTTTTTGGAGGACTTGTAACTAAGGGTATAAGAAGCAAATACATATGATTAGTATGCAAGATTATGTGGAGAATCAGAACATACAATGACATCAAAAATTGTTCAAAGACTTTCCCCCAACCCTGTATATTACTGGGTCGGCCAAAAAATTTCTGTCGGGGAAGGGGAAATTTTTTTGAATGAAGAACCGTGGCCTTGGCCACATCCTACGAAAGAAATGCTCTCCTGCTTTTAGTGGGCTGATAACAATGAAATTCTCGAAAAAGAGGGGATGGCGGAAGCTCCGAGAAAAATTTGCTAGCTCGACTTTACAAGAATTTATCTTGATTTTCTACAAGTAAAAATAAGTCTCTTGCACAGTTTTATAACCTGTGTATTTAATAACTCTAGAAATTATCGCAACCCCATCCCCTCCCTTGTGTCAACCACTGCCATGTAGATTGCGCAAAGTGAGACTCTTTCTCATACTAACGCGACATTTCGAGTATGAAATAAAAAAGATCAATAGGCAAGCTCTACAAGACAATTACCAGATCCATAATCCATGAAGCATGAGGCCGAAATCTATGAACATTAATTTAAGCAAATGATTGGTCTCGGGAATTTAATCTTCATTCAGGTCATCATTCAAAAGCCTATAAACAGGGACGGCAAGAGGTGGCTTTTGGAAAATGCAAAAAACGAAGTCCCCTTTGACTATCCCAGAATTTTACGAAGTTGCTTTGACCCTAAACTATTATCTTAAAAAATGTCCAAAAAAGGAAACGTCGACCAAAAAAAAACGCCGCTAATTTTGTGTTTATTCGGCCACAAAAACAAAACCCCCCTTGCTTTTTGTCCCAAAAACGATATCTAGCTTGCTTACCATGCTTCAAGCCACCTGCGCAGAGCCGCCCTGCCTATAAAATTCATGTATGCACTTGTCGTCATATTCACTCGCCTAAAACCGAGAAGAATATAAATAGATAACTCAAAAAATTTTGGTGATGAGTCCACGAATACTTAATACTGCATACGCTCTGATTCTTAAGAGGATTCAAATGATGCTTTAAAGATATGGATGAGCCTCAGCATTTTCGACCTATATGTTCATGCCTTTGGACAGACTGTGTGGTTGTACTTTCAAAGGTTTATCGCAAATATTCCTCCATGAGAAACACTAGGACCGCTAGAGATAAAGCTTGACATTTTTAACTGTGCTCTCTTTCAGTGAAAGAAGATATGGCATTGCATGCAGTAGTTTATTGAATGTTAACCAAGTGAGAGGTCCATAAAGTTCATGAGTCCAAATCTGACATAAACTATTGGATCGAAGATTTTGACTTCGTAGTTTAAGAAGACCACGCTGTGCGTGGATGTCTGACAGTCACTTTGTAGAGCCTGCCTTACTTCTATTCCATGCATTCGTATTCACGATACCGCTGTGGAAAAACGGCCAATATTTTTGCACCAGCCTAATAAAAGCCCATCTCATTCAGTGGTAGGCGTTAATGTGACATAAAGTGATGCACATTCAGCTGTTAGTGGTTTTGAAGTGCAAACTTGTTACTAGTCGTGAATAACAACTGACAGTAATTTTTACTTAGTCGTAATTTTTCTGAATGTGCTAAGCTTGTTGCTGCCAAATAAAGAAACAAAATTTCTGTTTATTGAGGCAGCATCAAGCACGCATTTTGTTAGGAGTTATTGCAACAATTTTCACATGCAAGAGTAAGCGAAAAACTTCTACTAGCTTCAATGATCAGCGGTTTTTTTGTTTTGAGAAAATCTCATATATAAAGCTGAATTCTGTTTGTATGTATGTCTGTCTGTCTGTCTGTCTGTATGTCTGTCTGTGTGTACGTATGTTCCGAATAGAAAATTCCATTTCTCAACCGATCGGGACCAAACTTGGCACACATACACTTCGGGCCCCGGTGGGTGTCATAGGCTACTTTTCGTATCGATCGATATCGATTTTATCGATTTTTTTGCAAAATTTGAGCTAGGGGCTGGAATTTGGCAGGGGGGTGTAATCGAGCATGCTGATCACCCCCGTGGGGGTGATCAGCATGCTCGATTACCCCCCTGTGCCAACCCCCAGCCCCGTAGCTCAAACTTTGCAAAAAAATCGATAAAATCGATAAAAGTAGCGGATAATTCTAAAAACTAAAATTGTATTCGTAATCAGCATGCTCGATTACCCCCTGTGCCAAATCCCAGCCCCGTAGCTCAAATTTTGCAAAAAATCGATAAAATCGACATCGATCGATAACGAAAAGTGGACTGTGACACCCGCCGGGGCCCGAAGGGTATGTGTGCCAAGTTTGGTCCGGATCGGTTAAGAAAAGGTTATTTCTATTCGGAACATACGGCGGAGCCGGGTAAGCCAGCTAGTTACTAATAAGTCTGGGAAGACTTGGAAAAAAACTCAAAGTTTCATGCTTTTTGACATTCAGTTTCTATAGCACGTATAGCATCGCATACGTAATTTTTGACGAACTGAAGTCTCTCATGAATGTGTTTGAAGTTTGCATTTTATATCAACAAACTTCAATACTTATAGAAATGCTTTCATTTGTAAAAAGATTCTGACGCTAAATGGCGATTGCATGTGCTTGAGTAATGTGCGCAATTCATTTATGCATTTTGTGATTAGCCAGATCCAAAACCACAGATACACCGCAAATTTCAAAGAGCCCTCACTTAGCAGATGCATGTTGTTCCTGTAGTTGAGAACAGAGCACTGTTATTTGTTGCATCATTTCACAAAATTTCTCAAGCTCACAGAATTTATGCTCCCTTTTTTCTGAAGGAGTATACCAGAAACTACAACACTAGATATCCCAAATTCTATAATACCTCTCTTCTAGTTTTTCTATAATAATTCTTGATTTCATCATTTCTAACTTTGCCGAGACGTTCAATCACCACAAGTCTTGCTTATTTAAAATGAGCACGTCATAAAACTTATACTGTTGACTGTTCCAGAATCTACGACATCGTTTCAATACTTGATGACCTAGCTCCATGAAAAAAAAAAGAAATTCGGATAATATTATTAGGTTGTCAAGAAATTAATGTCGTTTTTCATAGCAAAGCCATAAGACAAATCCAAAAAACTATGTGAGGGGTACCATTCGATAGAGCAAAGAAAGCTCCACAAGATGACATCCGAACATTGGCAGAACTTGTTGTTAACGAAAAGTTCAGAGCCAAAACATACGAGCAACCCCTAGTGCCAAAAATTGGATTTTCGCCCTAGAAAATCCTGCGAACCTCTCACTTGCTCCTGCTTGTAAAGAACACATGCACTTATCCATAGGTACACTTGCTATGATTTTTCCATTCTTAGAAACCAAGAAAAAATTGAAAAATGGAATATGGCAAACTCCGCCCTCAGTAGTACTGGACCCCTCCCAGATATGTCTTTGCACTACTACAAACCTTCATAACTTTAATCATAAAGTTTCGGTCTTGGATATGCTCTAGTTCTCGAGCAATATCAATTTTACACGAAAAAACCAGAAAAAAAACGACATTATTTTCTTGACAACCTAATATTATTTGACCTCGATCCGTGCCTGTTCTTGGTACAAAACTGCATAAATGCTGTTATAACTCGCAAAACTTTTTCTTAGGAATCAAAATCATGCAAAACGTTCGAGTAACAAAACGCCTTGATTTCTTGAAACTTGATGTAACAAAACTTTTGTTCTAGCTTAATAGATACAATGTGGATATAAGCGAAAAGACATAAATTGTCAGGGGTGGTTTGAATTAAATTTGTGCAATGACAGTGCATGACTGTAAAATAATAAGGACGAGCAAGATCCAGTCTCGATTCGAGTCCTTTTGCTTTTGCCCAACTGGAGTGAATCTAAGGAATGCTACTTTGAGTGGGACGTTTCAAACAATTCCCATTGTTACGTTCTTAATTTTCCACTTCATCTGCAAACACGGAAAACAAAAAGATTTTCTTATTGTGAAACTGACATCAACCCGAGCATTACACGGTCATAGACATGGGTTTTGACGCAGACTGGTAAAACATATGCAATACGATGCTATTTTTGGATCTACAATATGACCGCATTTTCTGAATCCGAATGGGCGGGATGAATCTGTATGCACTCACCTCCTCGACGTTTGTATTCTCCTTAGCTGACGTCTCGAAAAATTTTATATGCATAGTGTCGGCAAATTGACGAGCATCGCTTTCCAGTACGATTCTACGTGTAGGATCTTCATTTTTGTTGCCCACTAAAAAAATTTCATAATCATATAAGATGAACTTTCGTCTACAATACGAAACTCTTGACAAAACAGTAAAAAAGGCAAAATCCTACCTAAAATTTTTTGCACACTTTCACAATTTGCGTCAATTTCATGTAGCCATCTCTTTACATTACTGAACGATTCACCATTCGTTACATCGTATACAACCACAACACCATGTGTACCACGGTAATACCTAAAGAATTCTTGTTAGGGAGGGGAATTCTTGTTAGGGACAATCTTTGGCACTGCGATAGTTTTAAATTACATGAATTTTTTATTCTTCGTAACCAGACTTGTACCGATATCGATAATCATAATCACATCACCGCTTCCATCTCAGACTGAGTCAATTACATCTATCCCACTTATAGCTAAGGTCAAGTATGTCAGCACTGGTACTTGTCATCATTAACTTCGAGACACTGGCAACATAAGCGATTTTCGAGAGTGCATACTAGTACTACAATACTCCATGAGAACTACTGATATCCAATAGGCGGAGGGAGGGGGTGGGGGGGGGGGGGGGGAGACGGTGGGGACAGGAGATTCATTATCATGCGAGGCCCACTTCCTCACAGGTAACATTCCACCCAGGAAAATGCTCGTATTAGCCATACCATTTCAAAAAAAAATTCATTGCAACTTCTCTGAGGTCATGGCTTGAGCATTGAGTTATATAGCTATTGATCAAATATGTCGTCATTATTCTAAAACAATCTTACCCAACAAAAAATAGTTAGGCTTTAGTCAAACGTCCTGGTTTGAAATGACACCCCCCCCCCCCCTATCCTTCACCGTGGCACTCGCTGTATTCCAGGGTACTCGAAATAGAAACTTCGCAATTTTGACTATTATTTTTGTTGCATAACGTGTGTTGAAGTGCACTGTATTTCTTTGTAAAATCTTCGTACTATGTGTATTCTTTCTACTTGAAAAGCAAAGCACTGGCACTAAACTTTCCAACAGAAGAAGTTCCTGTAAGGTACTATAAACATAAACTTCAGAGTTATGCACCTAGATGTAAAAAAAGGACTCCACATCTCTATCATATATATTTAAATAATTTTTCACTAAACAAAAAAGTAAGAACTTTGTATATTATCCAATACCTCATCCACATTGCATTCTTCCTGAGCCAATGAACCATTTCATCAAAACAACTCATTACTCTCTACCAGCTCCATTATAAAGGCGGAAAACGAACACTTAACAGAAATGACTTTCGCCACTCTCATCACTTCATCCTCACACTCAACATTATATGAATGCTGAGCAGTGTCATCGTTAGCAAATTAGATGATGCAACTTTCGCATTTCACTCAGAGCATACAAATTCTCTCGCAACTCAATTTGTGCTAATATCATAAGGCATTCTCGCATGTCAAAAAGCCCACTAGCGGGGGCCGCCTTTGTCTTTAGAAGGCACTTCTTGACCCAAACGTCATTGTCAATTCTGAACTCAAGCAGATTCCGAACGTTTGAGCCTATCATTTCCATCATTACTATTTTCTTTTCTCATCTCCTCAATCATACTTTGTCTCATCCTTCCTCGCTCAATCCGAGTTTGTTAGTAATCATGTAATCACTTCGGAAAACAGAGAGTCCAGCTTATACAAATAAGCACTTTACAAAAGGGGAATGCTCCGAATTTTCTTCGGAATATTAGAGCTCATTGACCAGAATATCAGCTCACTCATCCATTTAAGATTGTGAATAAGAGCTTCTAGAACAGGAAACATTCAGCGAAGCACACCTAGACTAAACCATCATTGTTCTGTCTTGCCCTCAAGTACATATTTCAAACAACACCGGAGTAAATTAGCCTACCCATTAGTCTCTATTCACGGCGTACAGATCGTGGCGATCTCAGAAAAGCAGAACTCCTTGAAAGGAAAGCTTTTTCTAATCAAAAACGATTCAAAATCTGCGTCACGTGGATTGCGCGTTCTATGTAACCTTAGCACTCGGTACAAGGGTTAGCACCATTCTTCAGGTAGACATGCCACAATTCTGGTGGTTTTTGTGCCTGCTTCTCGCTTCTCTGACAGTGACCAGTCAAACTCAACTAGTGTCTAAGCGAAGAATAGGTCAGTTTTTTCTTTCGAATTTATAACTCCAAGGAACTAATTTTTCCAGGTATGCGACTACCAAACATGCTTCACTACAGACCGGGAACGATAGAAAAACGACGAATTGGCATGCGCTTACCTAACATTATCTACTTGAGGTCAGAACCCGAGAAAAAGGACTACTGGGAGTATAACTCTCTCATCTAAATATTGTCATTTTCGATAACAAAATTGTTGTAGAGTGTATTTACTTGAAACGTTTGCGGAATAAATATTACGCTGTTTTCGACAAACTCACTTAGTCAAAGAATTTCTTCAAGTCGCACAGCTTATGAAAAAGATAAGGAGAAAAAACAAACTAACTATCGCACGCTCTATCAGATCACAAGCAAAAGTGGGAGAATGTTGGCAGGGAGAGAGCATTTCCCCTTTCGAAGCTGTACACCAGATAGTGCCAAAATCTGCATAGAGATTTTTCATTAATAGTGAGTACCATCCCCCATGGACAATAGAGCCCGCCATACATAATTTCTTCCATTACAAACTATCATTACTATTTGAGCCTTGCTGCAACTGGAGAAGAGATGCGCAATCAGTTTGGATCGTCGGGACGACTCCGACGCAAAACTAATGAAGATTTGGACTCAAGTTCTGCAGAATCTCATGCTAGGTGAGAAATTTGAGCCAGGTTCGATTTACCACATTGCTCATCACTCGGTATTCTGCGAAGATTATGTACAACTAAATAAAAAGTAGCGTATGATTAGTCGAGAAGAACTTATGATTCTGCAATATCTTTTCTTCAGCAAACAACATCGCTTGCGACCACTTCAAATGCAATCACTTCTCAACCGTCTACGAATCAACTATTTCAGTCGAAAATGATCGTATGACGAAGTTGCCAAGAGGAGTCAATTATGATGACTGCGTGTATAAAAAATTATGTTGCTTTGATAGTGAAAACACGCGCTGTTTACCCGGTTACATATTGCGACTACTACAGTGCCAAATTTTGCAAACATAGCGCAAAAGAATACAAACATATGTGCGTAAAAATCATTTTAACAGATACAATCTAGAGAGAGAGATCGTGTCAAAACAACCGCATAAAAACCGCATGATCAAAATGCACCCTTTCAAGTGATTAAATCAAATCAGAAACCGTAACTCACTAGTGTATGATTTCGAAAATATCCCTGAACATTTTCTATAAATGAATTTTACGCACGACTGCAAGAAAGAGACGTTTTCATATCTTTTTCCCATACATTACTGAAGTTCTTCGTTTATATATCAAAGCATCAGGAATTAGGCGGAATCTCATCAAATATAGAAAAATTTGTACAGCATTTGCTACAGGTATGCGCCATGATAGACCCTTTTCAAAATTCAACCAAGTATTTGCTGTAGGCTATATGTCAGGTACATTTGATGAAACTAATTTTTTGTCAGCGAAATGAAGTGACAGTAAAATCAATTGTCCAAACTATAGTATTAGTTCTCACACTATTCAACTTCTAAACACCTTCTCTGCTTCCCATAGATACAGATGGAAATGATATCTCAAGACTAAAAAAGCTGAAAACTTGCGTTGATGTAATTGTTCTGAATCGTTCTTGTCCTGCTGTATCCCAAATTTGCAGTTTCACCCGTTGCCCATCAACTTCAACTGTTCGGATTTTGAAGTCTACACCAATTGTTGTTATGTAGTTCTCTGCAAATGTTATTCTGGAGCTTTCAAAGAAACTGGAAATATACATCAATTCGTCAAATCAAATTCGCAGTATAAGCAATATATCATTCTCAAAGATTGGATGCACTGAATATTCAGATAGATAGGCAAAAATGGATGCAATCTGTTCCGTGATTCTTTGCTCAATCCGACCTTTCTCATAATGCGACGCTCTTTTTCAGCGATAAGAAAAGGACTCACTTAGCAAATTAAAACAGCTCGCTGATAAAGAAATCAGAAACGAAAAATTTGTAGAAGTGCAAAACAAACTTACAATCAGTTTACAGTTGCTGGCGCCAAAATCTTCATTTGAAAACTATTCAGGTCAAATAATCGTATAAAAAAAGTTATTCTCTGGGAACTTTTAGCAAAAAAAAAGTTCAAAAATTTGATGATCAGAAAAAGGCTTTCTGGCGATCAATCCTCTCAGCCTTACTCAACAAACAGTCTGTTTTTGTCTGACAAACAAAAAAAATCCTACATTCCACATGTTTTGCTATTCTTTATTGAATAACGCTAAAATGAGCATCTCGCACAGCTTTTTAGTCGATCGCGAACTATGCACAAATTCAGTGGCGACGAATATAATCATTTTTTAGAAGAATTCAAGTATAGCCATAAAGAAAAAACCAAGGATAGAAGAGATTTGCACGACAATGATAGCCTTCAGCTCTTCATAATCTCCAACAGATAAAGAAATTAGATTCATCAAAGTGCTCGAATGTGTTTGTCAGTTAATGTGTCGAAAGTGATTTAGCTAATACTGACAGAGAATTTGAAGTTTGGAGAATATTGAAGTCCTGTTGCGCAGCTATGAGAACGACGTCTATGCATATGATATACATGGACCAGATGGATGCCAAAAAGTTAGCTTTGTACACAGTGTGCTAGATACATCTTAATGTTAGATACGACGAAGTACAAAAATGGTGTAAGAGTGAGCCTCAGGGTCGTAGCACCAATTCTACTCACTCCAAAGTGCCAGCCAATAAGTTCTCATGTTTTGATATCATTAAGCATAAGGCCTGGGCATACCTTACGCGATTTCAGTCGCGACGCGGTTTGGCCATACTCTAACTGTTTATATCGTAAGGGGTTTCGGAATGTATGAGAGATAGGGCATTTTAACAGCCTACGAAAGTTATACATGCTGTGCATTTCGAGTCTTTGAATTTGAAGATATCGGGGAAAACGCCAGATCCCATGGCGACCGACATCGCGTGAGGTATGCACACAATTTAAGGTATAGCAAATTCCCAAATGAGTCCAGAAGAATGACATGTGGAAAACGACAGACAACGTTGTTGTCAAAGCTATTCTCCAGCGCTAGAACATGATCCCTCCGAGTCTTTACGTCACTCGATTGCAGGTAAATGCTCAGAATAAGTGATGGTTTTGCCGTTTTTTGAAAATTACGAAAAATTTGATTGGTAAGAGAAACAACTAATACTGAGATTAGTAGGAAACCAAAAGAAGCAGCTGCGCGATCAGCGACCAAAAGGACTGCGCGCTTTCCTGATTATTCTCGTGAGTATGAATAGAACCCACGGTGAATATGAATGTTTGCATAGGTATAAAATTCGATTATAATATAAGCGGAACTATCAATATACTGGATGTTCGCCAGTTTTACTCAACTTCTTGAACTTGCTCTTGCTGCTGTGAAATGAAGACTTGGCAGATAGAAAGGGATCGAGGACATACATCAGCAACAAATTTGCAAACGTTTTCAAAGAAATGATAACTGATAGCGTAATTCCGTGAACCATTCCAAATTAAATATTGGATACAACTGAAGATAAAGTACAAGATGCAAAATTTGTTTTCTACTAGCCGACAATGTCACAATAAGCCAAAGCGACAGTTGGTTCTAGAATTTTCAGTGAGTGAGATCAACGAAGTCTGATTCAAAATGAATATGAATAAAGCATGGAACGGCTGACTGACTCTTGCATTTGCTGTTTCTACAACAAATGGTTTTGTTTAAAAAAATCATAAGAACTGCAATTATCGAGATGCTTTGCAAAAATGTCGTAGTGTTCGGTATTTCCAGTACTTTGATACTTATGCAGTTCGTTAATATATCCTCGTAAAGCTTCCAAATAAATTAGCAGCGCAGGAAGGAAAACTGATGGAAAGAGTGCGCACACATCAAGAACTGCGAAGTTCACGCTCCAAGGTAGTGAGCATTTATCAACAGTGAAACTAGACAATGGTGTAGCGCGGTAGCAGCCTTGCAACTAAGATCCTGCCTCTAAATTATGGTAGTCACAAGTTATCTACCAGATACCTATGATAGTTACAGCGTCATCTGAGAAATGGCAACATCACTTAAAATTTAGATTTCTGCTTGTTCATGTTGTGATAACCCAGTTGGGCTCACTACGCATAGATTTCCGCAAAATTCGAAATAGTGAAACATAGCACAGCAATTTGCTTCAATCAAGAACATGATATCAATACTCAATCATGGAAACGTATCAATACAAACCATTCAGGAAGGGCAAGCGATGAAAGCAGCATTGAAAACAACAAGGGGAGGCTAAGCTACAGTCTTTATACACCGTTAGAAAAAAAACACTAATCTCACAATTGTTTGACTTTCAGACCCGGACTTCGCTTGCAAACTATGGCCCCAGGAAAACAGAAAAAAAGCCATCATAAATGCTTTAAAAATTCTAATTACAGATTAACGAAAAAACGAATGAAATTATCTAATTATATATAAAAAAGCAAAGAAAACAAATAGAAGTTCAGACCATGAAGTCAGAGTACAAGATGAAAAAAACAATTAGAAAATACTTACCAGAAAATACATTATCAGCAAACCGAAGCAGCAAACTACTCTTTCCAACCCCTAAAAATATATGATAAAAAGAAAGAGAGCCACAAAGAAGTGTCATACATACCGCTGTCCCCAATTATTAGCAGTTTGAATAAGTGATCGTAATCCCGTGGGCCATATCCAGCCATGGGGCTGCAAGCAGATCTAGGATGTACCGGAGATTTCTTTTCATGAATACATAACAACAGATATCAGGACGGCACCAATGACGAACATCAAACTCAAAAGATTCATCATATGCATTCAGTCGCATTGTGAGATCCCATTGAGGTATAACTTGCAAACATAAACACATGACAGGCATAAAACGTGAATATTACAAAATCAACATTCTAAACAACGGCAAAAATCAACAGTATAAATCGAAGTCGATGCGAGCCACAGGGTTAAAAGATGCAGTCCCACATTTCCTGGCTAAACCGCTACTTGACAACTTCCCATTCTGCTGGCGCCGGGCCATTTCTGATGATGAAAAGGGCCCCTAGAACAATGATGGCGTAAGCAGAGACAACCCGCGCAGCGTGATTTTCAGCTAACGCACCTGTATTTCACTCGATTCTGATTCTTTGTACTCCCACTTTTGCTCCTCATCGTCCATGATAGATGCACCGGTATTTGGTGCAGACGATGCTGTCGCTAAAAACAATCCCTTTCAAAAGAGAATAGAGCTGCAATAAAAACCAAAAGAGTAAGGAAGTACAATGAATATACAATGACATAAAACACTAGCTAAAGATATTACCAGGCTCATCGGAGAACATATCCACTGAATCGACCGCTGAACTATCTAGCTTCTTCACTAAAAACTCTAGCTTTTCTCGGGTCCAATCGTAAACGTCCATCTGAACATATAAAATGTGCGGGCAAGCTCAAGAGCTGGACTCTCCTATCCAAGACCACAGGAATCATAAAGCGATGAAAACATACAATGGCTAGGAATCACCCTTCAAAAATCCTTGCCAAGAAAAAGCAAAGAAGATTACCATCCAAAGAAGGACTGAGTTACCCAAGAAGTAAAACTTCAAAGACAGAATAGGAGTGAGAACTACGAAAAAACTTACGTGACCAGCCGAAATTAGCTCGTCCGCCAGACCGCTAATCAATTGTGTCTCTTTCTGTGAGTCGCTTTCACTCAACGTCTTTCCCTCTTTCTTGGCTTTCCATCTAAGCTTCCGTTCTTCTGCAGCAGACAATCCTAGAAGAGATATTATGGTTGCAATAATATAACATAAATCCTTATCAAAAAGAAAAGAGAAAAAGAATGAAGATACTGTCAAATCAAAATAATGAAAAGAGAAAAAAACAGGCATAAGGGATTTGGCTGAATAGACTAAAAAGAACAATCTATACGTGATAAATACGAAAAGAAGTATCAGCGATTAACCTTTGGCTTTTTTTAAATCGCTGAGAGCTTTGGCAACGGTCTGATTTGGTTTCATACGCGATATCAACGACACGAAAATTTCCTTTCGACGAATATCATTCAGTGTTGGCGGGGCAACGTCGTCGTCATCTCGGTCCTAAAACTGTGGATCAATAGAGGTGCACTTGTTACAAATTGATTTTAATCGTTGCATCTATGCAAAAACTAGCCAAAAATATTTCAAAAAGCCAAGGGTGACATTCTATCATCCACAAGCCTAATATTTCCGTATATCCAGAACAATAAACAAAACAGTACGAAAGTACATTTGACTGTTCCCACTGGTCACCGGCTTTCTCTTTTATGGTCGTCCAATCGATATCATCGAGCCAAGCATCTTTGATTTCCTATAAACAAAAGCGCATGAAAAGCGTAAGAAAAAAATTCTAAGCCTGATGGAAATCTTACCTTCTCTTTCTTATCAAAGATGAAGTTCCCCGCGTCATCAAAATGTCCATCCTCCATATCTTCTTTCATGTTGAACGCGGTAATCTTCATAGAACCATCAAAATCTAGAGTAGAGTCTTCTTGTCCTTCGACCTTGAATAAAATTTCCTGTACACTATAGGAAACAAATGAAGACTGACCTTTCTCATATCCAATTTCTTGTGATCGTCTTCCTCTTCTTCATCGCTATCCAGTGTGTGTCTTTTCTTTACCTCTTCTTCATCTTCCTAAAAAATTATCGAGGTAAGCATAGATTTTACTCCACATATTTGCAGTCCAGCAAAAGCAAAAACACTTCAAGGCACTTGGAATTTCAAGTCCAAGCAATCCTCCGAAAGGAGTGTGAGTGAGAATGCAAAACAAACTTAGCGTCGGTCGAGAAACAGCAGCTCGAAAATTCTAGTTTATTCAAACTAGAACAAAGCAAAAAGTTCAAAGAGCAATGAATTAGCTACGAAAACTGTTTCTTACAAAATTCTATGCTTCCACAGAAAACATGAATGGTATGATTTCCCAGTACAACCTCAAATATCAGATAAAAGCAACGAAAAGGGATAGTAGTATAAAAGCTGAGTTTGACCATGCGAATCTCCACCAGTCATCTGCGCGCCAGAACACACCAGTGGCTTGTTAAGCAACATTAGGATCGATGCGACTTGAAAAACAAGTAGGATTCGATCATCACTGCTGATCTAGTCCGAAGAATAACAAAACTTCGCAAAAGTGTTATGTATAAATCACCAAGGACAACGGCTTTTCTTATGACATGACATAAACCCGTAGACTTAACAACAGGTAAATGCCCTCACTTTCCACTTTGAACCGAATTTTTTTTTCGAATTCAGAGCGATTGGAGTTCGAAAGACGTTCCCATTAGAGACTCTATCATACCACCTTTACAATATGAGCTCCCACTACGCTATATTCTTTCTATGTCTAGACATAAAATGCGCACAATTGCCCAGACTTTGAATTATCGACAAAACATGGAACACAGGGCAACGATTCCGTTTACCGCATATTAAAAGAAGATGAAAACAACAAAAAGATGAAGAAAACATGTTTCAATCACTGAAACTCCGAATCAAGAGAAGGAAGTACTAGAATGATGTAAAAAAAACTTCGTACGAGTACCAATATGATCAACATAACTAGATGTCGAAAAGTCGACGGCCAACTCATCGATGTAACGACAGCATCGGTCTCTAGCTGTCAGAACTGGATTGTCTGTCAACACTGACGAATGACTCACATTTCGAGAGGTGCAATAATGAGGTAGTAAAAAGTAAAACAAAAATCTCAAATTTATGAACGAGTGCACTCAAAATTTAAGCGATGGAAGATAACAGATAAAAAGTCATTTCGACAAAAAGGCTTCAAACGACCAACAAAATTTCACAATAGTGGATGCAACAAAATGGTGTTTAACGTCCAGAAGAAATAAGCGACAGTACAGGTACGCATGTCAATGTTTGGATCAAATCTAAAATTAGCAAAAGTATTTTGTAGCGAATTTAATCAGCTGTGCTTGCGAAAACTACTGATTTGTGTTCCTTTCAAAATTCTGGAAATTGATCTTTAATTCACATTTGCTATTTAGAACAAATTGAGAATGAAGAAAATGTTGAGAATGGTGAATAAAACAGTCAGTAATCTTCATCACTATCAGCATTAATGAAAGCTGCCAGTGAAACTTACGAAGCAGAAAGAAGCTGCTATGCATTTTGAGTCCAAAAAAATTGGCAGAGATGTCAATGCATAAATGTTTTTTAACAAAGGAAAAAAACAAGTATGACCAGAAGACGAAAAGAAGACGTAAAAACACTACCTCTCGCTCTTTTTGTGGTTCGTCGCTTTCGGGCAAATCGAATTCATCACCGTCGTCATTTGACAAGGCAATACGTTTATTACTTCCAGAGCCTGAAGCGATATCGTCGGCGAAAGAAACCGCCGCGCGCTTTGACATAGTCTGAATTGCTACGTAGTGTTATTAATCAATGTGACGTTATCAAAAACCGGTTCCAGCCAACGAAGATCACGCTGGCCAGGAAAACACGAGCATTAGGCCGGAAAAGGCAAAAAATCCGTCGATTAGTCGAAAGATAGTGAAGAGAAAATCGATGTGGAGCAGAACCTGCTGAAGCAATGAAGCTAGTTGTGTTAGTCATATACAAGGATGATGACGTCCACGACAGTACCAGTTCCTGCTTACGTAGTATGAAAATAGGCTACGGTACAAAGTTTCCTTGGCTTGGTGCATGACAAATTTTCACTTAGCGAAAAGACAGATTTGAAATCATACCTGCTTTTTGTTACTGACATGACGATGATGAGAGTGACAATTTCAACATCAAAATTTGGAAGGCGAAGATAGACGTAGAAAGCCTACTCTTCCAGTAATTACCGCCCACGAACTCTTAGTTTATACGAAGAATGAAGAAAGGTGGAAACAAGAATTAAGAATTTCGGCAATGCTATCGAATTAAAGCAACAACATTAGAAATTTGAGAAAAAGCTCACGTCTTAATTGTGGGCAAAAATTTGTAACTTTTGAATATACGTCACTAACAATGTCGTATTCAAGCGCATCACCAGAAAATCTCAAACTTTAACATTGTCATGAAATTCTTTGAGAAAATGAATAGAAGAAAAACGACGATGACAAACAAGCAGTAACAATATACTGAATGTATTTTGGCATTTCACAAATTGCGAAAATGACATAACTAGCAGTTAGCACTTAAATACGTAGATCATTAAAGTAGGGATCGAAAATTAATTGCGACGGCAGAAAACGTGACGAAAAGATAAACGACGCTCCAGCGCACGGGTTCCGGAGGCGCGGGATTCGAATTTGCACGAGTTTGAATTTTCCTGCACAGACTCCTTTCCTTCTTTCACTCTTTCTAGCTAGTACTTTCTTTCGTTACATCTCCAGTGATTATGAAGTGAAGATGCTGAGTGGTATCTATATCTTAGAAGAGAATCATCGCTAAAGCTCAGCATATGGGGCAGTGGATTTCTTCGAAGTTAGACAACTCCTTCACATCGGATGGCGACTACGCGGTAATTGATGAGCAAAATACTTTCCTTGAGTAACGATTAGAATACATCTTTAGGATCCCTTAACACCAAATGGCAACAACAAACGCATCTTGACCATCGATCCACGATCTCCAACTGCTGATATCAATAGGACTCCCATTGAAGTTACTAGGTAGGGTTTTAATGAGTACACCACTTCGAATTATAAGCACAGACTGTCAACTTCAACTTCTTGCAAACGTAATGGTCACAAATCTCTATCAACATCAACAATACGACTAATCGTGACTAACTATCAAAACCGAAATACAAGAAGATCGGCATGCAATGAACTCGTAAAACTTTTAGCGACTGAATCGCGACAACCAAATCGCGTGAACTCTGTCCGAGGGCTTAGAGGAAACGATGATACATGATATTAACGTAAAGGCCATTCACCATTGTCCCCTGTCAAACTTTTTGTGTGTAAATTAGGCGACCGCGACTAACCTTGAGGATGAATCACGAGCAGAGCACAAGCTGTAGCTGGTGAAACTCTAAGCTTGTGAGCTGCACTGATTTAATGTGATTGGGTGATAGGCTAAATTTGCGCCATTGTATGCAGATTGTGCTCTGCGTCAATAACTTAGTCATATCCGCTTCGTATCCGATCGGTGACGTTGTAATGAGAATTGCCATAATCATTGTACTGTTAATTGACTCCTTTGTAACGCGACTAGCCGAGTCGTTTTACATAGGTGACGAATTTGTCAGATATAAGTTGTTAAATCGTTTGACTCATGTGAGTGCAGCGCTAGCTGCATCTCTATGTGTTAAGCTTGTTCTGATAGGGAACGGTCAAGAACAAGAACGTGACGCGCATGCGCGCCGACAGGTGTTTGCGACACCTGTGCGCACGTGCTAGCGCCTGGCTAGACAGATGAGAGAGTGCTCGTATGTTACGTCATATCTATACTTAAAAATAATCAAAAGAATTTTCAAGTTTCTTTCAATATTCGATTCAGCCTTACAGAGAAATTTCCTGGAGGGGCGTGGCTTCTTCGGGATTATGGGCCCGCAAAAATTCTACAAAGCACATCAAAAATTTCCTCGGATTGCGTGGCTAATGCCACGCACCTTCATCAGAAAAGATTTTTTTGTCCTCTCCCCCCCCCCCCCACCGAACGGGAATCCTGGTTACGCCACTGACCACAGAATAAATTCTTCACCCGCGCAAACACATCTGAGCTACGAGCATGAAGAACGCAATGAGGTAGTGCAAAGGAAACGCGATTAAAACAATAAAGTCCTTCCGACCTGACTTCCGCGTTTCGTTCTAGATTGTCATTTACTCTCAGCCAAAGTAGTGCATCACATATATTTATTGAAATGTAGATCGACACAAAACTTTCCCGATAACAGAATGAAAAAATGTTGAGAGATGAGAGAAAAAGAGAAAAAGAGAGTTCAAATCACAAAATAATGTTCTTGCAGCACTCCAAAAGCTAACGGAGCTGCTGAAGTCGACAATAGCAGTCCCATAACCAGCATGCCAACAAACCGACCTCGTACGCTTCATCAAAGAATCATGGACAAGAAGAGGAAGGAGGTTGATGCTTGAGACTTTGTCGAAAGGTGATCATCTCTCCTAGATTGCTTTTCGCTACAGCTTCAGCTATTGAGATTTTCTGTCGGTTGAATTCTTCTCCTTCCAGCATTCTCAAAGTCGCTTGAAGTGAAATTTCTCTGCTTCGTTCCATGGGAAACAGTCTGGCCTCCCATAACGAAACGTTCGTTTCGGATGTTTCCTGCCCCATCCAAAAAAGCTTTTCCTTCTTTGCTTTCAAATCATCATCAGTACGAAGTAGTACAGTTACGTAGAATCTCTCATCGTTTTCCCTGATGCACAATGTAAACACCATGCTTTTGTTAGGAATTTGTATTGACTTTGTAGACTCGCATCCACTTATTATACATTCCTCGCCAATGCTTGCGTCCTTCAGCTTGCAGTACTCTATCAGCGAACCACTGCCAATCTGTAAATATATTGACTAATTATTTGTTGACAGACTGCAACTTATAATCAATCTCATCCTGCCCCATCGTTATCACTTATTTATTCACTCACTTTGATTTATTTTACTTTGCATTCGTTTGATTGCATGGTCAATTTGATAAAATCCTTGTAAATTTGAAAAGAGAGACTGTCAGCTAAATTTGTGTATCATTTGAAGGATATCACAATAACTTGCTTACTACTTCACTTGCTAAAAATGGGCTTATCGGATAATTCTTGAGAGGACACAAGTCTGGTTTAAAGAACCAAGGATTTCGTCCTTATGTTATCTGAACATCTCGAAGGAACCTAGGAAATGCGCGTGAACAACGTAGGCTGACTCCTTTTTCAAATGCGGGCGAAAGACCTGAGAAACGCGTACTTGGACCTAGATCAATTGTAGCATTTATAAGAGCTATTCATGTCTCTAATACAATCTTATATTGTTCAAATTACTGATCTGGCAAAACTGTGAAAAGGAAAACAGAATCTCCACAGTCAACAATTCTTCCATTTCAACTTATGTATGCAGCCAATTCAAGTTTTACTAGGTCCGTCAGCTTGACGAAACTGATGCAACCAAGACTCCAGCATTTAGGGGCAGAACTCTAGTCCTCTTGTGGCCATAAAAATAGGTCGGCATTATTTGTAGAAGCAAGAAATATCCTTGCCAAATAGAACCCTCAACTTCTTACCAAAACTGATTTATGACTAATGAGACAGTAAATAGAAAGGGCCTATACTCAATCATTTTTTTTTGTTTTGGAAAGGCATAACCTTTATTAAAGTTTTTTTTCATAGAAATTTTTCTTGCATCCGGTCTACTTTCGCGAAACTACCCTAATTTCACGCTATAGGACGCAGAGGATTTTTTTCTAAAATCAAGCAGCACAGACACATCGAAGGGCTTTGCGGCCTAAAAACTATGTACAGTGCTACATAGTTTTCCGAAACACAGCGAGGCGGCTAAGCGGCACGCTTAGAAAACCGAAAAAGGTGCGTCTTATAGCTTGAAATTAGAGTAATTTTTCAGGAACTTGGAGGTGTGATTCGTGAAAGGCAACGAGTAGCCGATTTATGGGAGCTCGAGAAATTGTGAAGAAAACGCGATAAAAAAGAATGGTAAGCTGCGTTTTTTTTTTCACCGGAAATGAAACGATTGAAATACGCGCACCAACGCTACCGCGGATCTTTACGGTAAGATAATTGTGACAACTATCTGCCTCTTTTTCCGAATTTTTTGCATCTCACTTACCGTGCAATCTTCTAACGAGCAGTAAACAGCTTGCGAAAATGATGGCAGAAACTTCTGTGCAAAGGTAGATCTCTGACGACAGTGAGCCTTAAATGACAGTTCAAGCTGAATGCACTACAGAAGGTCTTACTCTCACCAGAAGCTCTCGAGGGGTGCCCATATGAAAGAATGAGTAAGTACCGAGGTTAACTACTTGTGGCATGATTTTCGAGAAAATCTCTGCAAAGGATTTTCGCCATATCGATAAATCAGAGGACCCTAAAATTTCCACAGAGAAATTTTTTGCGGTGCAACTTTTGCAATACTTAGCCAAATGAACGCAAACCAGTTCTGACCTTCGTTGAGATAGTCCAAGAGCGGTGCATATCCTAATGGTCGCATAAAATCTCCATAACAGCACGTCTCAACTTTACATGGACCACAGTCGCGCCATAGAGCAACAAGCTGTTTGCAGATCGTCCAAGACAACCAATAAAAACTATAAAAAATGAATGTGTCAGTATCAACGGTCTCATGGGTAAGGAAAATGGTATTTGAAAATAAAAGGAGGATTAGGGTGAACTTGGGCAAGTCAAACAGAAATTTCGCGAGAACGGTTTTAGCATTTCTGCATAGTCGTTGTCGAATAGTACCTGGGATGCGGTATGTTTGATCACGAAGTTAGGTGAGATTTGTATGCAAAAAGCAAAGAAGAAATTGAAGATATGGATCTCTTAATACCAAAATAGGAAACTTGCAGTTATGGTATAGCAAAAAATCGATATATTGATTGAGAGCTTTCCAACTTTCGTTATGGTAGTAGCTTCAAATGGTAGAATGGATATTGAAGTTTTTGATGAATCATGTTCATGCCAAGTGCTTCACACTCTTCCCTATACGCTCCTCATTTTTTCCCTGATCTTCTCATGCCACGTTATTCTATAAAAACTTTAGGATACCAATCTGTTAGCGCATTTCCAGATGGAAGAGTTGCTCCACTACCCTTGATCAACTCCAGTGATGGCTTTTGTAGTACAGCCTTCAGTTTTCCCTCCGAATCCAGCACAAAAACACCGTGGTCTTTGGCAACCTGAATGTCGAGTAAAACTACTGAGAGCAAAGACTGAATTCACATATTATCAGGAAGTCACTTTTGCATCAAATTTGGGTTCTTTACCATATTTAATGCCTATTTTTTACGAGAGTGTAAATCAAACGGTCATAGTAATTTGGAGAGGCTTTGATTCAAACCTCTAAACTTGATTCCGTAGCAAAAACAACCATTTCGGACGATTCGCACTTTTCGAACTTCGATACATCCTCGACAACATCTGACGAGGACACCAATAATCCTGGTGGAAGAATGCCAGGCAGATGCCTGAGGTGGCAGTTGATTGGTAAAATTGCCAGAAATTACGGTTTGCCTCATTTACTCACTTATATGTATCCAGTTTCTTCTCAAGGATTGTGGTGCCGTCTGGTAGTGTTGCAAATATTTTTCCTAATGCTGAGAGATGAGGAGTTCTTTGTGACAAGCCTCCGGAGTGGACGAGTAAAATCTAAACGATTTCAGAATGCAAATGATTTACAATCTTTACAAACGTTTATAAAGAACAACAACAGAGGTTTTATGGCAGGCTTTGACTGTAGTCTTTTGTTCTTTCAACATCTTCTTGAGACTTTACGAAGTCATCTACCTATCAAATGCTGTCCTCTGATGGTATCACTACCAGTGAAAATTTTATCACAGAGATTAGAAAGTTATGCCGGTGCTGCTTTTTTCTCGAAGGCCAATGAAAGTGACTCAAGTGCTTACATTGGGAGATCAAAAGAATTTTTTGAAGAAGCTTCAAAACCTTTCCTCCGTAAATAATCTGTTTCAAAGCCGATTCAACTTGAAATATTAATAGCCGTAGTTCAGCTGGTTTTTGCAAAAACAAGATGCTTGCACATTTTTTTGCAAGTGAAACAACGCAAAAAATCGGTTAATTTTCCTTTCTCAGCCACTGCATCGTCACTGGTTCACGGTTTCAGACAGATTTTGCAGGCAGGACTTATTTCAAGCTCGCAAGAAGGCTTGGACATGTTTCAGCTTCCCATCTCTTTTTGATATCTGTCTCCTTTCTGATACACGCACTCTTTGGATAATTTAATAATAGCTCGATGAATTGTGTGTTCTTCTTGTGCCTTACAGGTTGGTAGGTGGTCCTTTATTAGTCAGTATCAACGGCCTTACGTTTCAACGCTTTCGTCTTCGTCAGAGGCCTAGAATGGTTCTGAGTTTCATCAGTGAGTCCAGCCCACCAAGTCTCTCCCCTAGTTCTGCCAGTTTTCGGCCTTCACCCAATCTAGTTGCCACAAAAATTGCGAAAGCAATGACATACCAGGGAACCACCGCTTCGTCATCAGATGTCCGTACCGGAAGGAGACGGTCGCGACGGACGAATGAGTTATACTGTTTTGGATGGTGAATGATCTACAGTCATAACTCGCATAATGATATAAACGGGAGAAAGTCAGCGGTTATTGATAGACATTCGTTTTTGCTGTTCATTTCTGGATTCTTCGCAGAAATCCAGAAGGCTTCCATAGCTTTCCTAGCTGAGATCTCCTCTTCAAATGTTAGAATCGTGACTTTAATGTCAAAATCTTCATCACCATGCGCCTCGCGCCTATGTCTGCCAAGCGTTGAAGCCATGTTCTTTCGCCTTTTATCTGCAAGATGTTCTTTTACGCGAATGCTAAGCATTCTTCCTGTTTCCCCAATGTAACGTGCGTTGCAGCTCAAACAGTCGAGTTGATACACGACTCCCATCTTTGCGCAGTCTCCCACTCTCCCGTGCGGACAAACAACGCATTGCTCAGATATACAGTAAAAAAAAACAAAAAGAATAAAAATAAAAAAAAATAAAAAAAAATAAAAATAACAATAAAACAGCTCGATGAATCTTGCAAGTGAAAGCGAATCCCCTAATTTCTCAGATTTAATAGTTGAGCCCTCAAAATAACAGTCACTTATGTAGAGAGAGCTTTTGCCACATGTTACGATCTTCTTAAAAATGCAGAACAAGGATTGCATCAGCTAATGTTGTGTATGGAATCTTTATTACTCGACAGTAGTCGACAACTGAGAATTTCGGTTACTTAGCGTTAACAAGAGAGTAAAAAACCTGCGTCTAAGGCTTAAAGTGCTTCACATTCTTGGTTTGTATAATATTTTGCTTTTTTATGGAGTTGGCAAAGTGTGCAATCATTTGCTGGTTCAGCTTTCTTGTCTCAACTGTTACAATATCTTCGGACGAAACAAAGGTCAGTACGCGGAATAAAAAGGATTTAACCTATAAGCTGCTCAGAAGTCACCTAACTTTCCTAGTTTCAGAGCATGTAATAACTTTTCAAAACTTCTCTTTTAGTTTTACTGGGCCAAGAAAACTAGTCACCTTCTGATCCACAAGCTGTCCGAGAGTGCTTAGAACATTTAGTGTAGCGCCACCGGATCCTAGAACCTGTACTTTCCATGACTATGAGTTCCTTATCAACTCTTACCTATCCGGACGCCGTCAGGGTAGTCCGCAATGACTACTGCTTTCTTGCAATAAGAAGTGAGATCTTCTTTTGATAAAATCAATTCAAAATCTTTCTTCTGTTTCTCGCTTCCTGCTGTCAATACCAATATATCCCACTTTTCCATGAAAAGACGAGAGTGCTGTAAACAAGCTTTGAAGTGTTAAGCGAGTCATAAAATAAACGAAGATCACCATATTGACAAAAATTTGCAGTTCCAACAAAAAAAAATTCACTTTGGTTCGATTATTGAGGTGGTTTAGAAGTAATAGAACATCTGATTTTTTTTACAATTTTGAAGGTTTTCTTTGACTAAATGAACAACCAGCAAATTGCAGTTATTCTCCCACAATCCTTCGAGGTTTTTGAAGTCATGCAAATCCGCCGTACAGCAAGTTTCTAGACATGTAACATACCATACGTAAGGGCTTTCCAAGCATTTTCTGATATTCATTTGAATATGCAGAATTCCTTCATTGTTTTGTATGAAAGAGGCAGAAACCCTTCGAAAAACTGCGATATTTGCGCATTTGGCTACAAGACATGTTTTGACCCACAACTTTTTGGAAATGAGGAAATGCTGAGGTAAGGTGCACACCATGGATAGTGCGTAAAAAGCTCTATTAGGTGTTAAACTTCAATGATGAGCTCATTCGATTACGTTGGTGATATCTGTGATATCTTCTGATACTCAATGCTATATCTTCTGTTGCAAAGAGTTGGGATCACCAGGCTATTGTGAATTTGGTAACAGTCCCCTAACCAATTGCGACGCAGATATTTTTGGTTGCGTCGCTTATTTTACTGCGGCGGCGCCGCTCGAAGTTCGAATTCAGTTGAAGTGACGAGCATTGATTCCAAACACTTATGAAATTAAAGCTATCTGTAGTCCTCGATCAACAGGTTCAATGTGTACTAACATCTGCCCAAACTTGGGCATCCAATGAATCTTTCCGTTTAGAAAATCTGCGTCCTTCTAACAATAAGTGCCACATTAATGTCGATCGCTCTAATATAAGCTCAAGGTGTCAACGTTCCTAGAAATTCATCTTATTGTTAGTTTAGATAATGTACGGAGCTACCGCTGCAAACTTTGCATAGACGCATGATTATAAGTGAACAACAAAAAGCAGAAGATTTATTACATGCAAATAAATTATATCATATATATTTTTCTGTGAAAAAAGCATGAGGTATTACAAAGTCCAGATGAAAGCGTTCACAGTCATTAATACCGTAGCTAGCCTACGTCTAAATAAAGATATGAAGATCATAAGTGAAAGGTCAAATTTAAGAACGGGGACTCCAGGTACAAGTAAGATAACGGCTGCGTCGGAAGAATTAACAAGCATAAGCAAAAGATAGAAAACTCTGTACTATAAAATTTGTTGCCTGTGGTGAGAGTGAGTCACCACTCATTGTTGTTAGCAGATAGTGTACAATGAATATAGCGATTGAGCTAAACTTAACAACATTCACAACAATTAACAAAGAAAAAAATCAAAAATCTAGCATCGGACAATACATTGCAAAAAGTGTGCTTTAGATAGAGAGACAAAATGCGAAGAATGCGAAGAGAAGAATGCGTGAGATAGTGAACGTACTAGATGAGCTATTCTGGGAAAACAAGGCACTTCATAGACAAATCGAGCTGGCGAAGCAATCGATTGCTTCATCAGAGAATCATGGAGAAGAGGTTGGAGGTTGATGTTTGAGACTCTGTCGAAAAGAGATCATCTCCTCTAAGTCGCTTTTCGCTACAGCTCCACCTATCGAGATTTTCTGACCGTCGAATTCTGCTCCCTCCAACATTTTCAGAGTTGTTTGAAGCGACATTTCTCTGGTTTGTTCAACGGGAAACAGATTTGTCTGCCATAATGAGACATTCGTTTCGGATGTTTCGCGTCCCATCCAAAAAAGCTTTTCCTTCTTTTCCTTCACATCATCATCAGTACGAAGAAATACAGTTGTGTAGAATCTTCCTCCATTATCTTTGATGCACAATGTGAACACCATGGTTTTGTTACGAATTTGTATTAATTTCGTAGACTCGCAACCATTTATTATACATTCCTCGCCAATGTTCGCGTCCTTCAGCTTGCAGTACTCTACCAACGAACCACTACCAATCTGTAAATATTGATTAATAATTTGTGGATCTGCAATAACTTATGTTCAATCTCATCTTGCCTACCGTTATCACTTATGCATTCACTAACATTGTAATTTATTTTTTACTTGTCCCGATTAATTGCACTGATATAGTGTAGGAATGGGATCTGCTTGCACTTCAAAATTTTCTAATCTCTCGAAGTGAATTATTGGCATAACAGAGTGTTTTGTTGACTGTAACCGCAAAAACATGGATTGAAAATCTAGATAGGTATCCCGCGGTTAAACAGTTTCTAAGAAATCCAATTATCCATATTTGGATAGTTCGAGCGGAAATTTTTGGCAAAAATGTTAGCAATCACTTTTTGTGTGGATATATTAGGTTGTAACAGAATTAATGCAGGTTTTGAATTCCAACCGCAATAAGTCATACACTTCCCATTTCTAAGTAGGTTGCAAAATATCATTCGATAGAGCAAAGCAATCTCTATAAGGAGGCAATCTTGCTTTAGCAACAACTCTGATCCACCACGAGTTTCGAGCCAAAAACTAAAAAGATTCAACTGTCCGAAAAATTGAGAAAAATCGTAACTCAGTTTATAAAAAACCTACAAAAATTCTAACTTGCTCACGTAAACACTATTCACATAAGACATCTATATACGCCTTTGCCGTATTTTTTCCTCTTTTAAAAGTCAAGAAAACGGAAATTTTCGTGCGTTTGCCAAAGTGATGCTGTGCCGTTCCCACATAAGTAGTTGTATACTACAAAGCTGTAGAAGTACAAACCTAAATTTTCAGCTCCCTACAAGCTTTAGTTTTCGAAAAATATCAAATACAGTTTTCGCTAGTCATATGATCTAAGCCAAAATTCAAATTTCTCGAGAACTAAAGCTTGTAAAGAGCTGAAAATTTAAGTCTGCACTTTTACAAGCTTGTGGTATACAACTACCTATGTGGGGACGCACAGCTTCACTTTGGCAAATGCACGAAAATTTCCGTTTTCTTGATTTCTAACAGAGAAAGAAATACGGCAAAGGCGTATATAGATGTCTTATGTGAATAGTGTTTACGTGAGCAAGTTAGAATTTTCGTAGGTTTTTTATGAACTGAGTTACGATTTTTCTCAATTTTTCGGACAGTTGAATCTTTTTAATTTTTGGCTCAAAACTCGTGGTGGATCAGAGTTGTTGCTAAAGCAAGATCGCCATTTTATAGAGATTGCTTTGCTCTATCGAATGGTATTTTGCAACCTACTTAGAAATGAGAAGTGTATGACTTTTTGCGGTTGGAATTCAAAATCTGCATTAATTCTGTTACAACCTAATATATTCCACTGGGAAGAGTAAATCAAGAAGAATCGAATGGTTAACTCAGTTTGTTCAAAAATCATTTCTCTGGTAACAAAATGGTGCAGGAGAAAAATGGTCAGATTTTTTCTTCAAAAAAAATCATGCTCTCAAAAAAGAGTTGAAGTCAAGTGTAAAACGTAAAATAGATTCGGTAACCACACAGCAAATTTTACAATTTCGAACCATTTGCATGGCCATAGATGGTCAAATTCGAAAGATCTCGATTACCCAAAATTTGACTTCCATGCGCAAATGCCTGGATATTCTCAAATTTTTGGTTGCAGAAATTCAGAAACAGCACGTTATGATCCCCATTGTGGTTCGCCACATAGAAAGTCAAAAAACCAATTCTTTATACTTCTAATCATATAAGGACATAACTGTCATTTTGGAAAATCTTGACTACCAATATTTGAGAATAGAGGCTTGGTGCTCTTCCTCAAAAAAAATTTCAGCTGAACAGTCGTACGTTAATTGTTATAGAGCCTCAAATTTGCAGGTCAAAACGAACTTATACAGCCAATCTAATACTCAATAACCGGTTATTGTACGCCTAATTCACTTGTAACAAAAATACCACACATGTCTAATGTACAAGCACATGCGGAGAAGGAGATGGCTTTGCTGAGCTCATGGAAAAATATGTGATTTATAATCTATCTAGCTATGGCAACAGCAAAAACGCAGCTGAGATTTAATTTTTCTTTTCTACTGTGATTATTCCCAAAGCTCCTATTCCTGAACAGAGATGAAAGTGGTCGAAAACAGGTCCTGGCGACGTAATAGCCGAAACAAGAAGACTTCAATATAAAAAAAATCTACCAAAGAAGAGACTAACCATATGACCTGCATTTGCGACTGTACAGATGACTTGCAAAGACATTTTCTATGAGGCTGCTCCGTGTCGCGAACATTCATTGGGTTCTCTTGTCAAATTCTTCTCACGATTCATACGACTTTTGCAAGACTTCTTTTCTATACCAATGAAAGAATTTTCTCGAATGATGGCAGTTGAGCTAAGTTCCAGTAAAGCAACGCGTAGCAGATTGAATGACATACAACGCATATAATGCGCAAGAATCGTAAGAGAATTGCAAAAAGCGAGATTTTTTTTGAGCTTTTTTCTCGAACGAGTTTTGGAAGTGAAATGGGATAGACCAAATTTACAACTAACGAGCAACTTTTTTTAATTCTTTGGAAATTTTGGTACCTTACTTACCGAGCAATCTTCTAACGAACAGTAAACAGACTGCAAAAATAATGGCAGAAACTTCCGTGCAAAAGTCGATTCCCGACGACAATGTGCCTTAAAAGACGCAAAGTAAGCGGAGTGCAACTCAAAAGGTTTCAGTTTTACCATAAGCTCTTGAGGGGTGCCGAGGTGGAAGTACGAGTCGATACCGAGATTGACTACTTGAGGCTTGGTTTTTGAGAAAATCTCTGCAAAATATTTCCGCCAGAGCGACAGATCAAAAGAATCAAAACAAAAAAATTCGAAAAATGTTTGCAGCGCAAATCTCTGTAACTTAGCTTAATCAAAACTAAACAAAAACATAAAACCTTTAGTGACCTTCATTCAGATAGTCCAGAGACGGTGCATATCCTAGCGGTTGCATAAAGTCCCCCCAGCATGTCTCTACTTTACATGGTCCACGGTCGCGCCACAGAGCAGCGAGCTGTTCGCAAATTGACCAGGATAACCAATAGAAGCTATAAAATTGAAGGTGAGGAGTGGGGATTACCCTGGGCAGGTCACAAATGAATATTTTCAAGACCGCCCATTTGCTGCCAAGTATTACGTTGAAACGAATCTCGCGTAAAAAATTGTCAATGTCTCAAATCTTTCATCTAAATTCACCTCTACACCTAAAAAATAGTCATTTGCTCTCCATGACAAGGTTCGCTCGTGATTGATAGCCACCGAAAATGAATAAAAAATCTTTCGTTCCAAAAACGATTTCATTTGGTAGAAAACTGCGGAGGGCCGCTCAGCCTTGAAATGTATGAGAATTTTTTACGTAGACCATGCGCAACGGTGAGAGGCTTAAATCCGCATGAAAATGCAAAAATTGTGAAAATTTGTTTACAGAAAAAGTCCCCTTATTACTGCACTTTTAGCAAGCACCACTTGACGCCCAAGATAATGTCAGTGTTACAGATAAGTATCAGGTGAAATTTTGGTTTAGATTTTCAGTTCTGTGTTTCTGTAAAAAAAACTGCAGCAACTTGAGGATTTTAAAATAACATTTTTGAGCAAATGTTTTGTTTTTGTATTTTCATGCAAAATCGAAGACTACCATGATTACTGTTATAAAAGAGATTTACACTAATTTTTAGGGCTAGCTAGCCCCCCCCCCCCTCCCACCCCGGCATTTTTCTGGACCCAAACTCAAAATCGCGAATTCTAGACGACCAACTTTGGAGGTTTCGTTCTTAGCGGTTAGCTCATAGAAAGTCATGATTTAACGTCTATCATAAGCGAAAACCTTTTTTTGTTTCAAAAATACAAAATGAGGACTATGGAACAAAGATTCAGAAAGCCATTCAATTGTTTGAACTATGCTAGGACTTTCGTGCCAACCTAGGAAGTGTGTTTTACATAGATCGTTTTTTAGAAACGAACGATTAATGAATATGTGAGCAATGAAGAAAGCGGCAAAGTCAATCCCTTAAGGGACTTTGAGAATTAATAAAAATCCATATATTTTCTCCAAAAAATTCAAAGTGAGTCACTCAAGCAACTAAAAAATCGCATCTCTTCAAGATAATGCTGAGGCACGCCAAGGGATCATGGAGTCAGCAGGACTTTGGTTCTACGCAGAAAAGAAGAAAAGTACGATGTGTGATATCTACGAGCGTTGCTTCGAGCGAATACTTCAAAGTATGTTAAGAAATCAATTTATTAACCAAAAGCTCCTATTATAATCTTGCTTGGGCCATTCATTCCTTTCCGTGGTCTGTCACCACTGTATTATCCCATACAAAATGCAACACACCAATATGATAGCGCGTTTCCAGAGGGGAGAACTGCTCCACTGTCCTTGATCAACTCTAGCGTTGGCTTTTGTAGCACTGTTTTCAATTTCCCATCCGAATCCAGTGCAAGAACACCGCGGTCTTTGGCTTCCTGAACCGTTAAATAATATGGTGCAAACAATTGGCAATTAACTAGTAAGATTATCTTAGACAAATAGGTAAATATCAGGAAATCAGTGACAAAATTTCATGAGCTGAGCCAGTATCAGCAATCTTTTCTAATAGAGAAAAAGCCTCTCTTCTCTAGTAATCAGAGTAACCAGATGACTGTCAACAAACGAAATAGAGACTAACACAAACCTCTAAACTTGATTCAGTAGCAGAAACAATCATTTCGGGCGAATCGCATTTCTCAAACTTCGAAACATCCTCAGCTACATCCGAAGCTGACACCAACATTCCTGGTGGAAGAATGCTAGGGAGATGCCTAGAGTTGCCGTTGATTTGGTTTATTCGCCAGGATATACAGTATGCTTTACCTACTTGTACGAAATCAGCTTCTTCTCAAGAATGGTACTTCCATCTGGCAACGTAGCAAATATCTTTCCTAATGCCGAGAGATGAGGCACTCTTTGTGACAGACCTCCAGAGTGGACAAGTAAAATCTAGAATAACCCAGAATATGTATTATTCAAAAATGCCTTATGCCTAGAGGAATGACTATAGGTGTTTTATGGCAAGCTTGAATAGCGACGCTTTGTTCTTTCAACCTTTAAAACATTCAAGTCATCTGTAAGAAGCAAATGTTCTCTGATGCTATTATAATAAGTGAGAACTTTCCACTGATATTTGAGGTACGGCGGTGTTGATTTGTCGCCAGATGTGGAACTAGCAATCAAAAAGTTTTTGCTACGGTTCTTTATAGCTTCTCTGTGAAAGGAAAACCTCTTATCACAGATTTCTCCTTGAAAAGTCCAGAACAAGAACTTTGTGAATTGCCGGAGTATTGAGCATGGTAGATATAATTTATGATATAGACATTTATAGACATTTTATGATATAGACATCTCAAAATAAATGGGAATTCAGCTAACGACATCAAGTGCATTTTTTTCTGATTTTCCATAAAATCTGGATATTTCTAAGCTTTTCCCTTGCTGAACTTTCTCTTCCGAAGTAAGGATATTTCCCGAAACTTCTTACACCACTTGACTGGGTTAGAAAAGCTTCTAAAAGGCACCTTTTTATCCACAAGCTGTCTGAGCGTGCTTAGAACATTTAGAGTAGCGCCACCGGATCCTAGAATCGGTATTTTCCGTATACGAGATTCTTATGAACTCTAACCTATCCTGACTTCAGCGGGGTAGTCTGCAATGACTAATGCCTTCTTGCAATATGAAGTGAGATCCTCTTTTGACAGAATTAGTTCAAAATCTTGCTTCTGTTTCTCGCTTCCTGCTGTCAGCAACAGTACATCCCATTTCTCCATGGTCTTAGAAGATGAAAATGCTGTAAAGGAGTGGTTAGATATATCACAAGCTTCCACAATAAACATCGAGCATCGCTACGCAAAAAGAGCAATTCAAGCACCTGACTAGGTCAAGATAAGAGTTTCACCTGTTCTTCTTCATTTTTATCTTCGCCTTTGTCCCGCGGAAGCAAGGTGATAAGATAGGAATTTCAACTCTTGCCGAATATTAGCATATTAATATTAGCATGTTTCGGGCAAGTTAGTCTTATCCTCTGGATCATCGTCATTCAGCACTCCTTCCCTCCCCCCCCCTCGCCCTTCCCCCTCCCCCCACCCCCCGTGCCTTCGACAATGTAAGCAGTGTCCGGTTTTTTGAGTTTATGGGAAGTTAAACGAAATCAGGAGTGATTACCCGGAATTTCCAAAGCATCACACAAAACAGCGACCCACTTGTATGACGACATATTTTCGTCCACTATATGAGAACGCTCATGAGATAGATAGACAAAAAAGAATACAGATATCTACAGCTGCGAGAAATGACGCGTCCCTCAGCTCTCCTCTCCTTCTCAGCGCGACTGTACGTGCATAAGGACCCAAAGTGCATGTTAGGGATCAACGCGAATAACCTCAAGTAAACAAGAATTTTTAGGTCAACAATTTGATGAGCCACTTCTCCTGGAAAGGTCCCATAAGCAATGCGAGCTTCTGTGCCTAGTAGAAACCTACACGGACAAACTGCGAACGCAAAGCAACGCGGAGCACAAAAAAGAAGATCAGAAGCGGAGCAACTCAAACTCGGTTCTTCACATTTTCGATGTCGGGGCAGTACACTAACTTTTGTGCCACTCAATGAACCTGATATTCGGAGCTTGTCCAGGATTGCTCTGGGTTCTCGCAAGTTGGTGAGATTCATTGATGGAGCTTTCCTTGCCGCGCTGTCTGCCTCTGATTTTCATATCCATTAGTGCCCTAGTCCGTGTAGCTCTTCTCATGACATTCAGATTCTGAGGTCTAGAAGAAGTGATGCATGTTGGGTTATGCCTCATGAAATGATTTTCTAGTCCTCCAGGAATTTGCAGTCATTTTAACGATTACCAAAAAATCTGCGTTCGTCGGCCACTATTCATGTAATGCGTAATCATTCTTCTTGATAATATATGCTCGCTAAGACCAGATCATAAGCTGAGGCTAATTCCGGAATGTGCTCACCTTCTTCATTGCAAGTTTCAAGTCGTGGCTTCCGTGACGTTTCTAGCTCCCTCTCGCCTTTCTCCACATGTCCCCTAAGTTCCGCTAGCAAAAGTTTCTCATGTAATGGAATTGAGCTCATGTGATCATCGAGCTTCTGCCAGAACCGCCCTTTTCATCATTTTTACATCGACTTGTGATGATGTATAGACGGTGAACACTCGTAGGACTTGTTTCCTAGTACCTATCATGCTTACCAAAAGATGGCTTATGCGCTCAACGTTAACTCCGCTCACTAGAGACCTGTCATACTCCGCTCACAAGCCCCCAAAGGCGCCAGAAAGCGCCACAACGTTTCGGGACCGGCCATACTATTCCAGGGTGTTTCCTGCAATTCCTGTTCCTCAACATACGCTGTGCCGCACTACGGAGCGCTTTAAAAATTTCAGTACACATTGTTTTTTCGCAACATGCATTGTTGCGTGACCCACAGGAATCATAGAAACTGCAGAAATCACAGGAAAATGGCCGTCCATTCGCGTGCACAACCCCTAACGCTGGAGCCTAAGCTTGAAGACTCAGCAGTAAGATCAACTAGAAGTTTGAGGAAATCAAATCGCGGACTTTCGAAACATAAAAACGAGAAACTATATGATGGGGTCAGATCACATCGATTCAATAGCATTTTCGCAGCAGAAAATCCAGACTAATCGCAAAGATTTGAAGTTGAAAAACAACCATTATGCACAACGCATTACCGAAGCACTTCTATGAAAGGAAAATCCTCTCAGCGTTCACCCAATAACTGGTATCTCGAGTTGGTGAAAAAAACCGATATGTTTGTAAATCGCTCAAGTGACATTAGGAGGGCAAAAAGTGTTATGGTGAACTTGAGCTGACATTGACCGTAATTGGAATTATCACGGAAATGTGATAATGTATTCGTCTTGTGAATAATGTTTTGCAAACCACGCTCCAAAGCCAAATTTCTTAGTGAAAAGCACGTTCTGGCGCTTTTGGGCAGAGCATAACAAATCCCTTGGAGTCTCCGGGCTACACCGAGTCCGTTCCTGGTGCAGGCAAGAACGGACGGGTGTATGTCAAGAGGCGCAATTTTTATTGCCAGATGGACACTAATTGGCGCATTTTTGGTATTTTATGAAGTTCTGGAAGCAATTTGAATTTCCAGCAAGATATGTATGATTGTCCCCGAGGGTTGCTTGATCTTTTTATTCTGAAATAGATTTAACACGTTTCGGACCGCGAAATCGCGCGCGGCGAAAAAGAGGGCACTTTCAGCCTTTAGCCAACATAGGGGCCTTAATTCGTAGACTGCGTACTACATCTATAATCAGCATGTCAGATAAGATCCATACTCAAAGTTGTGAGCGAATTCGAAGTGTTTAAATTTTGTCGCCTGAGAAGGACTACTATGCTTTTTATTGGGATATACTGTGCGAGACTCTTGGGTAATTGTACCCGAGTTAAACTTACTTTTGGTGGTTCAGTGGATTCTTCGAGGCAAACAGACAGTTGAGAGCGAGAGGTTTATTGGGGCGGTTATCGCCAATGTAGAGTAACAACTGAAGGGGGGCCAAAGCCACCAAAACAACATGCGGGGCCGCGCCCCGCCCCCCGTGAGGAGACATCATCGTCACCGATGATACTCTTTTGGAAGATAGGAACAAGAACTCAGTTTCTAATTGTACCCAAAAGTATCTATGTTATACATCATACACATCACTATCGAAACTACGGTTTTTCTCCTTGAATTCGAAGCAAAGGAAAGTTGCGACGTCGCATGCGTCGTTCGCGTTGCCGCACTTCATTGCAACTGTTGCTCGATTTGTGCTCATATCTTCTAAACAAATATCGGCGGCACATCCTTACAGAGTCATTTGAGGAGAAGGAGCTTAGGCCTTTGACTTGATAACCTTGGTCAAAAAGAAAACCTTCTGTAAACGTTAGAAAGATCTCTCAAAGGCGCGTGCTGCACCGTGTGCAGCACCGGTCCGAAACGTGTTAAAACATGAATGCTGGAGGTCAAACACACGCGAGAATGCAACTAATCGCAAGTTAGCAAATATTTCAACCAATTTCTCACCAAACGCCTTCAAAGTTCGTACATAGTAGCTTTAGATACTGACCAAGCTAGAACACTTTGTCTGATATCCTTGAAAAACTCTCTTAGTTCCAGATTGGTTGTTAAATTGATGACCTCTAAAGAAATCGCGCCTCTTGACCGTCTCCCTAAACGGACTTTGTGTAGCCCGGAGACTATTTTAAAGTCAACTAACATGCGCTCACCTTCTTCATTGCATGTTCCATATAATGGCTTCCGTCACACCTTCCACCTCATTCTCACGTCTTTATCACATGTCCTTCAGAATTTGTTGCACGAAGGTACCGACGTGCTCATTGAGCTCTTGCAAGAATGCGTCTTTTTCATCATTCCTACATCTGACCTGCAATTTAAGGCGGTGAAGTATGCTCATTAGACGATCGCTTAGAGCTCAACGTCAACTACGTTGCTCCTGTTTCCGGGACAGTCATGCTAACATTTCTGTTGCTGCGAGAACCTTTTTGAAGGGGTTTTTGTATAACGTCAGTCGACTGCATGAAACTGTCGGCGCCGTACGGTGCACTCCGTGAGCGTGCCTTGCGCACGTCTGCCTAGTTTCGGAGCTATAGTAAAGCTGGTGACTAATGGTGCCTACGGCGGTAAGGGCGATTTCGAGCGGTCAATTTTATCCATAGCCTCGTCACTGTGCCCCACTTCAGTTTCCTATATGCAGCTGCATCGACTCGCCGTCTCTTCAGAAGATTTGCCAACTATCAAAAACGAGGGGAGTACCCCGTTGATGGTAGCTAAACGGAGAGTCTGCGAAGCATTGATTGTTGCCTCTAAGGGATGACCGTTTTAGCCGTTCCCTTCTCCTTGCACAGGAGCCTCGCCCTCTGATCGCATTCGTCGGGCTCGAGTGCGTCGCTTCCAAAGAACTCCCTCGCCGCCTTTACTGGACTAACTTGAGACTGTCTGCCCTGTTTGATGCGACAAGGTGTTCTCAACCGACTTGACACACGCCCTTTGAAGGCAGCCTGACCTGGAAGTGCAAGCAGATTTTTTTGTTGGTATGAGGCTAAGGTGGGATCAAACCCGCGACATTCAGCGAAGTAGTGCAGAGTGATAACCCTAATAACGATGCTTGATTCTGAAATTATTGGTAAACACTCTTTATTTTGATAATTTCGGATCCACCGTTGAAAACTAAGGTAAGCGCGTGTTGTTCAATGTAGATATGACAATGTAGCAGACTTTATCAGATAAAGACATTACACCACCACACATATTTCCTGTAGAAAAATATCATTGCAAAGAATAATTGTTCACCATACCATGGAAAAATTGTACAAAAAGCTAAGCATGAGGTGTCAGAAAGGTATTTCATATGAGAAGCGAAAAAAATTCACAATCATTATTACGATGGCCTACTCAATAAAGATATGAAAAAAAAAAGATATAAAAAAAGGGAAATTTCTACAACCAGGAGGTCACGCGTGGACAAAAAAATTATAAAGGACTTCACTTTGTACAAGTAAAAACGGTTGCGCTGGGGGGAACTAAGCAAAATCTAAAAGATAGAAAATCTGAACTCTACATATTTACACATAGATAAGTATACAAACAGCATTTTTATGCTCAGCAAGCACGGCAGACTTCTCATAGCCAAAATGTACAGCGGTGGGAGTGAGTCTCCACTCATTGTTGTTCGCAAATAGTGGGCTGTGAATGTAGCGATTGAGCTAAATAATCATAAATGCATTTAGCAAAAAAAAAAACAGATTAAAGCAACCAAAAGAAAGCAGTGATAGATGAAGGCGTGAGAGAAGAGGACCGATAAGGCGAACAGGTGGAGAAGAGTTGGAGGGTGTGAGGGGGGGGAGGTGAGAAGCACATCTTCGGAGCGACATGCAAGTACCCTTTGATTCAACCGGCTTGGCGGCTGGAAGGCTGGGCTTAGTGACCTACTTAAGATTAGGTAACGACCAGAGAGCACGCGCGGAGAGACATAGACTGCGTCGCGAGCGCGAGCGGCATTCATTAGCTCACAAGCCCCGCCTTCCAGCCGCCGAACTAGTTGAATCAAAGGTTAAGACAACTGTAATTGCGATTCCTCTACCGAATATTCATTAAAACAGTTGATCAAAAGGTTCTCTCATTTGCAAACAAGACTGGATGGATTTTCAAAAATTCACGAGAAAAAATTTTTTGCGCGTGCATTGCAAATGACTTTCGCGCCAAAATCTTGATGACTCCTCAAGTGGTTGCAAACAATGTCTGGGAAAAGAGATAGCAACACGAGGTATAACATCATCAAAATTGCTACGATACAGCTTGCTTTGCCCTGCTTCAATTTTCCGAAAATAAACGTACAAACCTGATCAACATCGAACCCAGTCTTCTCCACATGCATCGTCAACATCTGTGTGACACGGAAGAATGCAGCTTCCATGAGTGCCAGCACCGACAGCGCAGATATTGCTGGGCAACCAGAAACGCAAAACGCTTCCAGCAAAGGACAATTCCGCGCCACGGATCTAGCCAGTTTGTCGGTTATCTGAACCAGTCACATAAAAACTGAGACGGACCAAAACGCTGGCACTTTGCGAACCTGATGATTATCACTGATCTCGAGTCTCGAAAGTGTTCGAAATGATGGCGCCATGCCACGAATCAGCTGACTTTCCGATACAGGAAAATTGCAGCTATCGAAGATTAGCTGTAAATTATTCGCTTAGATGTGACATCAACTAACGCAATTTCTATTCACTTTCATGAACACTCAGTAGAAACACAGCGCTGTGAAAGTTTATAGCTACATAAAGAAACAAGACAGAATAATTTGCTTGTTGAACATCCCATAGCAGGAAACAAATTACAAGATAGATACAAGAACTTTCCGTTGTTCTTACACAATGAACCAACCTCCTGCAGCTGATTGAATTGTGCTATTTGAGCCATAGTCCATGGCTTCACACCAGCTAGATCGCAGTTTGACAGGGCCAGCCTCAAAAATGGTTATTCGTAAAGAAGCAACAAAGTCTCCTTCCTCAGTCTCAATATATTGAGCCAAAATGTAGTGGTACTACACAAACAGCATTTAGTAAAAAAAAACTCAAACAAAATCGTTGGGAAACAACGTTTACAAAATGTTGACCACCGAATGAATTCGAAGTTACAAACTGCGAAGGTGTCATTATATGAGCAATAAACAGCAGCACATACGATTATCAAAAGTACTAATTTGCTACCTCACAAAGCACTTTTTGTTCATAAGTTATGGCTATAGATCAGTTTCCTCGCATTCCTCAATGAAGCATGCCCATTGAGGCAGTGAAAATAACTTTTGCGATAGTCACCTGGTCAATGGTGCTCGTGCAACCTGTGTAAGTAGTTCATGCACATGATAATCTTTCAGCTTATCACGAAGTAATTCATCTTCCAAGTCCAATGATGTGGCGCCTGTAATTGCAGCGAAATTATTCCAGAAACTGTGGTTATTTGTTGATTCAAATGCACTTCATTACTTACCACCAGATATGAAAGGAAGCAGAATAGAGAGTAGGGACTTTGTGTCATGCTTATCGCACTGACATAGAAGTATCGACGTGTCACAGCCACGAGCCCGAGCTGTTGCAGGGCAATTGCCTACCTGCACGCGAACCGTAGAGGGCCGAGGAAGAAGTCGTCCTGAATTTATAACAACTTATTGTTAGAATTTTAATCCGTCAATCTTAGTCATAATAAAATTGGTTTGTGATGCTGAAAATCGCTTTGCGCCATACTTAACTTAGCTATCGAAATGCCCAACGAATTATGAGCGCTGCCATCGCTTGATTTCAGATTATATAGCGTGCAAACATGTAGGTAAGCAGCAAATATTAATTTTAGTTAAACGCTCCAACATTTCATATCTAATAGAGTACAGAGACAAAAAGGTCAGCGCCGGTTGAAGTAGGAGAATTACCACATAGTCAAGTATGAACCGGATGCAACGAAATCAACTTACCCAGAGCAGTGAATATGCGCGAGCATGCTAGAGAAAGGTTTAGTCGATCCGTGGGCGGCAGGTAAAAGCATATCCGCTGCAACAGCTCGGGAGGAAGTAAATCCATCTAGACAGTACCAGTACGACGCCAGCCTTCTTCATTATCCCGTCAGTTATATCAATGATGAAGGTAAGAGACGAGTGAACAATTTGTGCGAGTTTTAGTTCTCATAATTCTCAAGATTTATGTACAATATGAACAATCGGTAATAATCTGCATTGAACATAAAATAAATATTATTTGCCGTTATAATTATGAGTAACAACAGTAGGATGAAACAAGAGGTAGAGTATAGACAGTGAATGGCAAACTAGCAGATCTGACAGGATTACCACATTGACAATCACATGAAATCGCGCTCTCACATTCCCCAATGTTTACTGCGAACAGAGCGGCCAACGTCAACTATCCGCACGCTTTCTGGTCGTTTGAATGCCCTCTCCGACTCCTCCTTTCGCCGCTGCATTTCCTTCTGGGCTTCTCTCATCTCTTCTTCCATACTCTCGGCTGTTCTTACACTTTCCATTCGTTTTTCAGATCGAGAAGTTTTCGACTCCTAGAATCCTTCGCTTTATGCTGCGATTGATACAACCTCACAAAAGTTTACCTTTACTGAATAGAACATGGGGCCAAGTTCAGCTAACCAAACTGCATCGACAGCAGTAACGCATTGCATGTATTCTTTCGCTGTCATGATGAGTTCGTGGTAGACCTAAAGTAAATATGGACTGTACCTAAGCACTTTTGTAAGTGATGCATCTGAAAAAGCCTACCTATGAACAAACAACTTACTGTTCAATTAGTAGTCAATGAGTCACGCGGATAGAAAGGAAAAAAATTTTCGAAGTAATAAACCTACCACATAGTCGGGCATGAAACCCATCCCGAAGAGAGCGGACGTCGGATGTAAGAAACATGGGATGCCAGTTCGAACGTTCACATACTCGCCGATTCCCTTCAGCCTAAAAATAGGAACAATCACATTGGCTTGTCATATGGTTGAAAAATACTCCGAATGAAGTGAACCATAAAAATTGCAGATTTTCAGATTCACAGCAACAGATAAGGAGAAGAATATATAGCGTATGTATATGCTGAAGGCATGACACCACCAGTTACCTTCCAGCATTATGGAAATAAGCAGAGCAGATACACTTTCGAATCACATCCCAGTCGCTTCCGGTGGAAATGATTTTGATCTTTTGGTCTTGCATAATCTCTTTCAACTGCGCACGTACTTCCCGCACCTTAACAAATTATTCAAACTAGCTGTTATTCCATGAAACACTCGATGTCAACCTTTTTGATGGCCTTTGCATGGATGTAATTATCAGCACACCACTTGGCCGAATATTTGTGCTGACGCCACTGCAGGTAAACATTCAAAAACGTCAAGTGATCGGATTCGGGCACCTTAAAACAACATAATTTTATTGATAACAAAAAACAGACTGAGTTGATGGAACTGACTTGGAACTTCTCCTTTTTGGCATCAGCTTCATCTTCCCTACCCTTCGGTCGGAAGAATATTGCAGGCACAGACAGCATAGAGACGATTGTAAGTACCTACATCGAGTACAAATACACAAAGACACAGATTCATTCATTCTAGCGCGTCTACGCACGTAATAGATCGGTCTGACTACCAAATGAACTCAACAGACTGATCGAGGACGAAAAAAATAACAAACGTCTAGTGAGAAGTGGTATAGTGGTATGGAACGCGAGACCAAACATACCTCTTCACTGCAGCCCATTCCCTCCGAAACAATCAGCATTTTTGATAAGGTGGGATCTAGTGGAAATTCGACCATTGTCCTTCCCAAATCAGTGAGACTGAAACTCGAAAAGAATTTGAAAATGAAGCATATTCTGACCAACAATGGAAGAAGGAAAGCATACCGTCCAGTGTTATCAAGTGCTCCCAAAGTCCAGAGCTGGTACATGGAATTCAGCATGTTATCTTGTGGTGGTGCGTCCATAAAGTGAAACTTGAGAAGATCATCAACACCAAGAGATTTCAGCAGCAAAACCACATTTGAGAGATTTGTACGCTGGATTTCAGGGACTGTTGAGACCTAAATCATCGATATTCGCTCATCTTTCGATCCACGCCGACAGCTGACCAAATTAGACAAAATAAGGACCTTAGAGGACCAACTGATAAAAACTCACAAGCATTTCCTCCTTGAACTGCCGTTCTGTGTACAAACGGAAGCACTGACCAGGTCCTGTACGACCGGCACGACCCGATCTCTGGTTTGCAGAGGCTTGCGAGACAGGAAAGATCTGAATTTACAGGAATAAGATGAAATTTCTATTTATGGAAAATTAGTATGTACCTGAAGTGCATCCATACCAATCCTCGGATTGTACACTTTCATTTTGCAGAAACCTGGGTCTATGACAAACAAAATTCCATCTACGGTCAAAGAAGTCTCAGCGATATTCGTGGCAACTATGCATTTTCGCATTCCTCCTGGTGCACGATGGAATATCTTCGCCTAAACGCAAAACAACTGTAGCCAGCTTTAACATTTGAAACGAAACAAAATCAGAAATCAGCTGAACACATTCTGCACGTACAGTGCGAATCCGATGGAAGAAAACTATTACTGACTTACCTGTAGATCACTAGGCAGCTGCGAGTATATGGGAAGCACAGCAAGCGGAGGCGCTTCATCCAGCTCACCTAGCCGAGTTCTCATGAGCTCGCAAGTAACCTAAATCTGCTAGCTCAATATTTATGTAGGTAGCTGTTGCAATAAAATCACCTCAATATCTTCTTGACCGGGCATGAAAATCAAAATATCTCCTTCCATTCCACCAAGATGAACAGTGATCGCTTGCTTGACAGCAGCATCAACGTAGTCTTCCACCTCAAAACAAGCATAAATACGGGCAACTCCTGAATATTGGTTGGAACCTCAAGACATACCGGTGCTCTTGCATGGAAGATTTCGACTGGGAAAGTACGTCCAGGGATGGTAAAAGTGGGACAACTGCCCCCAAAGAAGTTCGCAAATTTATCTGCATCCATAGTAGCAGAAGTAACTATCAGGCGCAGATCAGTTCTACGTGCCACAACATCGCGAAGCAGACCGAACAGTACGTCGGTATTCAGAGACCTATAACAAGCATATATAACGATACGAAGAAAATGTGAGGAGAACGCAAAACGACAGATGAAAAAATGAAAAAGACGTAGAAATGGACCTTTCGTGGGCTTCGTCCATGATGATTGCACTGTATTGGTCTAGATCACCATCGCCTAAGCATTCTCTAAGAAGGATACCATCTGTCATGTATTTGATAACCGTCTTCTCCGATGTGCAGTCTTCAAATCGAATTGCGTATCCAACTTCTTGTCCTAACTAGAATGATCTCAGATAAGTCAGTAGAAGTTCAAGCATGACTTTCTTACCTCAACACCCATCTCATCAGCAACACGCTTCGCCACACTCATAGCAGCGACTCGACGAGGTTGTGTACATCCAATGATGCCTGTGTAACGAGCATTAGATGCAAGGGCAAAAACAAAGTTAAATAAATTTTACCCGTATCTCCAAATCCATCCTCTAAAAGATACTGAGCTAGCTGGGTTGTTTTTCCTGAACCAGTCTCTCCAATAACAATAACTACGTTATTTTCCCGGATGACAGTCATCATTTTTTGCCGACACGCGAATACTGGGAGGTATTCTCGTTGTTGCTGTGACATAGAATTAACAATTGCACATACACAATTAAAATTAACTTGCTTCTCACCTTCAGTGATTTTTCCATAGCAAAATCTGACACAGCCTCCGATTTTTCACTGATGTGCGTTGCAAACTGATGAGATCCCTGGGAAGTCATGCAATTTCAAACCATCTGACCAAATTCAAAAAAAAAACAATTCAAACCAACCTTGTAATCATTTGCATCGTCATCGTCTTCAGCAGTTTCATCTGGCTTCTGCTTCACGCCCATCAGATTGCCGAGTTTGCTTCCAGCAAGCTCCCAGTGCTTCTCTTGAGCCTGCAAATTTTCCATAATGTTCCTTTCCTATCTGTCAGAAGAAGAGAACATTTGGCCAACTCAATAGAAACTCACCTTCTTCCTCTCTTCCGATTCTCGAAACTGCCTGACAACTTTACTTCCGCGAGCTGCAGCTACAGCCATATCGCATGTTGTATCCACTACCGGTATGACTGGTTTCGATTGCTGAAATTCATCGGGTGGTTCGGATTGCACTGCGAGTAATTTCATATCACTATGTTGCGAATGTAGTGATGATATTTACCCGGGTGAAAACGATTCTGCCATCGAGGAATGGAGGTACGATGTTGTGGACAAGCAGATGCACACGATTCTCATCCGTTTCGTCATCAAAGACACTGGATAATTCATCAGTCAGAGCAACAACTCCTAAAATAGCGCATCATTTAGTCAGTAACATGCTGCACATTTTAAAGCACTTGCGACTCATAATGGCATTTACTAAACCAGTAGTTGCAACGAACTTTTACGTCAGTTACGACCATATATGTTTTGTGGCTTGGTACCCCATCCATTTTACCGGAACAGATTAGAGATTAGCTGACTGTAGGAACTTGTTGACATGATTTTGATCGAACGCAACTTTGATGGAGTGATTTTTCCACAATCAGATCCAATGATATTGTCAAGCAATCAGATGATTGGAAAGAAACGTTTCCACCTAATTACATATTGTCTACACCACTATTGTGGTGTTAAAATCTCAGTTCGTTTGTCGGAATGGCATTTATCCGATAGAAGACAAGATCACGCAAAATATGAAGAGAAAACCATAATCAATGAAAAAGGGAGACAAGAAATGAAATGCATCAAAGAATTTCACTGTGACCACTAACCTGATCTGTGTAGACGATTGTTTTCCCAAAGTTCATTTTCACGCTTTATTGATTGTTGTTTCAGAGTGAGACGTGGTCCAGTCGTCTTTTCTTGCCATTGCTTTTCTCGCTTTTCTACAAACTCTTCGCTAACCTAAACGAATGCAACGAATGAACCTGCAGGAAAAAAGAAACCGGCTGCTATCATTGTGCTCTTTACCTTAGCAAATGGATTATACTCCTCGTCGTAAACGCCACCGTCGTTGTCATACCACTCTCGTTCGATAATTTTTTGTTCAGCCTCCCATTGCGCTTTCTCTTCGGCATCATAAAACATTGGTCTAAAATCAACCAAAGTTTCCGAAGCAGTAAAATCATATGTCACTTGCTACTCATGGCTACAAAACATAGTGTCTCGACCTACATTAAACTCAGGAGTTGTGTACCCGTAAAATAATAGATAGTAAATTGTAATAATAAAGCAAAAAAATCATTGTCAATGACGATACTCCTAGTAAGCAACATTTCCAACTGGAAAAAGACTTTAGAAAACCAAACTCACTCAAAGCCTTCTTCTTTGACGGAACGAACAGAATCATCAACACCATGCTTTCTCTGCCGCTCCTCTTCACGATGCCGCCGCTCACTCCGCCAAATGCTTGATACACCTAAAATTCGGAGTTCAAAGCAGGAAGAAATTCCATTGCTAACTGGGAACATGGGCCTGTTAAAATCAAAAAATGGCAAAAATGAAGGCACTGCGTGAGTGAAGGTACAAAGTGATGTGTTGGCAAGAACAGTATGCTCACTTCGCTCCGAATCTCCTCGACGAGATGACGAGACGGTACGAGGCGAAGGTGTGTCCCATGCTGTTTTTTGAGCCGGTCCATCATCATCAGTCCATCCGTACCGTGATGGTGTGAATGGGATCTTTAATTTGATTACGCTAATAATATGATAGCTGTTTGAAATGTTCCCTTAATAGAATATTCCGTCCAAGAACGAAGTTAGGATGACCTGAGAGTAAAAGAGGTAAATCAAACACAAATGTCAATAACCTTGAAATCTGGTGTCTCAAACTCTTTTCGACTTCTCCTGTCATCGCGATCTCTTCTCTCAGAGCGATATCGGTCATCCCGTCGACTTTTTGAGCCTCTCTCGTCATCTCGACTATTCCTGTCTCTATCACGATCTCTATCTCTGTCCCTATCCCGTTTCCTGCTATCAGCAGCTAGACCACGACGTTCGTCACGATATTTCTCTGACTGATATCTAAACACAGAGAATACTCAAGGATTGTAAAACAAAAAATGTGAATTTACTTCTGAATGCCTCTCCGCACACTGTCGGTGACTCCCGCACCGGGTGTTTCATCGCCCCGTTTTCTGATATGTTCTTCTTTTTTGGCACGAGCCAATCGGTCCAGTCCAAGCACTGACCTGAGGAAGAATCGCATTATCAATCTTTTGCAATGAGTTTTTGAAGTGAGCTTAAAAGGCAATTTTGCATCACAATCAGCAAATTAAACTTCTATTTAGAAACCAACCATCTTCAAAAATGGTCTAATTTCAAACAATGAGAAAAATTTCAAATTTGCGAATGACAACTTTGAAAATAGCTTTCTAAATGTAGCTTCTCCAATCAAGGCTCAAGGAATTTTCACTTACATCAAATCTTGTAAGCTATTCTGACTCACCTTCCATCATCGCGCGACTTTTTATCTTTGTCAGTCGATTTGTTCCTCCGAATAACCAACCCTCCGAACGTGTCGTTTCGACCTTCGAGACGGTCAATCCCTTCTTCTGACATCTTTAGAACTTTCGGTCACATTTACAATAACACATGCAAGTAAAGAAACGTTGAAAATCAAAAAAGATTACGAAGAAAAGTGGCGAGCAAAGGTTCACGAACAGCGCCAAGGCGATACGCAATTTCGAAAATGTCGATGATGTCACTCGCGACACACAACACAGACGTGCCGTTTCACATAGTGAGATCTTCGCATTCGCAGAATTCTCTTCAATCACACCGGGAGACTAAAAAAGTGTGTTCATACACGATTGTTAAAAAGTCGCCGTTACTTTTGCGCGCAGTGAATATATAGTGCAAGTGCACAACTGGCGCTTCTCCAGCATCCTGGCCCGATCGGGCCGCCGGATGGCGCTGTCGCACGAAATAAACATGACATTCGTGTTCAGCGTACCAAATAACCTCCCTAGACGAAGTTTTAGCGAAATTCACAATCTATTTTGGGTCAAATAAGTGGAATAGCGCCCACCGGAACCACAAACGACGTTTTTGTACAAAAAATGTGCGACATTCGTGACCAGCATATCGACCCCCACAAACCGAAGTTAGCAAAATTAAGACTAAGACTCTTCAAAATCTCGAGATTTTGAAGAGTCTTAATCTTAATTTTGCTAACTTCGGTTTGTGGGGGTCGATATGCTGGTCACGAATGTCGCACATTTTTTGTACAAAAACGTCGTTTGTGTTATTTCGTGCGACAGCGCCATCCGGCGGAGACGGTAGGATTACGGTAGGGGTCAAAATCACGGATTTGCCCAGAACTTGGCCCAGAGAGGTTATTCGGTCCGCTGATGCTGATTATCACATTGGTGTTGTACCGTAGCGTTTTCTCGGGTTACGGTGGGTATGCGGTAGGCGGTCAAAATCTCAAAATTCGCTGTGACTTCGCACAGAGGGTTGACATGATAATTAGAAATGTCACACTTTCTCCGCACGAAAACGTCTCCCTGCGTGGTTACGGTAGGTTTATGGTAGGGGTCAAAACCACAGATTGGCAAATGTATCATTCCCCTGTGCTTTGCCTAGGCAAAAGCCGCAGCAGGTTGTGCAGCGCGCGGCGGTGGTCCTGTGTGCAAAGCTTCACCATTGAATCGCTGTACACCCGTTTCAGGCAGAACTGTGTTTTACACCCGTTACCGTGTAGCTACCGTAACCCGAAAAAATGACGCTGCGGTTCAAAACAAGTGATTTTGACATCAGCGAGCCGAATAACCCCTCTGGGCCAAGTTTCGGGCAAATCCGTGCTTTTGACCCCCTATCGTAGTCCTACTGTAACTCCGCCGGATGGCGCTGTCGCATGAAGTAAACTTCATATTCGTGTTCAGCATGCCAAATAACCCCCCTAGACGAAGTTTTAGCGAAATTTACGATTTTCAATTTTTGGGTCAACTAATGGAGTAGTACCAATTTTACCTCCAATGCGATACTGTTTGTACCATAAGGAAGCGCTTTTCTTGCTCTTTCTAATACGTACCAACTTTTGATGAATATATTAGGTTGGTGCAAAAGTTCTGTCGTTTCATTTTTGAAAAATCATAACTTTGCACTGTCACAACGGATTTACTTTCTTATATTCTTATTAGAAAGAGTAAATCTTTCGCTTTCGAATGCTGTTTTGCTGGGCTTGCGCTTCACACTGGGTGCGGAGATAAAAATGGAAAACTAAAACCATATAAGCTTTGGCCATTTTAAGTTAGGTCACCAAAAATCGGGAACGCTGCAGAAAAATCTGAAATCGTCAGTACATACCTATGTTTTTTGGCCTACCCTTTGCATCTTTGAAAAGTTTGTGCTGTTTGGACGTCTCTGTGAGAAATTATGATTTTCGAGAAAATTGACAAATTAATTAATTTTGGCGTTTTCCATAGTAAACTCGATATTCATAACTTCTCACAGAGACGTCCAAACAGCACAAACTTTTCACAGTTGCAAAGGATAGGCCAAAAAAAAACACATGTACTGAACGATTTCAGATTTTTCTGCAACGTTCCCGATTTTTGGTGACCTAACTTAAAATGGTCAAAGCTTATATCGTCTTAGTTTTCCATTTTTTATCTCCGCACCCAGTGTGAAGCGCAAGCTCAGCAAAAAAGCATTCGAAAGCGAATGATTTACTCTTTCTAATAAAAATATTAGGTTGTCCCGAAAGTTTTGTCGGTTTTTTCGAACCACTGTAAAACCACGAACCATAAAGACCTGAGCGGGTTTTAACATGCATTCGATGCAGCTTTTCCTTCTCTTTCTTATGAATACACCTTCATGCCACAATCATGTGTGCTTTTTTCGATAATTGCCAAAATTCTCCACCTGTCAAATTTACCTGCTCAAAGTTGAGCTAATTTTCAAAAATTTCATTACAAAGTTTCGAAAAAGATTAAGTATGGGTCAAATAGAGCAACTCTCTGGCTACAATGTCGTATTTTTAGATTCTCCTAATCTGCTGATTTTAACTTCAAAAAAATATTTCTCCAGAGGCCTTGGTTTTTAGCAAAGTCATGAAACGCGCAATTGCAGAAAAAGCATGAAAGCTTTTGAAGTTTCTGCGAATTCAAACTTGATTGTTATTAGACATCATTTATGCAACAGAACCAAGTTTGATTTGTTTGAAAATCAGCTTTTTGGAATTTTCGGTAACTCTACGTGGTAAAACGTGTTAAAAAAACCGCGGTTTTTCTTAAATAAATAATTATTACGGACTTGATAAACGTGGCCCACGTAATCTAAAATAGGAACAATGTAGCCAATGGTTTGCCCTACATAACACTCAATGGCGCTCTTCGAAAATGTCATGATAAAAACTTTGAAAATTCAGGAAATTTTTGGCGCTACTGCTGAGGTGCTCAAAAAGCCATGGCGATAACATCGCAAAGACGGGGTAGATCAGGGAACAAACATAGCTATAAGAAAAAGGATAAAAAAATGAATAGAATGACACCAAGGCCGTTCATGGATTGGTGTTCTGTGAGGTTTGGTGAGCGATGAAAAAAACCGACAAAACTTTCGGGACAACCTTATATAAGGAAGTAAATCCGTTGTGACAGCGCAAAGTTATGAATTTTCAAAAATGAAACGACGGAACTTTTGCACCAATCTAACATCAGTCTAACGAGATTGCAGACCTAAAATCCCTGGATGGCCAAGATACGTTCTCCTTAAAGGCAGAGTCTAGGCAAATCTGGACATAGGGGGTTCTGTTGTGGAAAGTAATTTTGAGGCCCTTACTAAGACAATGCCCAAACGGCAACTCAAATGGTAAACACAGTTGAGATATTTGCCTCCAAACTGGACGCCAAGATCGTGAAAGCATGGATTCATGGCGCGACACGCGTGGGTTCCGCGCGAAACTGATGTGATTACCCTCCAAGTGAGATCGCCATGGGCCCAGATTTGCCTGGACGCTGCCTAGAAAGGCAAAATCTGACTTTTATTTTTTGTCTTATTCAGGCCTTTTCATGGCTTTTATTTCAGATGTAGCACTCAAAATGCGTGAACTCCTCGAAAAACCTTATTTTTGAGACAGTTTTGTAAGAACCGTGGACGAGTGCTCCTAATGCTATTCTTGTCGAAAGCAAGCATCAACAGATAGACATTATGTGTTCGATTGTGTTTACCACTTGGAAACATGTCAAGGGCGAGAGAGAGTTTATTCAAGGAGGCGGACCGTGCGAGGAAGCGGCCGTGATCCTCGAGGCTCGGCGTTTTCTGCGCCGATTTTATCCTTTTACAGATTGTGTTTGAGAGTCGGATTTGCGCGATACTTCTAGATCACGCCTTGGTACTCGAATACGATAATATTCAAAAATGTCCAGATCTGTCGGGATGCTATTCAAAGGCACCGTCTACCCAAATTCTCGACTACCATGTTTTTATCGCTTCCAGGCTTTCTGAAGGCCCTGGTTTCGAATATAGAGTCGAGAATTCGCGAAACTTCCAAAAACTCCCGTTTTCAAGGAGGGCGCTTTGCAAGTCGAGGGGCTGCGGCGCTGATATAGACGGGCGCGTCATTTGCAGACCTGCAAAGTGGGCGGGGTGCCACCACCGGATTACGTCCCTTCCGGAGCGGATTTTTCGCTCCGGAAGCAATCTTCTGCTGCGCAACTTGGGGGGTTTGCTTAGTGTGAGGACCACGCTACTATGACATCATAACCTCGTCAACCCACTTTGGGTAGACGGCGCCTTTAAGATAAATACTCTTGCACGAAGATCTTCAACACGTCAAGTCAAGTCAAGTGTCCTTTCATTGGTTTTCGAATAAGGGTGTAACAGGCTAGTCTATGCACGAGCTAAATTTCATAAGAAAGCGTCTTGCTAGTGAATAGGTGCCGAACAATAATTTTTGTATGAATGTTCTACGAGCAATAACATTCTGCGAATAGAGGCACTCGATGAGTCCAAAGTTGGACGTGATAGAGTAAAACAAGAGTTAGCAGGGCCCATTCAACATTTTCTCTTCACCACTCGTGTCAAGTTCAAAATTTCCATAATTCGTAAACAGGCATGCACACATGTACCGAAGCAAAGTCAAAATGCGGTTTCTTTTTTGTTCGGTCAAAAAATCGTTCGGCATCGAAGACACTACGGTCTCTTTTAGGCTGCAAAATATAAGCTTTAAAAATTTCTCTATCTATCCACAATAAATAAGAATGCATGTCACTTCTCATAAGGGAGCATTGCCATGTAGAAGACAAGTTTGAAGAAGAAGGTTGTAAAGTTATTGAGTTATCGCTTCTTTAATAACAGGGTTTTCTTAATATTTCTGTAATAGCCAAAGAACTTCTCAACACATTAGAGTAAGATTATGGAAGAAAGTTGACTTTGAAAGAAGTTATGATATTTTAAATTTGAAAATTTGAACCCGACAGAACTTATGCAGCAGCCTTATAAATCTTCTTAAACATTCTGTCGCACCGCACCAAACATGAAGTCTTTAAAAAGTACAAGGACTTCGCTTTTTACACGCTTTTCAGGAATATGAAATACTAGCTGGCTTACCCGACTCCGCCCGGCCCTGTCAATGCTATGATTAAGGTTTTATCCCTCCGTAAAATCTTTCATTGTGCCTACTTCTACATGCAATTCCCTATTCCCGCTGTGTTAGTAATTAGCATGCCCACCTACCTCCCCCAAAACCCCCAGCCCCGTAGCTCAAACTTTGCAAAAAAAGCAATTAAACCGGTAAAAGTAAGGATAATTCTGAAAACTGATGGCGCTATTCGGCATCCGGCCCCAAAATGTTTTTGTGATGGATCTTGCTCAAAGTCGGTACATGGACTATTAAGGCCGCTGATGACAAATATCGTAGTCATTTCGCGCGATAGCGCCATTT